CCCCCCCAGGAAATTTGGAAACCCCCCAGATAGGTCTCTGGATCCGCCACTGGTGTATTAATAGATGTTGAGTTAGTGAAGAAAATAAGTTCTTTCCGTTGAGCAGGTTGGGCACAACGGCGCATATATAGGTAATTTATATAATAATCCTGCATTTGGGTAACAGTTACTCATTTGCAGTAACGATTTTATTACTAAGATGGGGAATAAAGTGAAATAAAAACACAAAGTTCTTTTAAACACATGGAGCAAAAAAGTGCGTCATTCTTTCAACATAATACAATGTTAGCAATCAGGTGTTCTTTGAGGTGACATTTAACATTATGTAGTAACACATTTTTATAATGATTTGTTTGGAGATGAAAATGGTACATGGCAACAAATGTAGGTTAAAAGAAAGTATATGTTTGATACTGACAGAAGGCATGTGCAGACAAGTGATTGGGTAACCCCCACCGACAATACCTACACAGTCATCTACCAGTATAAGGGAAGGAAATGGGGGATAACAATATGTACAGCTCGGACAAGATTTGACTCTAGCAGAGGGTAGTTTTGGGTTGGTAGTCAGACAGAGCTGTTTTGAAAGAGTTCAAGGCAGGTGACTGAGCTATATGTTCTGGTAGTGAATTCCATGTTCTAATAGTCCTAGGAAAGTATGAATCTGAAGAAAGGATGAATACTGAAAATATGTATCTCCTAACGAAAGTTTATGTAGTTGATAATGAGTATTAATGACATCACCTGAAGTCAGCATCCAGTGTAGTGGTCAGTTTTATCTTTTGGGAAAGCCGGCAATAAAAATAGCTACAACCGGAATAGCGCAATATCCGTGAAAAGTAAACATGTACAGTACCACACTGTCGACCGACAACAGTTATGAGTCTGATTTCAAACATAACACATTATTGTCGCTTTGAATTTACTCAATACATCACAAGCTAGAATTGTATTATAACATAATATATAAATCTAATAACATATTTCTGTTCACGGTTGGATTTGAATAAAATCAAACAGGTTTATTTAGAGTACATGCACACACTGAGAGGGTATACATACCGCAGCGAGAACTTCAAACCGCAGACAGTACAATATTAATAGGCTTAATTGTAAAATATAGATTGATAATTTATAACGATGATTGAGATGATGTTTGGAAGATGCTTTTGATTCAGAGTAATTGCCTTGAATTGTATTCCAAACAAGCTAGGTGAACAAAGCGATTACCTTCTCTCCTCGGCTGGAAAGACATTTTTGTTTGTTAGAAATTCGCTGACAGCTGCTGCTAGAACGTATGGTTGTACAGTTTGGGATTTCTCCATTACTGATTAAAAACGCCAACAAAACATTGTCTCTTGTCAAACTATATTATCCCAAAGAATTTTGTGACAATTAAGATTATAAAAAAAAACTTACTTCACTAAATTGTCTCTTTAAAAAGGGCTATGTCAGATGTTGAGGACGACAGTAGCCCCTACGAACAGGGCGAGCTGGCCCCCAGTCCTGATACCAGAGAGCAGGAAGATGATCCTGACAGTCAGCTTTCCTTATCTCCACAATCCCGAGAGGCCATAGATGATGATGAAGATGAAGATGAAGATGTTCAAACAAGCAAAGACAAGTAAGTTGACACAAGTCAAACTAAATTTTCAGTATCAATACTCGTACAAATCTCTTGGCCGTATGGGAAATTTTAACCGTTTTGCTGACCCTTCCCTTCACAAAAGCAGCATTGAGACAATGGCCTCCCTTACAGAGTTATTTCAGTTTTCTCATTTATAAAATGTCTGGATGATCACATGCAGGGGTGCTAACCTCTTAGGAGCCCAGCGTGGGAGATCTCCCTCCACTGGGTTTAACAAAGTGGGTGACGTTTGACGGCGCTGCAGCGTAACCAGCGTAATGTAATTTCCGGTGTTGACGTCAGATTTACCTACATATGTATTTATCAAATCCTGGCTTTCTCTGACTACTATATACATCTGGATTGTTGTTCTATTCAACTCAGTATCCAAAAATTTGTAGACCCCCCCCCCCCCCAATTTTACAGATATAAATAAGATTTTTGTTAATCACACCAACACATGACATCGGAAATGCAACACATCATTATCACAGGCCTTTCTTGTAATGATCAGGGACCTCTCTCGTCTGGAATAGGTGCCAAATGGAAATAGATATGATGAGCAACAACACCACTGAATCTGGTACAAAATGTAATGTTTGACCTGCTAAAAAAAAAATGTTTTATATTAAAAGTAAGGTTACCATAGTAGAAGTATAAACAAATACATTTGAATGTAAGGTTAGAAATTATTATTTGACAGTAAAAAAATACTTTTTACTATCCAAAGCACCCAATAGATCCTGAGCATACCATGTATGCAATCATGACGTTATACCTACATACTACTTCTGTCTAAATTGCCAGGCACTCCCCGAAACCTGTTACTATTTCCATCACATCATATTTGAAATGTGAGTAGGGCTACAAGTTTTGTTGTTTTACATCATCAACTATAATCACCAGTGAATATAATTTTACGCTTGTCAAACTTTTCGTCAGTCATTCGTCTGTTAGTTATCTTTTCTCACAGTATTTTTTTCGCTTAAAACTCTGTAGAATTTTCTTAACGGAGCTAAAGCTATGTTTAAAACTGGGTTTACAAGTGAAAACAACTCACCTTACAATGTGTTTACGTCCCTTTCCACTGGATATGAAGCGACGCCTCATGTCAATCATCCTCTATATTACTCCAGTGGTTACGTTCACTTTCGCCCTCTACACCCCTGGAATATGTCATAGCAAAACTGAACGCTCAGTGTGCGCCACGTTGTTGATGAGACAAGAAGACTAGTTCGATCCTTTGATATGAATCAAAATAATCTCGCGGTCACGAAACGGTAAAAATTGACCGGCTTAAGCTTTGAAATCATGCGTCTCTCCTTTGTAATCTTCAGAGGACAGGTATCAGCCTAGCGATTGGTCAGGTTTTTTTTACCTGAGACCAATCAAACAGCTATCTTCGTGCCTTCAATTTTGCAATGACCTATTCTAGGAGTGTTGAGAGCGAAAGTGAGCGTAACCCCTATATATCAAGGATGCATGTCAGCTAACTTCCCTAACAAAACATTGCAATTGGAGTTATTGCCCTTTGTATGGTCCAGGCCAAAAATTGTCGATTTATGGCTTTACGTGATATAGAGGGAAAACATTTTCAAATGTATGAGATTCATGGCTCACATGGTGTGAGACATGTTTCAGCGTGAGCTAGGACGTCTCAGCGTGAGATTTTGTCTCACAGCGTGAGACTTGGCAACCCTGTCACATCATGTAAGGGAAAAAATGGTAACTACGGTTGTATAAACAGCAATCTAGCTTTGAAATTAAAACAGTTTTAAATTCAGCTTATAGGTGATAATGGGTTATTTTAAACTGAAATTTTGTAACGTTATGAATTTTTGCTACTTTTTAACCCTTCAACTCAAATACTAATTTTTATCTTATTTCAAACTGAAGTTTTTGTATTGTGAATTTTACCTACTTATTAACCTCTAAACTCAAATGTCTTTTCTATCATAAAACCTTTGTTGCGCTCTGCAGAAAAAGGCATTCTTAGGCAGTTTAAAACTTCCATCTGTACTGTACAAGTCAAATAATGCAGAAATACACGGTAGGAACACAAAAAACTATTTATGCCAAGAGATCAGTCTCTCTAACATTAAGGTATGTAACTGGTTGACATAAATGCTTCAGATTTTTCGTATCGCCCACAAAAAGTTGAATTTTTTAGGAGGCACGGTAGTCTGGTGGTAGCCAAGCTTGTGACCAAAGGGGTTGCAGGTTTGAGTCACGGCACGGCACTGTGTTGTATCTTTGAGCAAGATACTTTACTCCACTTGTTCCAGTCTACTCAGCTGTAAATGAGTACGTGGTTGGACAGTGCTAGAATTGTTAAATGCTAGCTGTGAGCGCCGAAATGGCAGCACTGGTTGTATGCTCTTTAGGGAGTTGAGAAAGATATTGGCTGGGGGAAAAGGTCCTATAACCACGAATTATGATTTGTGAACCGCTTTGAGACGACCTACAAACTAGTAGGTTGTGATAAAGCGGTATATATAAGAACCTCGAATTATTATTATTTTTAATTCTGTCCTAGAATTGAAGATGAGGATGGCCTAGATATAAAGCCGCCACAGGTACAGGCTGGCCGAAAGGAACGGAAACACAAACATAAAGAAGAACGCCGTCGTGACAAAGATAGACATGGTCAGACTCGAGACAAAAGTGATAGACAGGCAAATGCAAGAGAGAAGGAACGTAAGTGGCCACGTTTTTCTGGTTAGGGTGTGGTTTTCTTTTCATTGATAACTGATGACCACACCTGCTACTGGTAGGTTTTCAGTAAGATTCATCAGTTTGGATATATGTTATATGAAGGTTTTACGTTACACAAAAAATGTACGTTTCAAACGGGTCACTTTTCAAGACCGACTGATGCCTTTGTCAAGCTGTACTGATAGGTTTCAAATAAGATTCATCAGTTTGGAAATACATTATATCAAAGTTTTACTTTATATTGTTTTTAATTTGCTATTCAGAATACTGTACCACAAATTTTCATGAATTAATATTTATTTAAATATTTTACCTATACCTAAATTGCTTTATATTTCCACATGTGCTTTATTTTGCAAACTGTGACTTTCTGAATTTTGAATATTTAAAGTTGGCTTGGATAGTATAATATTTTTTCAATATTGATAGCAATTGCAGGTCTAGACAATAAGAGAAGCCCCACAGACTGAATCTTGTGAATCTCCAGCCGGACTAGTGGTTGCTATTTTGTCTACACATATGTCAAAAAGAAAAGATGGAACACTTAAATCGAATAACAAAATGTCACGTAGAAAAAGTAATTGGCTTGGGCTAAAGCAACCCCTGGACTTTTCAGCACCGTTTCCTACAACACAAGAAATCTGTATCTTTTCAGGATCTTCACGAAGTGGTCATAGCTCCAACCGGGAGTCTCAAAGATCCAAGAAACAGGAAGTAAGGGAACGAGACCCCAGGGACACGAGGGATAACTATCGAGAATCTAAGGAAAAGGAACGAGAGCGTCGTGCCAAAGAGGAGGAAAAGAGGGAGAAATCTCGTATGGAGAGGTGATTGTTGTGTTTTGACTTAATGTGTTTCACCTATTTCTTCCCTAATTAGCGAGTGTAACTTGCATATTTTAAACAAAAAACATTTGTCCTGGATAAAACCCTGCTAGGTGTCGTTGCATGATTCATTTTTGACAGGAGTATTATGGTATGGGGTTGTCCATCCGTCCGTCCGGCAATCTCCTCCTACATTTTTAGACCAATCTTTGAAACTTGGTATACATCATAATCATGATATGAAGTTGTGTCTCCCTCAAAAGAATTTTGATTCAACAGTTTTTCCAAAAGTTATTGCCCTTTGTTCATTTCAGTATTTGATTTTTGTCCGGCAATCTCCTCCTACATTTTTTGACCGATCTCTTTTAAACTTGGTATACATTATAATCATAATATGAAGTTGTGTCTCCTTTAAAAGAATTTTGATTCAACGATTTTTGCAAAAGTTATTGTCCTTTGTTCATTTCAGTATTTGATTTTTTGTCCGGAGATTTTCTCCTACATTTTTTATAGCATATCAGCTAACCACTCTTAGAATGATGCAGATCTTATTTCAATGTAAGAAAGTATATAACACTTTATGACATTCGACGGGCGTATATTGTTCCGCCCCGCAGTACTCTTGTTGAAAAATAGGCTTATGCTGTTTCCTGCCTAAAATTCAAAGAAAAAAGTCCAAATCACAAATAACTAAAGAATTGCTCTTTTCCACTGCAACCCCATCACAGTTGTAAATTAGGTTTGAGTACTAGTAAGGAAAATGTTATAAAATTTGTATTTATAAAAAAAAAATAGTTTAAAAGTCTTCAAGATTCAATGTTCAAACCACATTCATTGTAAGCTCAAGTTGCTCTGTTATAAGATGGCCAGATAACTGAGACAATATTGTATAGAAAAGGTACAGTTTGTCCTGTAAAACATCAGACTTGGTAATGGGACCACCCAAATAATGCTTGCTGAAGTGGTTTGACATTTTAAGGTGTTTTGTATACTATTGTGGGGGAGGGCGTATTTTTGAAATTTTAACAGACTTTAATTAAACGTTAGTCAATCATTGATTATCAGTCCGTTTCCGATAACGATCGATCGTGAAGATTCAAACGAATAATTCTCAACACCGATACTTTGTCAACATTAAATCATATATCATCTTGCAGAGAACGACTAGAAAGACTAGAGAGAGAGAAGGAAAGAGAGAGGAGAATAAGGGAAGCTAGGGAACGTAAAGAAATGGAAAGAAGAAAACGCAGAGAGGAGGAACGAGATAAAACAAGGACACAAGGTAAATGTGTTATAATATTGAAGGAATTTTCCTCTCATACTGGTTCAGTTACCTGTTCATTCATTTATTACCAGTGGAATAAGTTAAATCGGCCGTAAACCTGAATTTCATATGATCTGAAACTAATGCAGCATCTTTTCTCGTGTGCTCAACAGTAAAATGAATGGTCTATTTTAAGTTTGTTTTGAGCACACGCAGTAATGGAAAACTGATTTTGCAAACTTTTGAAAACGTCCGTGTCCTTTGAAAACAACTCACTATGCCACAATGTGCCACGCTTTTAAAGTCAGCTGTCAGAATAATGTCAAGATATTTTGTCAGCCACTGGCCCCTGTGAATTAAATAATGTGGTTTGAAAATTAAATATTTGTAGCCCTGTACCGACGTGACAGGGAGAAAGAGAAGAAACCAGTCAAACAGTCTCGGGCAAGGAGTCGAAGTTGGGAACGTCAATTTGCTGGTGACCCACAAAGAGACAAAAAATCCCGCCATCGTATAAAGTCCCCGGAACCAGGTAAATATTGGTAAATCCTTGGGGAGTACTGCAGGTCTGATCTCGTTGTTGAAATGACCACATCTGAACCTAGTTGTTCTATTTAAAAGAAACTTTACTATTTCCACATAATAGAGAAAGCTATTCCTTGCTAGACAGGAGTACTAGTAGCTGTTCCAGATGTGAATATAGGGAGGGATTGAGGAAGGCAGTGTTATTGTAACCTAAATTTGACAACAGCCTGTTCACTTTTTAACTAGGGGAAACTGCACGATTCGGCAGTAAAACTGAGCAAAAGAAATCACTGGAAGGCATTTGATAAATTATAGGTGTTGGAATCTAGCTTTGTTATAGTGAGCTATAGAAAAAAATAAAAGTGGGAATCAAAATAATGTGCATCCAAGCCCCCAAATTCCACATATTTATAAATTTTCTGGGATATTTCAGAATGTTTTCTCATATGTTACAATAGGTCTGCAACCGGCTATATTAAAATCAAAAGTTTTCTGCATGAAATTGTTTTGGAGTTTTCTTGAGTCACTGATTTTGAATGAAAGATAGGACACTAAACATATGTACAGCAGAGATTAAAACAAGGAAGTTAAAAGATATGTTTGGTTATATTTTTCAGAGCGAATTCGGCCACGTGGCCCACACACGCCCGAGGAGGAATACCCACATGCTGCAGAGGATACAGAAGAAGAGGGGGAGGAGGAGGAGGAGGAGGAGGAAGAGGAGGAAGATCATGTGACCTCATCTCACGAGGGACATGTTGAGGGGAGTGATGCCCACAGCAGAGAGTCTGAGGTGTCGGTCGAGGAAGAGGACAGTGAATCCGACTCCGAGTCAGGTACAAGCTTGAAAGGTTGTCAAAATATCAAATACAGCAATGACTTTGAGGATTATAAAGAAAAATACAGGGCAGTTTTTGTTTATCGCAGTCCAAACGGTTGAACTGGTTGGACCAGAGTTGTGCGTTTATGAAATAAGGTTGGACCCAGTAATCTAATCCTACCCAAAAATGTTACATTTAAAAACAGACGAACAGGCCAAAATTGTTTGCCTACTTCCTATTCTGATCAATTCAATTATTGGTAGTAGCATCATCTTTGTGTAAAAATTTGGAATTATGCCAAAAAATGTAATGTTTCCCATCCCGGTACAACGAGCACTGGAACTTTTTTTGTACTCTATTTGAGTTGTCTGGGGTTGATGTACATGTATCTATTTGAGTTGTCTGGGGGTGATGTATATGTTTGAGTTTTCTGGGGTTGATGTACATGTATCTATTTGAGTTGTCTGGGGTTGATGTATCTTTTTGACTTGTCTGGGGTTGATGTACATGTATCTGCTTGAGTTGTTTGGGGTTGATGTATCTGTTTGAGTTGTCTCGGGTTGATGTACATGTATGTATTTGAGTTGTCTGGGGTTGATGTATCTGTTCGAGTTGTCTGGGGTTGATGTATCTGTTTGTGTTGTCTGGGGTTGATGTATCTATTTGAGTTGTCTGGGGGTGATGTACATGTATCTATTTGAGTTGTCTGGGGGTGATGTATATGTTTGAGTTTTCTGGGGTTGATGTACATGTATCTATTTGAGTTGTCTGGGGGTGATGTACATGTATCTATTTGAGTTGTCTGGGGTTGATGTACCTGTATCTATTTGAGTTGTCTGGGGTTGATGTACCTGTATCTATTTGAGTTGGCTGGGGTTGATGTATCTGTTTGAGTTGTCTGGGTTTGATGTACATGTATCTATTTGAGTTGTCTGGGGTTGATGTACCTGTTTGACTTGTCTGGGGTTGATGTACATGTATCCGTTTGAGTTGTTTGGGGTTGATGTATCTGTTTGAGTTGTCTCGGGTTGATGTACATGTATGTATTTGAGTTGTCTGGGGTTGATGTATCTGTTCGAGTTGTCTGGGGTTGATGTATCTGTTTGTGTTGTCTGGGGTTTATGTACATGTATCTGTTTGAGTTGTTTGGGGTTGATGTATATGTTTGAGTTGTCTCGGGTTGATGTACATGTATCTATTTGAGTTGTCTGGGGGTGATGTATATGTTTGAGTTTTCTGGGGTTGATGTACATGTATCTATTTGAGTTGTCTGGGGTTGATGTACCTGTATCTATTTGAGTTGTCTGGGGTTGATGTACCTGTTTGACTTGTCTGGGGTTGATGTACATGTATCCGTTTGAGTTGTTTGGGGTTGATGTATCTGTTTGACTTGTCTGGGGTTGATGCACATGTATCTGTTTGAGTTGTTTGGGGTTGATGTATCTGTTTGAGTTGTCTGGGGTTTATGTATCTATTTGAGTTGTCTGGGGTTGATGTACCTGTATCTATTTGAGTTGTCTGGGGTTGATGTACATGTATCTATTTGCGTTGTCTGGGGTTGATGTATCTGTTTGAGTTGTCTGGGGTTGATGTACATGTATCTATTTGAGTTGTCTGGGGTTGATGTATCTGTTTGACTTGTCTGGGGTTGATGTACATGTATCTGTTTGAGTTGTTTGGGGTTGATGTATCTGTTTGAGTTGTCTCGGGTTGATGTACATGTATCTATTTGAGTTGTCTGGGGTTGATGTATCTGTTCGAGTTGTCTGGGGTTGATGTATCTGTTCGAGTTGTCTGGGGTTGATGTATCTGTTTGAGTTGTCTGGGGTTGATGTATCTGTTTGAGTTGTCTGGGGTTGATGTATCTGTTTGAGTTGTCTGGGGTTGATGTACATGTATCTATTTGAGTTGTCTGGGGTTGATGTATCTGTTTGAGTTGTCTGGGGTTGATGTATCTGTTTGAGTTGTCTGGGGTTGATGTACATGTATCTATTTGACTTGTCTGGGGTTGATGTATCTATTTGAGTTGTCTGGGGTTGAGTTGTCTGGGGTTGATGTACATGTATCTGTTTGAGTTGTCTGGGGTTGATGTATCTGTTTGAGTTGTCTGGGGTTGATGTACATGTATCTTTTTGATTTGTCTGGGGTTGATGTATCTATTTGACTTGTCTGGGGTTGATGTATCTATTTACAGGATTTTCTGGTCTTTACCTAACATGACACAACTTTCCTTTGTAATAGGATAACTTTAGAAAATTCTCAAAATGTAAAATCAGATGTAATTTTTTTTGCAGATTTCTAGATCTACCTTCCAGTAGAACACAATTTTGACTTTGATTATATTCCTAATAGAATGTTCTATTAAAAATAGAAAAACACATCAGAAAATTCTGCACACTTTGATAATAAACGCTGGTTAGAGAGAAAAAAGGAGAAGTGGATTTAATTCATTCACCCCTTAAGACCCATTTGAACTCTTCCAATTCAAAGGTTGGAATAGTTCATTATGAACTTTCAATGGTGAATGAGTTAAAAGAAGATTTAATAGTCAATATTTTCCCAACAGAAGGAAAACCTCTTGATTTAAAATAATTTAATTTAATTCAGGAAGCGGCAGTAACTCGAACATTGATAGTGATGACGGCCACCAAAAAGACAGCGACATGGAAGAAGAGCCACCTAATCAGGAGGCAATGAAAGGTGGGAGAGCTATGTCCCCTATACTGCTAAAATTTAAAGCTCAAAGCACACAGTTGCATTGATTGTATGCAATAATGTGAAAATCTCCGAATAGGAATGTTAATTTGACAACAAATATTGTGAAAAGGCATAGAAATACCCTGCCATTTCTATAAAGGACATAGTGGAGCTAAATCAGATTTGCAAATTCAAAACTGGTTGTCAGGTATCAATCTTTTTTAAACATGCTAGAAATAAGCAATGAATGTAGAAAATCATATATATATTTTTTAAAGGAATGTGAAAAAAAAATAAAAAAAATTCTCTCAAGCCTTGCTTATCCACTTTCCTAACAATAGTGGCTAGTTTGGAAAAAATGACAAATTTTAAAGAGGGAAAATATGAGAAGAAAAAGAGAATCAGTTCCCAGAACCACCTGGTGGTTAGTGAGGCAAAGTGTTTTACTATGTAGTTATATAATGTGATACGTTATGGATTTTTGGTGACTCTGTTGTAGATAACTTAAGGTCAATATTTGATGAAGAGTCAGAGCCTGAGAGTCCAGCATCCTCATTGCATGAATCCGACCACCAGGATGAAAGGATGTACCTACAGGACACGCCCCCACAATCTCCTGTGGAGCTCGCCCCAGACCTTCCACCATACCTCCCCGCAATCCAGGGCTGTCGAAATGTTGAGGAGTTTCACTGCCTCAATCGCATTGAAGAGGGAACTTATGGTGTTGTTTACAGGGCACGCGATAAAAAGACAGGTAATAAAATTATTAGGCACAGTACATCCTATTCTACAGATCGAAAGTAAGGGCTCGTGATAATATGGCTGATATAAGCCATAGCACGTGCTGGAATCAGTTACATCAGTGCTTTAAATGGAGGGGAAAATCTACGTAACCAGGAGTGCTGGAATTTATTAAGTTTTCCTTGAAAAATGGTTTAGTGTATAATTTGAAGATCATCAACATGTCTATGAAGAACAGTTTGAAGTTTTGCTAATCAAGGACTGTTGAAAGTGTACTGTTGATATGAAATTTAAAAAAAAAGACAATTGATTATTATTTTACACACACACACACACACACACCCCGTGACGAAGTTAAAAAGGGTGAACTGGAATCAGCTTGTTCATCTGTCTGTACATAGAAAAAGTTTCGGGCCAATTTAAGAAATGATAACTACCCGCAAATATGTACTGAATATGAAACCTCAGCTATTGACCCCACACATTTAAAGTGCTATACGGTAATACTGTATACTAGAGGCACTACTGTAAGCATACATACTTAAATGTTAATCTTATTTTAGTGTTCTTGCTATTTTTAAATAATGAACTGATTTAAGCTTCTGTATATTTTTTTTCTATTGCATGTATTGTGGCTGCCCCAATTAATCAACGCACCAATAAGTTAACATTGGTTAATGCACTTAAATTCTAGTTGTGGCATAAAAAGGTGTAACAATATTTTTGCCAATTCTGTATCCCTAGCTCCTTTCCCAAAATAGTGAAAGAAAGAATACATATATATTAGATAGTACATGTATTGGAAAAGCTTGGGATTGAGTTCTAGAGTTGTATAGGGACCGCGTAGGCTGAGTGGTTAAGGTGTCCGACCATCTACAATGGCTAACCCTCCATCACTGGATCGCAGGTTTGAGACCTACGTGGGACAGCCACCGGTCGGTGATTTTTCTCCTGGAACTCTGGCTTTCCTCCACCACCATAACCTGTCTCACTTTTAAATGACCATGGCTGTCAATAGGACATAAGCACAAACAAATAAAAATGAAATTGAACTAGAGTTGCAGATTAGTAGTCATTGGCTGGCTTTATTTTGAAGATGAAATTGTGGCATTGAAGAGGCTGAAGATGGAGAAAGAGAAGGAAGGCTTCCCCATCACCAGTCTTAGAGAGATCAACACGCTGCTGAAGGCTCAACACATGAATATCGTCACAGTCAGGGTATGGAGAAATGACTGCAGAATATGTTTTTAATCAACTGAGAGGAATACTATAAAAAAAAGTGTCATTTAATACTATTTTGGTATTCAGAATTAATAGAAATTTTATTTTCAATTTATTTTAAACTTTAAGAATATTTCAGACATTATTGATGAATGTGGAATCTCAATTAACTAGACTTAATATTTTAAATCCAAAAGATCTCTGAAGTTTGAACACTCCAATCTTTGAATCTCATTATTAAACAACAAATATATGTGTTAAAGACATGGCAAGTGACGGATTTTGTTTCCAGAAAATCTGTCATTCTAGGAATTCTCCATAATATAAAATGGTTGCATTAGTGAGGTTCAATTGTGATAAAAGTAGCATATGGATTTTTTTTGGTGAGGAATCAAATCCCACCAACGTATCATTCAAACTAAATCATGGTCAGGAGATATAAAACACTTGCAGGAGATTGTGGTCGGCAGTAACATCGACAAGATATACCTGGTGATGGATTATGTGGAACATGACCTCAAAAGCCTGATGGAGACCATGAAGCAGCCGTTCCTAGTTGGTGAGTTGCATTAAGATATATTTTTCTGACATTTTCTTCCAACTTGATATGGAAGTTTGATCTGGTTTTAGAAGATATTTAAAGTATTTAGATCGACTGAACAAATAACTTATTAGGCACAGTACAGACCTATTGTGATCTTTCTTTGTATGCGGTCCGTTAAGACCTATTGCAATCTGTCTTTGTATGCCTGTTACGACCTATTGTGATCTGTCTTTGTATGCTGTCCATTAAGACCTGTTGTGACCTGTCTTTGTATGCTGTCCATTAAGTCCTGTTGTGATCTGTCTTTGTATGCCGTCCATTAAGACCTATTGTGATCTGTCTTTGTATGCTGCCCATTAAGACCTATTGTGATCTGTCTTTGTATGCCGTCCATTAAGACCTATTGTGATCTGTCTTTGTATGCTGCCCATTAAGACCTGTTGTGATCTGTCTTTGTATGCTGTTGTTAAGACCTATTGTGATCTGTCTTTGTATGCTGTCCATTAAGACCTATTGCGATCTGTCTTTGTATGCTACTCGTTAAGACCTATTGTGATCTGTCTTTGTATGCCGTCTGTTAAGACCTATTGCGATCTGTCTTTGCATGCTGCCCGTTAAGACCTATTGCGATCTGTCTTTGTATGCCGTCCATTAAGACCTATTGTGATCTGTCTTTGTATGCTGTCCATTAAGACCTGTTGTGATCTGTCTTTGTATGCTGTTGTTAAGACCTATTGCGATCTGTCTTTGTATGCTGTCCGTTAAGACCTATTGCGATCTGTCTTTGTATGCTGCCCGTTAAGACCTATTGTGATCTGTCTTTGTATGCTGTCCATTAAAACCTATTGCGATCTGTCTTTGTATGCTACTCGTTAAGACCTATTGTGATCTGTCTTTGTATGCCGTCTGTTAAGACCTATTGCGATCTGTCTTTGCATGCTGCCCGTTAAGACCTATTGTGATCTGTCTTTGTATGCTGCTCGTTAAGACCTATTGCGATCTGTCTTTGTATGCCGTCCGTTAAGACCTATTGCGATCTGTCTTTGTATGCTGCCCGTTAAGACCTATTGCGATCTGTCTTTGCATGCTGCCTGTTAAGACCTATTGTGATCTGTCTTTGTATGCTGCTTGTTAAGACCTATTGCGATCTGTCTTTGTATGCCGTCTGTTAAAACCTATTGCGATCTGTCTTTGTATGCTGCCCGTTAAGACCTATTGTGATCTGTCTTTGTATGCTGTCCATTAAAACCTATTGCGATCTGTCTTTGTATGCTACTCGTTAAGACCTATTGTGATCTGTCTTTGTATGCCGTCTGTTAAGACCTATTGCGATCTGTCTTTGCATGCTGCCCGTTAAGACCTATTGTGATCTGTCTTTGTATGCTGCTCGTTAAGACCTATTGCGATCTGTCTTTGTATGCCGTCCGTTAAGACCTATTGCGATCTGTCTTTGTATGCTGCCCGTTAAGACCTATTGCGATCTGTCTTTGCATGCTGCCTGTTAAGACCTATTGTGATCTGTCTTTGTATGCTGCTTGTTAAGACCTATTGCGATCTGTCTTTGTATGCCGTCTGTTAAGACCTATTGCGATCTGTCTTTGTATGCTGCCCGTTAAGACCTATTGTGATCTGTCTTTGTATGCTGCTCGTTAAGAAATATTGCGATCTGTCTTTGTATGCTGCCCATTAAGACCTATTGTGATCTGTCTTTGTATGCTACTCGTTAAGACCTATTGCGATCTGTCTTTGTATGCTGCCCGTTAAGACCTATTGCGATCTGTCTTTGTATGCTGCTCGTTAAGACCTATTGTGATCTGTCTTTGTATGCTGCCCATTAAGACCTATTGCGATCTGTCTTTGTATGCTGTCTGTTAAGACCTATTGCGATTTGTCTTTGTATGCTGTCTGTTAACATCATAGATTTTCAACTTAAAATTGAATATTACTGAAGAGATTTCATTGATGGATTATAGTAATGTTACTGACATTGTTTTGAGGAGATCGTATTATTCATCCGGTAAAGAAATCCAGTATTGCTGTCAATGGACAGCATTTTTGAAAACCTATATTAATTTCAAACTTAAATCCAATCTCGCATGTGCCTGTTTCACTGAAATTTAATAGGGATGGTCCTGACAGTGCGTTAAATTTTTAGTCAATCAGAAATCCAATGTTGCTGCCACGTATACTGCAGTCTTTTTGAAATTTTATTTCAAAATTAAACCTCTGTACTGATGAGCACACTTCGCTGCAACTTGGTCCTGGCACGTTGTTATTTTTCAGGTCAATCAGAAATGCAATAATATGGCTGCCACTGCTGCCATTTTAAAAGCTTTCTTCAAACTAAGTTCGGGCCAACTTTGCTGTATTTTGGATTGAATGTTCGACTGATGGTCCTGGCTCATAGCGAAGTTCTAATTTGCCAGTTTAATTTTGTAATACATAAATTGTTTAGATATCAGGATTTGATGCAGGATTTGATGCATACTTGCCAATCTCACGAAAAATTCCATGCGGGAGATTCTGTGTGCTCAAACTTAAAAACATAAATAAAATGTGTATGTATACTCGCTAGAGTAAAAACACTTTAAAATAATATATTTTGACTTATTCTTTTAGGTGAAATCATTAAATCTTAGAAAATAGGAACAGAAAAATTCACTGGTTGAAAAATGTTCAATTTAAGAGTCCAAAATAGGGAGTCTCCCTCCAAAAGTAGGGAGTTGGTGTGTATGATGATGATGAGTTATACTATCATCTGTATTTCAGGTGAAGTGAAGACCCTTTTGAAGCAGCTGTTGAATGGGGTGGAACATCTTCATGACAATTGGATAATACATCGGGACCTCAAGACCTCCAACCTTCTACTCAGTCACAAGGGTATACTCAAGGTACCATTCGTTTGTACAACAGCCATTTCATAATGAGTGTGGTAGAGGGAGAGGCCTATATAGAGTGACCTATGTTTGAACTACCCTTGCTGGTTCAAATCTCATTGCTCCCGTGACTTACAGTAAAACCTTGTTATACTGCCACTATTTGTCCAGAGAAATGTTGGCGCTATAAAGGGGTATGGTGATAAGTTGAGGGAAATATATAAATGAATTTTTAAGAAAACAAGAAAGGAACATTAAAATCGGTTGGCGGTCAATGAGGGGAATGCTATTGAGGTCTTGCTGTAAATTTTGAACAGTTTTTTTTAACAAACTTAAACAAAATATATGAGAACACCTAGGGTGAGATTGTATTCAGATTTCCAATATCAAGGGCCACACTGTAAGAATTTGTCTGCTGTGATATCAAAAATGGATAGGTCTTGTCTTGTCTGATGTTGTTAAAACCACCTATTCCCAGACTCTTCAAATGCTCTGTGTATAGATCCCAAGTGAGGCCCCCTCCTCACGCACCTGCTCTCAAATGTCTTTCAAATATATTTGTTCATGGACAGTAATGTTCATCCAGCAGGCTTTGTACCAAGCCCAAAATTAGCTGGTAAGCACAACATTTGGGTTTCTTGAACCGCTTGCATTTTTTTCACCACTGTAGACTGTAATGGACTCATCCAGATCTATGCATGGTAGAGTCTACTAAAGTTACATAGGGGTGAAAGGGTTAAATTGAATAGTTTGGGTTACTGTGAAAGTGGAAATTTTTTTAGTGTTGAAAGAGGTTCTCTCTTTTTTTGCGTCGTTGAGATACGAGCGCAAATAATTATCCACACACTAATATTTATTTATAAATTATGTAGATTATGGATAAATAGGATATTTAGATTTCAGAACCATTACCAATGTGAAAATTTCTACACAGCAATATCAGCTTAACCGTTTCACCCCTATGAAGCTTGAGTAGACTCTACCATACATTAATATAGATTAGTCCATTGTGGTCTACAATGGTGAAATGGTTAAAGGGTCACAATCGGAACATGTCCACAAATGAAAATTTCCACTTTAACAATACAGATGTATTACATTTGACCAGTTTGATATGTTAAATGAACTGGCCAGCTACCACTTGACATGTCTTTCTGGCTAATTTAATTGATCATTTGATGCAATTTATGGAAATCTGACAATGAAGTTTCTTTCTGTAGTTATAAAAAGCGGGACTGGGTTACAGTTGCAAAATAGCATTGTGTTCCCAGGAGGTACTGGCGAGATAATGTGTGATAAAGTCAACTCCTTAACCCATTCACCCCTGAAAACACATTTGAACTCTTCTAATTCAAAGGCTGGAATAGTTCGTTATGAAATTTCAGGGGTGAGTGAGTTAATTTATTTCCTTGGAACATTTTCTGAAAATTGTAAGAAAATGATGCCGATCATTCCCAATTATTAAACCAACTGTTTTTAAGTCGGTATAGGATTGAAATGTAAATGTTATGTGCCTTGTTTTATTACAGATTGGGGACTTCGGACTCGCACGAGAGTATGGATCTCCTTTAAAACAGTACACACCTATAGTGGTCACGTTATGGTACCGAGCACCGGAACTTTTACTGGGGTGTAAGGTGGGTATTTCATCTGTAATATTGTCCTGCTAGCAAAAGTTTGTGTATATTGTATGTTATTCAGTGTATTTCTGATACAGTGTACCAGTAAATTTGAGTAATTCCGATTCAGCATGCGCATCACTCAATGTTATTTGTGTCGCCTGCAACGCGAGGCGACATATAGGCATTACTTTGTCGGCGGCGTCAGTTGCATCGTCTGAAACAAGGTTTCCGTGCGATAACTTGAGTTCCCTTGAGTTGATTGAACTCAAACCTGGTACACATATTGCATACCAATATACTATTTCGCATTACAGAAGTTTATGTGTATTTTTGGTGGAGTTATGCCCTTTTTATTGCCAAATAAGGGCATTGTGTAGTAAATGCAACATCTTTTTTTATTTTTTAATCAATTCCTTTCAAATTTTGTACGGTAATGCTAGAAGTTATAGTACAGGTTTTTCTGTCGAGTTTCAACTTTCCACGTTTTGGTATATCTGTTTACCCGATAACTCAAGCCAAAACAGTGTCCCATGCGGTAGGCCAATTGCAGGTTGTCATGGAGTCTGTTTGCATGGAGATGAACCTCTAAACGCCGAGACACAACCTTCTCCAAGATTTTAGACAGAAAAGGCAGATTTGATACTGGGCGGTAGTTCTTCAACTCCTCCTCGTCCATTCCAGGCTTCTTTTATGGTCTAACATGTACCTTCTTAAAATACAATGGAACCTTTGACTCGGCCAATGATTTGTTCATGATTGAGGTAATCAATGGAAGCAGTGCTTCAAAACATTGTTTTAATAGGTCTGTAGGCAGTGGATCAAGCTCACAGGACTTTGATTGCGAGGTCATGATGATATTGCAAAACTCGTCTTGGGTTGTTGGTGAGAGCTTTGTCAATGGTTCCCCATCAAATTTAACTTGTCATGACAGAGATATCATTGTCAGCAGTAGAGTTCACTTTTGCAATATTTTTCCTGATCAAGCTGATTTTATTCAGAAGAAATCACTGACCTTGTTAGACAAGTCTTTTTCAGAATTACAGCTTGGTAGGATAATTTCACCTTTCTGGCCCATTAGGTTTTTGGTGAGTCTAAAAAGCTGTCTATGACCCTTACCACATTCTTCGATTCTTTCCGAATAATAAGCCTTCTTTGACTGAATGAGAACCAACTAGCCAACATTGTGCCCTATAAATCTGTTGGTGAACGGTTAGTTTGATCCTACGCCACTGTCTCTCTGTTTTTCTACAGTTCTGTTTTTCTCCTCGGAGATTTTCATTATACCATGGGGCATTCAGTCTCACAGTTATCACCTTAGTCAGCCGAGGTGCGTGTTTCTCTGTAAGGGCTTCTATACCAGATGTGTATGTTTCAACAAGATCATCAACCCCGCATTCAGTAGATTGAAGGGCGGAAGACTGAATGTCATCGTTGAAATCTGGTATAGAAATTTGACTGAATTTCCAGAAGCTCACTACTTTTCTTGTACGATCTGGCTTACTACAATTCAGTGTCGTGTGGACAGCAAGATGATCACCGGATTGGTTCCCCTTTACATCACTTGGACATGGATCAATCACTGATATTGCTCCATGAACGGCTGAGTTATCTTCCCTTGTAATGACCACATCCAGTCCTGTCCCAGAACTCCAGATTTTGTTTACCACTAGACTACCGTGCCTCCTAGAGATCAATAGAAAAACTGACAAACGTTATTTTATGGTCCTTTAATGATATATTTAAGCCCCCCTCCCCTCCCCCACTCCCCTTGAGTGAGAAAATGCAGAATAAGTAAAGTGTATTTTTTAATAGAATATTGAATAGCCTGGATGCAATATAACCCAACTTTAATATTTCTAACCCTCAGCATTGCTAAAATTCAAGAGATTGTAGTAATTGGCAAAAGTTAAATACATATTATACTGTATACTGGGTATTTTCAGGATCAGCTTAATGCTTTATCTACATTTTTCACAAAGTGAGACATTTTCTATAAGGTTCTGCAGAGTAGATAGTCATTTGGTGTGTGGTTGATAATTTTCAAAAATTCAACAAGTCAAATCAGGAAAAAATGAGAGTAGGTTCTTTTTTGACTCATGGCTAACAGAAAATAAAATTCTGAGGTTTTTGTAGAGAGAATTTTTGGGTTTAGCAATTAAACAACCACTGAGTTCAATCTTATTAACTACCTGACGTGAAACACCATCAAATAAGTATCGAGCAAACATTTTATTGAGAACTTCCGGATCAGGCAATATCAACTTCAATGATCATGTAACAATGCAAGGGAGGTAACACCCTTCATACAATGGAACAATATTTAGTAACGTTTATATATTTTGTAACGGCTTCCTGTCACTTATAAAGCAAAAAATTTGACACTCACAAATTAGAAACTGGATACATACAGTATTTTCTGGGTTATTCTTTTCAATAAACTAATTTTGATAGCTGTGGGCATTTTATGTAATGTAATGTGTTATAATACACAGCCCTGCTGCTGGCTGTGTCCCTCCAAATTGATTTCCAAGTCCCTTAGAATGTTGACAAACTTGTACACTGATTACTACAAGCGTCATCATTTGTTTGCTGTTTTCTTATAGTTATGACAATTTGATAAACTGTAAATCAATAATTATACAGTAAAACTGTGATTTACATTTCAAGGTTCACTCCTCCCAAACTATTTTTAGCTCACCTGGCCCGAAAGGGTTTCAGAAAATTAAAATTTCAAGTTTCTAACAACAATATCTTATGGCCTGTTTAAGAGATGTTAAAATGTCTTGCGTTCTAGATACCAAATTTGGTCTGAAGTTACCTATATGTCAGTCTCATGGAATTATAACAAAAGAAACAGGTGAGCGACACAGGCCCTTATCGCTCGCCTGTTTCTTTTGTTACAGGAAGCTTACATATAGGTAACTTCAGACTTTCCTCTCAAACCTCTTTATAATGCCGTTATTGTCATGTGGTGGCAGTATAAGAAGGGTTTACTGATTCCTTATGTTACAGGAATATGCCACAGCAATAGACATGTGGTCAGTGGGTTGTATATTTGCCGAGTTCCTGATGATGAAAGCCCTTTGGCCAGGGAAATCTGAGATTGATGAACTGAATAGGATATTCAAGGTAAGGTATTACACCTCACCAGAGAGGCAGTGTGCATCCTTTTAATTTGTACTTTTGTGAAAAATTCTCAACTTTGCATTGTGTTGAATTTGCCACTTCAAAATCGTTCGCTATATATGTTGTATTAATTAACTTGAAATATTCCCTGAAGTGATTAAGTTGGTTGAATGAATTTTCGTGCTGTGGAAACTGCCCTGTATGGAGTGCGTTAGTATTGGTTACCATTAGTTGTACTGAAAGTTGTATACAGATTCATAGAGCACAACCAGTGAAATGTTTAATTGTAATATTTAGACAGTCACCTTTATCAAATGATCTGTAAAGAGATAAAACCTGAAAAGACACACAAGAGACCACCCATAAGAAAAAAAACAATCATTATCCCCTATATGATAGACCAATTCTAGGAGAGCCCATCCAAAATGGTGGTGGGATGGTCGCGAGGTACAGTGAATAAGGCACTCGCATTTCACTAAGAGGGCCGGGGTTCAATTCCCCGATCGGTCGTGAAGTGGTACGGGGTCACCTGTCCGACCACGTGGGTTTTCTCCGAGTAGTCTTTGTTTCCTCCCACATTAAGACCCTCCAGGGGCTAACATCCGGGCCGACAAGAGCGATTAATATACATTGTACAATTTGTGATAACTCGTTTCATAATTGCTGTAAAACTAGAAGTTTATATTTATGCAATATACCTATGAAAAATCACTGGCCCATAGTAAGCAATGGGTACCCTATGAAAGACCATCCTATATATTCCCAATGAGAAAAAACACAAAAGGTTATGAAATCCATGTTTTGTAAAATCTGGCGAGGCCGATCTTTTACCTGGGAGAGGCTATCTCTCAGATGTAACGATAAGGCTCAGGGGTACATGTCAACTATATTTCTATACAGGACCTGGGAACACCTAACGAGAAAATCTGGCCAGGTGTGGGTGAGTTACCTGGAATGAAGAAATGTACATTCACAGATTACCCCTACAACACAATACGACAGAAGTTCGGCTCCTATTTCACAGACATGGGATTCGACCTCCTTAACAGGTATGTACAAAGTAAACTAAAATTATCACAGATTTTCTGGGTTTTCCACTGACATTTCCGTAATATTTATCTCAATTGTTCGAAAGGCAATCTTCTGAAAAACCAAGAGACCCAGGATATTGGTATTTGGTTGATAGCATACTTGGATGAAGGACTATCAAGTGTGTTCAAATGAATGACCTTGACTCATTTTCAAGGTCATAGTCATCTGAATGAGCAAGATTTCCTAGGGTCGTAATATTTGGCATGTTAAATGTTAAATTACATGAGTTTGCCAGCAGCCTTGAATATCAGTTAATAGACGCGTGGAGACTATTTGTTATAGCTTGTTGTTAGATCATCAAATTTGTTATGATAGTGATTGAAGATTAAAAATTAGACTTTTACCTTCTGATTCCTAGTTTATTAATCCCCCATCCACGATATCCGGGGGTTACACTCACTTTCGTTCTCTGCACCCCTGGAAAATCGGAAGCTCAGTGTGCACTGCCTTGTGGATAAGACGAGAAGGCTAGTTTGATCCTTTGATGTACATCAAAAGAATCTCATGGTCGTATAATGGTAAAACTTACCGGCTTTGAAGTCGGACGTCGCTGCTTTGTAGTCTTCAAAGGACAGGTATCAGCCTTGTAATTGGTCAGGGTTTTTTTAGCCGACACCAATCAAATAGCTAGCTGTGTGCCTTCATTTTCGCTATGACATTTTTTAGGGGTGCAGAGAGCGAAAGTGAGCGTAACCCCTGGATATCGAGGATGTAATCCCCCTGCTTCTACTGGCGGGGATCTATAAGTTTAAACTCTGCTAGTCCATCAGTCTGTAGCGTTTACAGTGAAAATGTTCACAAGATCGATACATTCACATTAAGAAGTTAGATAAATCAAATTTAAATTCCTTTAAATTATTTAGCAAGGCACAACTTAACAAAAGAAATAAAGCCTTTGTCGGCTTGTTTTTTTTAATGAAATATTTCACAAATAATTCCTTTGACAAGCTATTACGAAAAAAATGACTTGTGTTAACTGATTGACTATTGTGTAACATGGAATATGGGTATTTTCTTTCATGGTTTGAAGCCATTTAGACTGTTTTGAGGTACAAACGTGCATGGATATCCCATATAAAGAAACAGCTGTCAAATGTATCAGTCAAATTCGTTACATTTATTTTCATGGTTCAAGATTCCTAACATACAATCCCGAAAAGCGTATAACAGCAGAGGAGGCCACCATACACTCATACTTCAAAGAGTCCCCGCTTCCTGTCGACCCATCTATGTTCCCCACATGGCCAGCCAAGAGTGAACAGCCACGCAAACATCAGAACTCTCCGAAACCTCCGTCAGGTGGCAACGCATACAATAAACTCATGGTAGGTATTAGTGACGAATTATATACTATTTCGTACATTTCATCTGTAATTTGTGTTGCTGATGATGGCGTGATTGAGAGCTTGATTTGGTGTACTTCTCTTATCATTTCAGGCTGACGAAGATGTAGAAAAAGTAATTGCATCTCGAGGATTTCACCTGACTAACGCAGCTAAAGGAGCGTCTGCTGTAGGGATGGGCTTCAGCTTAAAGTTTTAGTGGCGAACTAGAAAATACTTCATCCTTTCAGTGACAATACTCACCTGTCTGATATATTGTCCTTCTGATAACGCTTCACCGAAATGTGTGACCTTGTCCGCAGCACTAGGAAGATTTTAATTTCTAGACGTACAAATGTATTGAACATTATACACCATGCTTTGATCACAAACAGATTTGGGTGTAATTCTTATCTCGTCAGTCAGACAAGGGTATCAATATTTTTGACGGTGCTAGAAAGTTCTATCGTGCCCAAGGTTCTGGCCAAGGACAAAATCAGATGATTAAATCACAGTGTGAAAGCTTCATTTTAAAGCTGATCTTAACTCATTCACCCCTAAAGACACATTTGGACTCTTCCAATTCAAAGGTTGGAATAGTTCATTATGAAATTTCACGGGTGAACAAGTTAAAAAAATGAAAGACAAGAAAATAAATTTACTCATTTGAGATATAGACAGAGAAATCTCTTTTCTCAGGATGATATTTTTGAGTGTTTAAAACTCAAAAGAAGCCTTGTGGAGGAAAACAAAAAACATTACTCTCTGGTCTACATTTCTGTATGCTCACTACACAAGAGTGTTAGATTCTATTTATCTTTACTGAAGATGACAGTCTGTAACAACAAATGCAGGACCAAGTCTAATCAAATCGTACAAAATGAGAATGAGGCTAGCTCATTATGTAACATTTTATACAGGCATGTATTGTTTGCACATATTACTCTCAACAGTTTGATCTGATTTGAAAGGATGAAAATTTACTGGCAAGAAAGTGACTTAGCACTGTTTTAGTATTCACAAGGTTGGTTCCAAAATCTCATCAAAGGAAGTTTGAAAAATGGAAAAAGTGTGACTGATCATGAGTATGTTCGTAAAGTAATACAAAAGAAATATAACATTAGTGTGAGAATGATGTGTTATAGAATATCTAGCGTGTAAGCGATCATCAAATAGTTCATTTATTACAAAAAATGTCTGTGCATTTTACAAGAGTTATCTACCTTGCATTAAGATGTTGGTGCCTGGTATCACCGTTCAACAACCATTGCTCATGTTATTTTTGATGGAAAAGGAATAATCAGAGATTTATCTCTTGAAGGATTTAAGAAGTTTAAATGCAGCAAAACCTGTCTAATCTGAACATTTTAAATTTTGTTTTGTATGGATGGATATCCTAGAATCCCAAGTTAATCTTTAATGGTTATTAACTCATTCACCCCTGAAGACACATTTGGACTCTTCCAATTCAAAGGTTAGAATAGTTCATTATGAAATTTCAGGGGTGAACGAGTTGATGGAAGAGCTAAGGCTAGGTTTTGAAAAAAACCATTCATCAATTTAATTCCTTTCCCATTGGAAAGTATTGCTGAAGTTACCAGGCAAGGAAAAATTGCAAAGATAATTATTTTTATACCCCCTGCAAATGAAGTTTGGGGCTGCCACAAATTTGTTGCCTATTTTTCCTGGGGTAATGGCACTTGAAACTGTAATTTCTTCTCCAGAAACCTTGTCAATGCAACTTCTTTGTTTAATTCATTTGTTTAAAAGAGTGTGAAATTGTTTTTATTAAGCATCTGTTAGAAAAAAAATAGATAATGGAATTGTCTTCTGATAGAAGTAAAATGAACGTTACAAGATACTGTGGCTGGGCTACACAGAGTTAAAAAAAAATAGCTAAAACGTTTAGCAGGAAGACAAATAATCTTGAAGAAAGAAGTCCCAATTTATTCAGGTTTCTATATTGCTGTCTTGAGGAATTAGGTTAGGCAAGATGCGCTACATTTCTCTTAAAATCTTTTGACCGAAGAAGAGGAAATCAAAATTCATATATTACTGAAAGTTTTTTACAAGTTATATGCCAGACAAGAATGTGAGTGGCGAGAACATTTTTTTTGTGTAAATGTCAATCATGTATAATTAATACTGAAAAATAAAAAACAATGGACAAAGAAATGATATTTTTGGTTTGTTATTATTAGTAAAACTCACGAAACCTCTAATCAGAATTATTTTTACCCATATCCAGGTTCCTGAGTGCTTTTATCACATTTCAATTGTTTATTGACCCGACATGAAATTCTCTTGACCACGTGAAGCCCAAGATGAAGGGATTTAGACTTTTTTGACATTAAGCATTCCTTGACTTAGGAAATTAGAGAGACAGGGCCCCAAATAATGAAATTGATATTAACCTACTACATTTATATATGTCTGGGAACATCAACCTCATTTAGCCTGAAGCACCCCTGGGTGCAACTTTGATTTCCAGAGATTACACTGACTTGCCTCTCTGCACCCCTGGAATATGTTGTGTCACAAATCCTAACCTCCACATGGTTTTGGTCTAATCATATTGGATCATAAAAAAAAAATTGTCATCTTATACAAACGTTACCAACAAACATTAGATAGCTATCCTCAATAAGTTACTGTCAATATTAAACGAATAATTTAACTCGTTACGATTACTAAAAATCACAGACCATACCCCAGTGGAGTAGATATCCCCAAATAACTGAAATAAGTGTTCTGTAGGCTAATTACAATTAATTTGTTATGGCAGTGCATTTTATAAGATAAGCTCATTCTGAAACTATCATACTGTTTCAGATAATCTTTCACTTGAGGTTAGCTATCATAAGAATAATTAAATGAAATAATGAAGAAACGACCGGTTCTTCCTCTATTGGTACGTTCGTTCGTTCGTCAAACAACCAGTCAGTCTGTAAATCAATCAATCAATTGATATAAGGGTCACTTTTGTGGTATGTAGACACTATTTGGCTAATTCCTCGACCACGTTTCTCTTTTTTGGCGAAGGAGTTGTTTCCCTTGACACCTCTGGGTTAGCCTGTGATCAGAATTATGACTATCTATATCACAGGTACCTGAGCATTTAAAACAGCTATATTTGGCCCTAAACTAGGGTGTTCAGAGTAATGGTACGTACACGTTTTAAGGGTTTGGATCAACTTTCGGTAAAAATGCCACCCAAAGATATATAATATATATATGTCTCTGCCTAAAGTTGATCTAAAGCGTGTAATATTACTCGGAACATATTTGTTTACGACCAAATATAGCTGTAACAAATTCTCAGGTCCCTGTGATCTATATATATATATAAATCTGTTGCGTATTATGGGGACAATAATTATAGGGCGGAATTAAGTGTTTTTCGCAAAATTTGCAATAAATTTTCATCCTCTGATAAAAACGATAATAATAATAATATTTATTCAGATAAAAGGCAAACATGACACGTATATCATATATTGCAAATTGGACATAAATATATATGTTATTACAGATGTTATTTATAAGTTATTTATGCCATAAAAATAGTAACCAGTTAGAGTGTTGAAAACTTGATTGGATTCGATTAATTTACGCCTTTACCTGGGATGGCCCATAAAGCCATAATTCCTATGGGGCCTTGGATCTGATTTTTGTTCGGTTTATCAATGAGATTTGTGAATCTGAGCTATTGTTTCATTTGTGTCCATGGGAGATTCAATATTTATAACTCTCAAAGAATCGTCTCATACAAACCAGGGACGTATATACTGTCCCTGTACAAACACAACAAATGAAAGATCTTTTGGTCAAAAACTCATAAAAAGTATGCGTACGACACATGTATACAAAAATAGCCAAATATAACCGTACGCCTTTTGTATATTAACCTAAGGCATACACTGCCAACGGCTAAGTCGAAATGATGTGGAATGTTAGTTTTTTTTATCGTACCGTACGAAACTTGATGATTTGGTGGTCTCTCGATCGACCAGTATGCCAATTGGCTGAAATATGATTTATTATTGTTTTGCTCTCTATGTTCGAGTTTCACTCATACATATCGGACAGTTTCTGCATTTCAGTGATTCGTCGTTTTCGTTTTCTTAGGACATTGCTTTTGTTTCAAGGAGAGAACGTTGGAATAGAGTTATCTCCCTTGACTAAATAAGATTTAATAATTGATTGTCAATTAATTCAGGTTAACATGTATATTGTCAAATGCATTTCCCCATTCATTAACCAGATCCAACATACCAGCCATAAAATGTCATTTAAACGAGGTTCTTTTTCCTTTTCCTATTTTTTCCAATCTACGTCTCTTGTTTTATTCTTGTGTTTTCTGTCAATGCACTTATTATCATATAGTATGGCTGTTGTGAAGACGTTAACCCCGATACAAAATTTTAAAAAAGTTTCTCGGATCGGAACTCTTTTGTAATGGAGATGGATTTCAAAGTTTAAGATACCAAATACCTTAAGGGCTACCTGTATGTATCAGTACCAATACTAGTTCTAAGCACAACAACATACCCTGTCTCCTGCATACACACACGCAGGCACGCATACACTACACACAAGCAGGCACGCATACACTACACACACGCAGGCACGCATATACTACACACACGCAGGCACGCATACACTAAACACCCGCAGGCACGCATACACTAAACACACGCAGGCACGCGTACCCTACACACACGCAGGCACGCATACACTAAACACTCGCAGGCACGCATACACTAAACACACGCAGGCACGCCTACCCTACACACACGCAGGCACGCATACACTACACACAAGCAGGCACGCATACACTACACACACGCAGGCACGCATACCCTAAACACACGCAGGCACGCATACACTACACACAAGCAGGCACGCATACACTACACACACGCAGGCACGCATACCCTACACACACGCAGGCACGCATATACAACACACATGGAGGCACGTCCTTAAATGACCTTAGCTGTTAATAGGACGTTAAAAAAAATTAAACCAAACCAAATCTGTATTACGAGAAAACCAGCGGTCAGTATAATGTGACGAAGTGGGGTCTAATGTTTCAAGCTGTCAGGGTCACTCTTATCTGGAATGGCCACCAACAGCAGTAAGTGGACAACGTCTTTATTGGATCTTGACCACAGGAACGAATGAAATGTACCCAAACAAAAGATGTCTCACACATAGGTTCTATATAATTGATAGAACTTAAGGTAACTCGTACCACTGCGCCAGGTATACTCGCGAAGAAGAGTTCCATTCTGAGTAATTTTGTGTTTGAAGTAGTCTCCCTTCAATATAGAAAATGAAGAAACCAAAAAGGGTTCGTTTTCTGGCTTAGAGTAACTTCCCCTGTCAAGTCTACACATTACACTTGTTATGTCTGGCGTTTATCATTCCTGCATGATTACATTTGTAAAGTGCATTTTTGCAATGTAAAGGTCATGCGTTCGAACCCAGCAGTTTTCCTGTTTTGTACTTTTGAAAAGGATTTAAACAAATATTCACAGTGGTGACAATAGTAATAGCACAGTTTAGCTGTATCGTAAACTATCAGAACACAAAATAGCTCTTACCCACTCAGAACATGATCTATACATTCAATCATTTTTCAGTATTTTAGATGCTTTATTTATCTACGTGTATGTCTATACATGTATGTTTGTAATGTCCCCGAAAGACCACGTTTAATTAGGCAAGAATTAGTTTAAAGTAGGAATTTTAAAAATAAAAGTGCAATATGTCTCTATAAATATATTATTCCATTCGCTTTCTCAGTTCAGAATTTTGTTTAGTTGTTTTAGCGTTAAGCTTGGCCTTCCTCCAGAAATCTGATATATATTCCCATAACTGTACGTATATATCTGTCTTTAACTACGTAAAATTCAATATGCGTGATACACGTGTACTCAGAGAAACAGTCATCGCACGCGTGTCCGTTTTTTTACAATGTCTATCAATTTTTATTCTGGATTGTATATATGTTTCTATTATATATATTGGTCCGTATCCTGTTTTCTATTTATAACTCAGGTTTAGTGTATAGCGCGAGCGTCCCACGAGCTCCCCCGTCTTGCATCCATAATATATATAGTAGTCCGCTGTGTATCTTGTTATATCCGCACCAAGCCTGCTCCCAAACAATTCTGTATAGTGTATATCGGTATACAGTCTCGTAGAAAGCGTTAGACGCTCATCTGCCAAATCTAGAAGGGCCGGGCGAATAAACTTGAGAGAGAGTCATTCCCTAGCAACCAAATTCCAGATTCCTTATAGGGCGAGTCAGCCGCTGTAGCTACCACGGTGTATTTTTGGCAGTGTTGTTGTATAGGCCCCACCAATGCGCGACCCCCCGCCACAGTGAAAACCGATCTGCGTTCTGACTAACCGAATACCTCCATATATGGCACACAGAGGCCCGAAAATCTGCGTTTTATCTCAACTCCCGTTTTTACACAAATTTGGCAACATGTGTTATAGTTTTACAACAGGCAGTTTGCAAGGCACGTCTCGGACAAAAGTTTGGAGACTTTTGAAAAGTTCCTCTGTTGATCAGTTGATCAGCTGATCGTTGAGTTTTGTACACATGGTAACTACTACCACAAAGGGAATTTATATCTGGGAATATTGTATTGGAACATATCTTAAAATCCGAGACGTTGACAATGGATTGGAGTTTATCGACAATGTTTACCATTATTTATGCTCTGTGAAGTTGAACGCGGACGATTTTAAGGTTTGCTGTGGTCACCATTGATCATGTTTTCAGTGGAGTAACGCATCTGTTTACAGGAAAGTAGTTACAGATTTTCTATATAAACAATTTAGCACATTCGTCATGTCTCACCGGAGGAAAAATTCACATCCCATGAACAAGCAGAAACGGATTGGAAGTGTTGTGGACAGGGTATTAGCCGCCAAAACACGAGAATACGTACGTATATAATTGTATATTTATATCTACCTATATGTAGGCCTCTACAAATACGACTGTAAAATATCATAACACAAAATATTGCAAATTCTGTGACGTCATATATAGCTCGTGTACGAATCGTCAAATAGGTATACATACTTCATGTTTTGTTGTTCGACGACCTAGATATTACAATATTTATTTATTTGTTTTTCGTTTAACCTGTGTGCTAATCTTAATACAATTTATTTACACCAGATTTTCATATGGTCAGTTAATGTATAGAATTATATGGATGTTTAATTCGTTTTGACGTCGTGAAGTCCAGCAGACTGCACGACAAGCATGAATGTTTGATTTTTAATGTTAGAAAATATTTTATTTTATTTCTGTGTCATATGGTACGCATTATGTTACGTTTGCACGTGCCTTATTGTTACATATAAATGACAGACATGTAAATAAACCGTATGACTATACCATTTGTTGATATTGATTCCCACACATTACATCTTCAGCACACACGCAGGCATACACACATAGGGAGATATTAGCCAGGTGGCATAGGACTAGTAATAAGCGCCTGCTAAGGCAGCTCCTGCGAATTCCTCTAACATAGTATTGATTAATGTATATGCTAATTGTATTAATTGTATATCTATGTACTTAAAAGCGCTTTAGAGTGGCTTATATTAGCTATAGATAGGCCGCTACATCAAATGCTGTATGTTGTTATTAAAATGCACTTATATTCAGTATTCATATATATATATATATATTACATTACGTGTAATTAATTCAAATACGTTTTAAATGTATAGATAATACCATGAATAGACAGACACATTTGCTGATTTTAAGAAATTAAAGTTGCATTCACAACTAACTGGGTCGACTGCAGAATCGGGACATTCGTTTTATTAGCGACAGCTCGGGATTATTTACATCTCTACGTATTCTGTCATCTATCACCATTTTTCCATACTCATATATTATATGAGATAGATTAGGACTTGAGCAAGGCAATTACAACAGTAACAGTCTTGCTCAAGTCCGAAATATTATATAAAGTGACTCGAGCACGTGCGTTCTCCATGTACATAGCATAACTGTCATTGTTTATTACACGTTCTTTCTTCTGACACAAGTCATCATTCCACCTATATCGAGACGACGTAATACTCCAAATAGATAAAAAGCATAAATTCCCATGTGGACAGAAATTGCTAAAAGTCACACCATGGTGGACATAACAAGCTACTGTTTGTGAAAATGTAAAATTGTCATAGCAAATTCTGTCTCAGAAATCACGTGGTTAGTTTTGATTGGTAATAAGTTGTTTGCAAAAGTATGTTTTTAGTTTTCGGACGATTTTCAGGTTTTGACAACATACTATATGGTCAAATAGCATAAGATAAGTAAGCAAGACACGATTTTAAAGCCATGATTCCAGCTTGATTTTGTTATCTTCTTGATCCATAACTAAATCTACTTTTATACATCCGGGTTAAAATTGAAATTCTTGCAAGTGTTACAAATTTTAAGGTATCTTACGTCATAGTTTTAATTTGGGGTTAATAAAACTGATGTTGGTGACCTCAGTCCCAGTCAATAACTATACCTACAGTCAAATCGGCTCTAAGTAAACATCTTTTAAGAAACTTTCATTTTCTTATCTCCATCAAGGCACTTTGTCATACATCCGCTTTAAGTTTTGGCGTGCCTTCCCTTGTGTGGTCTGACTGTACTTTCAGCCATATGGTACGAGCAGGGACCTAAGCATTTTTTACAGCTACACTGGACCTACACTAAGATGTTCAGAGTAATTTTACATGTTTTATGGGTTTAGATAGACTTTCGGTAAAAATGAAACCCCAATGATTATTTGTAATCTTAGTTTAGGTCCAAATATAGCTGTTACATATTCTCAGGTCCCTGTGGTGTGAGCTTATGACGATATGCCGAAAATAGGTATTCCATGGGCAAATAATGTATTTATACAATTCTACAAAGATAATGTAATAAAATAAAACGTATAGTTTTGAGAGAGTATTTGTAATGAAAGCACGTGCATGAAACAAAATATATGTAAACAAACACGTGCTACTGTATACCATATTTAGTGTGTATATGGCATATACAACGTGCAAGTGTACACGTGATTTGTGTTAAACACGCGCTGCCTCTAAACAGAGCCTCACTTTGATGCCAATGAGCTGTAAAGTATTAAATTAACTTATGTTTGATTAAGTTGTATTGATAGAAATGTTTCACAAAATTTTAAGGTCACCGGAAACAAATGACATGTGAGATAGCTCGTGCTTTTGGCATGAACTTTTAGTTATAAGAACCTTTTTAACAACAGTGAAAAAACAGTTGATATTATTGATGTTAACTTTATTGATCTTGCAATAAATGTAATCAACTTATATAATCACATTTGTTGGCCCAGATGGTAGTTCGCATGGGGTCTTCATGTTTGCGGAAACTGGAGTACCAGGTGGTATCGATGAATTAATAGCATGCTGTAATTTATATATACATGTAAATAGATTACTGTCTGCATGCTATTAATTCATGAAATTTTTACCGTCACATGGACATTTAAAGCTATTTATCGCTACATGTGAATACATATTTAGGTCTCATAAGTAATAACGACATATACAATTAGATGTCGTATTACTTAAATATATCCGCTTCTTCTAGTAAATTGTTTTCCAGGAAAGTCTTAACTGTGACCTCAACCCCCAAGTAAAGTTGTGTCGATAATTTATTAGTAAACTTTTGAACCCGAAATAGATCATTTGGCTTTATACCATTGAACATTCTAGCCTTGACATCAGAGGCCATCCTTAAAAAAGTGTGTTTGCAGTTTCTCTTAGCATTTTTTTTCAGTTGGTAGGTAGCTAGGATTTTTTTTTTTTATTTCTATGTAAAAAGTCCTAAATGTCAGTATTTTTTTTATCAAGAAAAAATAAATTATCAAAAGTTCCAAAAGGAAATTTGAGTAGTTGCCGGTCGGGACACTACAAATAATCAATTCTTTTATAAATAAGATGTTGAGACGTGAACGAACACGTGACGATGATAGCGATAATCTCTAGCTACATTTAGTCCATTACCTGTTGCGAGAGTCAATCAGATCAATTAAGCTATACATATCAAATTATACAACCCATGAAACTATTTTGTGTGACCTTGTCGAGACTTCGTACGTTTGTTGCAGAAACTGATCGGAGGACGGGGTTCCATATTAGATGACAGGGAAGACGGGGTTCTCAATGAGAAATATGCGAAGAATACATGTTTTAAGAAAATTTACAATTGAGTAGGGATGATCAAAAACCAATAGGTCTCCAGTGTCTTTTATCATTTGAGTTTGGTAAGGAGAAAGACTTTGGATATATTAGGGTCAGAGAGCCACATGTCCCCTCCCCCCCTCCTCGTGCCCCAGCGGTCCTGGCCGTGTGTCAGCGGCCGTCCAAACCCAAGGGTAAGCCAGTTGGTGATAATTGTCTATTCATTGTTATAATAACCCCCGCCCCCGTTTGGCGTCGTATCACTTTAGTTTAAACTAACTATCTATCGTTTACCCACCCTTCCCACCTCTATTCCCAATTCTCCCCACTCGTATGACACAATGAAGGTATGCCATATAGTATATATTATAATACCTGTATCAAGAGCACTATGGTATTCAATTTATGAAAATGACGAAATTCTCCCAACCCCCGTCACTTCTTCTGTCCAAGGCTCGGTTATCTCCCAATCGGGAACCGTCGGCACTTTCCGTAAACGGTTATTTTCTCGTTGCTATGAATGCTAACACGATTTTTTTCTTCTCAAACGGGATGATGCTTATGTGAAATGTTATCAATAAGTAAAGAAAATAAGGAAATAAAACATCAAATGGGTGCCCCCACCCCCTTAAAATCCCAAACGGGGCGCACGGGGAAAATATCATAAGAGAATTAAAATAGTATGCGCCCTCACATGTTTTTAAAATAAAAGTGTTTAGCTAGAAGCATGGGCTGACTACCAGCCCCTACGTTTTTGTCAATAATTAACCTGTGGCATTTTTCTACAAGCCTTTCTCTCTCCAGTTTGATGCTCTAGAATCAAACATCCAAGTGATCAAAATTATTAGTCTCATTTTTTCTCTCGCAATAATTCGATATTCTAGAGACGGTATCCCGACTAATGATCACTAATCAATGTCAAATCACTGGTTGTTATTATCTCGAATTTTATATACATGTACTTATTATTAGATAATTACATACCTTATAGGTCAAATCATTTTCACTACGCTTTTAAACATATAAATTCGAAATGAAAATATAAACGCTAGATGGAATTTAAGGGGGTAAAACGAGCGGCCTGGTGGTTTGTTTTGGATAGTTTTGCTAAAATGAATACGGGGGGCGCAAGGTCAAGATTCGCCGTACCATCACAAGTAATTAAGTTGGCGGAATGAAGTGTTTCCTTTTTGCCTCACCCGGCAGTTTATGGTTCTATAAGATGTCTCCACAGATGGGGATCACAGCAAGGGGTCTAAAGGGTCAGACTCGACATGGTGTGATCAGATGATGAGTAAATATTTAGTGATAACTCATGTTTCCTGCTGTGGTCAGTTTGACCTGTGGTCAACAGAGTCAGATAGGACAATAGTCCATTCTGACCCTTATAAGCTCTAAGTATAAGATAGCGGGAGATAAGAAAATATACGCACGCGGATTCGCGAACAGTGGTGCTTTAATAAGGGTTTCCTCGATATTTGCCGGGATGCATGGGGAGGGGAGCTATGATGGAACGACAGCGGGACGCCGAGAGCTCGCGCTGATTAATGGGACAGGGGGTTTTCAGGATGGTAGGGAGGGGTAGGGGGTGAGAGACTATTAACCAAGTTGTTCATGTTTCGTCATTATAATACTTTAATCTCGTTACATATTCTCTCTTTCAAACGTCCCTAAGTTCAAGATGGGACCGCAAGGACCTGGAAATTTGTTACAGCTATATTTGGACCTAAATTAAGTTGTTCGGAGTCTATATATTATCATTGGGGGTGGAATTTTTACCGAAAGCTGACCTAAACCTCTAAGACGTGTAGAATTACTCTGAACACCTTAGTTTAGGTCCTAATATTGCTGTAACAAATCATGTCCCTGAAGATAGGACGTCATAAATCTAGACTTGCCGATGTAGTGAAAAATATCTTTGAAACGAAATTGTTTAGTTAAATTTAAGTTGATAAATTGATATTTTTTTCAATTCAAATCCAATTTTTATTTACAAAAAGAAAGTTAGCATAAAAGTGACAACTTCTATAAATCCCCCAGGAAATGGTAACGCACTAAATGATATAGGGTTTCTCACACATTCCTGTGATTGGAATAAGAATTAACTCTAGATCTCTTTCTATTTATCCGCTCTTTCAGAATTTTTTTAATTAGATGGGCAGTTATTTCGGGCTATATGCTATAATACACACATCCTTGTGTACCTTTCAAATGTGTCATCAGTTCTTGTGCATCTTTTAAATATGTCATCAGTTTTTGTGTATCTCTCAAATCTGTCATCAGTTCTTGTGCATCTCTTAAATCTGTCATCAATTCTTGTTTACTTATCACTTAATTTATAAATCTAGAGAAAAACATAGTGATATTTTACACGGTATTTTTTTAGATTTTACACGTTTCTATCTATAATCTACGATCACTATCCCTCTACCAGTGGGTAGCGGGTTCGAGGCGTACATGGGGCAGTCGCCAGGTACCTTACGCAGGTCGGTGATTTTTCTCCAGGTGCTCCGGTTTTCCATCACCACCAAGACATGGCTCGCTATTAGTATGACGTAAAACACAAATAAGCGAAGTATTTACAAAGAGAATGTATGAGTCTTTTACAATCATGCTCTCTTAAATATCTAATCTTAAGTTTCAAACTATTGGAATCATACAAATGTAGCTATTGGAAGAATTCAGCCCAGTCAACTTACTCCCAACAAACTCCAAACAGCAGACTTATTGCAATAGAATTTACTATTTTTTTTATTTTCCCCACTAATACATTGTATGTATGTATATTATATCAGAAAATGTGAAATTAGGAGCATAGCAAGGCCAATATAGATTCGCCGTAGAGTCGTTACAGAATCATTGCGTAGCAAAATAATTTAACCACCAATGTGGTTTAAAAGCATTCTTAATAAAAAAAATACATATACAACATTTGATAAAGCGCCCTATCTAGCTAGAATAAGCCACTCAAAAGCGCTTTAAAGTACATAGATATACAATTTATGCAGTTAATACACTTAGCATATACATTAATCAATACATGTTTGAGGAATTCGCAAGAGCTGCCTTTCAGGCGCTAACTTCTACACCTTGCAGTATTGTATTGTATTGTTTATTAGCTTTAAGCCTTGCGGCTCATAGGCATATTTTTACAACATTTACAAAAAGGACATATTTGAAATAAGGTCCTATGCCACCTGGCTAATATCTCCCTCTGTGTGTATTGCCTGAGTGTGTGCTGGCGATGTACTGTGTTCTGTTTGTAATGGGATCGTGCTTCGAACGGTATCATTTATAGTAAGGTAATATTGAATATCGGGACTGCTTATTTTCTAACCTTAAAAGGCAACAAACGCAAATATCTTGAATTTAAAAATGCAGTTTAGCCATTGATTGTTCAAAATATTTTTCAAATACAATGATTTTTTTTTTTAAACAAATGTATATTTTTTCTCCAATCGTTTTTTTTATATCTTTATGTTATTATATATACTCAATATTGTACGTATAATTAAGGTATTACACTTCAAAGATGATCAAATTGGTGATATTCATTATACTTTATTTTAAATGGTGAGAAAAAAAAGTCCACAGTTTTGATTTTAGTAGACCTTTTTCTCTATCATATACAAAATAAGTATCCATCATTTTGAAAACAAAAACTAAAATAAAGATAAAAAATATATTGTTATTAGTTTGTTAACCGTATTATTACTGTACTAAATCAGCTGGGAAATTGTTTACTACATTTCAGGGGCTGATAGCCATTTTATAGTTTTCTTTGAGTAGAATTCTTCGGAAAGAAGGCGAATGTCACAAAAGGTAGCATATTGCCTTAAGTAAAATTTGTTATTTTTAATATTTTCATAAATAAGTACACATAGTTTAAGCAAAATGCAAATAACAATGGCCAGGACTTGTATATATATCCGTCTCCCCATGTATAAATTGTAATTATCATTGTATTGCGTTATAACAAGGTTTATCGCATTTTAAAGGAAATGAGACGATCAAGTTTCTTCACACTCTTTTAGATCAAATTTGAATTTAATAAATATTTTCTTAACTATTAGATAGTACATTTCAAACATACATTAACATTCTGGAACTAAATAGATGATGTATGTTCTGATGAAAACTGTTTATCTGGAAAATTGAATTAATTCAATTTCCTGTACCTCTGCTCACACGAAAATATTTATCGCATACGCACAGGGCGTTTGATTGGTATACCGCATAGTATATCGAGATTTTGTTAGACAATATATATATATATGTAGACATACTTCAGCGGTGATGTGTACATTTTATATACACGTTTCTGCTAGCCACACGCGCATCAGTCCTGCACGTACATTACCGACCCACACCGTGTACCAAACGTGACATAACGGGGCCGCCCCGAGATCAAACTTTTTACAGCTGTGACGTAGCTACTCCAATGTCAACTACCATATATGGTAAAGTAGAGAAGTGGCCGCACGCAAGGTCTATACACGTGTACCATACAATGTGTACACCGCATACAATTAAAGCAAATCATATCATCGGCCCTCCTAGTATATATCTGTTTAAATTAACATTCTCTAGCTGCATATTATAAAGGGGGATATAGGTAATTTGCACTTCGTCCGTCAGTCAGTCTTGTCATTCCGCCCGGAAATCGCATGCATATATTCTGTCACCTAAAATTCTGCGAGAACCTTTTTGACATAGTGCACCAGTGGATATTGAGTTATCGCCCTTTACTCATATTTGATACAGATCGTGGCTTATACAATTAGGGATATATTTTATTGGGTTGTTATTTAAATGCATTTGATTGTATGATAATATCAAAACGAATTGTAAATGCTGTGTCATCTTAGACTGTGTTAGAATAATTATAAGTACTAGCTAAATATGTATGAAGTTACAACATCGATTTATCGAATCAATCTATAAAACGAAACGTAGTGCGCTTAGCTTTAATCAATTAACTGATGTTTGTTTCATCACTTCAAGCACGTGTTTTTGATGCTTTTTGTTTGTTTATTTGTTTTGTTGATGTTATCTGTTTGTTTTCTTATTTTTCTCCCAATGTTTCATTTTGATATCGTTATTATTGACACATCGGGGTTTTTCCGAAGTGGGGAAAACCCAAGGTAAAGTCTCGGGTTTTTGCCAACTTGATACTCCTTCGGATGCAATTCTGTATCATACGAAAGAGTCTTATTATGTGTTTATGAATTTATTCTTATTCTTTAACAGTTTGAAACAACATCGTGCGTAAATGATATACATCACAGTATCTAATGAGTTTGGTGGAATGGGATGACGAGTCTGAAATGAAAGTAGATATATAAATATATATAAACACACATCTGCTTTACTTTAAACTGGAAACAACGCCAGTTTTTGTAAGTGATTGACCTGCCAGGCCCACTTGTATAAAACATCTCAAAGTTAAGGAAAATCTCAAGCAATGTATTGTCTATGGGAAATCTTAGACTTGAGGAAATCTCAAGAGTTGAGATGTTTTATACAAGTGGGACAACCTTTGACGTAAGAATAATTCCCGTGACGTCATAATAAATAATATATGTGTTCTTTTAGGCTCTTTTGACCGGCGAGAAAGATGATGCACAACAACCAGAGACAGTGGAACAGCTTCTCAAGTCCAATGAAAGCCTTTCGACCAATCAGATGTCAGCGGCTGTTTCCACAGATGGGTCCAGCCAATCATCTCTCAATAGCTTTCTCGATCCGTCCAATCAGAACATTGCTATTCCCGATGACCTCTTTAAGGACTTCCAGGCCTTGAAGAGTGCCACCCATCTCGATACTACTGAGCTGATGAGGAAACTGTTGAAAGAATACACAAGGTAAATTTTAAAGAGGAGAAATAGTGGTAATGTTTCAAATATTTTCCTTCTTTGAGAAGGTAGGGATTGTAACCTAATTTGAATAAGACGAGTCCTTGTGCAACAGGGAGACAATTTGTATGTACCTAGAGGATGTGATGCTCCTGGGGGCACATGGTCAAATAAGGCTAAACCTTTTTAAATGCATTCCCCTTTCTTAGATATGTTTAAGATATTTTAAGCAATTTTGATCTGGTACTAGTTTCAAGATTTACCGTTTATTACAAGAAAGGAGGTTGGGGTTCATTGTTAGATACGGACATTGAACAAGTTGAGATCGAGGAAAGCGAGTTATGTTGTATACATAAATGATACCAATACATAATTACCATCCTCATCTGATCGAAAACCTTTGATTTGTAGACTTTTGATTCAACTTAGACAAAAAAAGTTTAAACGAACTCCATAACATAATAATTTCCCTATGAAAGTATTGCTGAAGTTAAAGACAATGGCCTTAGCTGAATTAACTCATTCACCCCTAAAAACACATTTGAACTCTTCCAATTCAAAGGTAAGAGTAGTTCATTATAAAATTTCAGGGGTAAATGAGTTAAGATTTTCCCTCAACTCAGGAGTACTGTCAAACGGGAAAACGTCATATCCCATTTCTTAATGAACGTTTGTAAAACTCTGACCTGAATATGAAATGTCTGACATTGTCTGTCTTCATTCTAACATATTTGATTTTAGGGTAGATAACTCTTCAACTTGTTTTGACTCTGTATTATGGGTTACCAGCCATTTTCTACTGATGATTTCCTTATAAAACACGACCTTTGATGCAGTTCTTGCTCTAAATTCAAGTACTATAAAACGCAATAAAAATGAAGAGAAAAGTAGAAATCCCAGGGCTAGACTTAAAGACCTATCCACTGCCGATATCAAACGTTTACTAATGTTGTTATCCTCCTGTAATTGTAAATGCATAATATGGAAGTGAAACCTTAAAACCTTTCTAGGGGCGATAACTCTTAGCCTGAAAGTCTTTTTGGTGACTAGTACTTATCTATATAAAAGAGAAAATTCTTCAAGTCCAAAACCGGAGATTTGAAGTGGAATTCTTAGCTATAATCACTCTTCAAGTAATACTTTACTGGACCCCCCCCCCCCCCCCCCCCCCCCCCCCTCCCTTATTTTTATCATGGGTGGAGGTATTTTAACATCGAGTAACAAATTCCATTCGAAATCCAACCCACGAGTAAATTACTGCGACGCACGATCTATTTACTATTTATAATGACTTATCCTATGTTACAGTGGTCCTGAGTCTGATGCAGAGGGCGCCAACAACTCTGATCAGGGGAAGTCACCCAGTATGGAACAGAATCAAGACGTCTCCAGCCTCTCGGAGTATTATAAATCGGAGCCGGTTGACGTCACGAAATCCGACCTTGACGTCACCTATCAGTCTGGTAACGTTAATGAACCTCTGGATCTCTCCACTATTAAAACCGAGAATCAGTCTAGTGACTCATGTACCGATTTGACCCCGAGGTCATTGGCCCGTGACCTCTCGCAGCAGGTCAACGTCCGTCAGGGGTCAACTCTCTTCCCCACGAACATTGAGACACAGAAACCACAGTCTTACTATGGGGATGGAAGTCCTGGTATGGTCCTATATCCGTTTTTTGGATCCGTTACTACACAGTACCCTTTATCTGTACCGGAGGCTTCTATGAAGGTCCCGACCGTGATGCACCAATCCTTGCAAGGCGATCGCGAGCAGGTGGAAATCCCGGATGTTGGATCTCCTGAACAAAATCTGGTGACAAACGCCAACGTAAAATCGGAAAATATTTTTCAATCGGAGAATTACAGAGAAGTCCAATTTCAAAATGGTTCTGTTAAAATCAAAGGTACCAAGTTACATCCGGAAATTCAAGTGGGTGATTTGCCAGAAAGTGGTCAAAATACCCCTACTGAAAGTCCGATACAATTTCAGAACATATCACCAAAACTGGTCACGAGTATTAGTAACGCAGAATCAAATGCTGTTGTCATGCCAACGGACGCGACTCCAGTTCCGATAGCATCCATTCCTACCACTCGGGAAATGATGCCTTATTTGTCACATATTCAACAATCAGCTCCACAAATCACTGGTGTTCTTCCCGCGGTAATGTCTTCTACTGACCTTTCTAATATGACTTTTGCCGAAAACTATGCAGCCGCAACGGCACAATATCAAATGCAAGAATTTCAAAAACCGTCCAAAGTATCGGGAAAATCTCCCAAGAATTTAAACAAAAAATCCGGGCAAATGAAACTGATAGCGGAAAACACATCTCACCACGGAGTTTACACAAGTGTGTTAAAGTTACCGTGGAGTAGACGGACGCGCACACCCAAGACGGAAAGTGCCGAAAAAGCTAGTCAGCAGCAACAACAAAAGCTACTTCTGAAGCAGCAACAACAGCAACAACAACAACAACTGTTGCAACAACAACAGCAAGCTCAGCAGCCGCTGATGTTGTTACCGGTTGCCACAACGAATATACCGTCATCACAGGCGGGCGTGTTTATTCCCGCCACAAACTTCACCATGCCAACCGTCACCTCTAATCCTTTAGATACGACTATGATAAGTACGTCTATGACGTCAGCAGTTGTCACACCCACAGCTACTCCTATAGCCACGTCCACTTCTACCCAGCCAATGATGATGGTTTATCCAAACTCTTCATTCGGCTCTCTAAATAAACCAGTGCGAAAGCGCGGTCGTCCACCGAAGGTTCCAGTATTAGCCCGGATGTTAGCTGAAGCAAACAAAAGGGCCGCGTTAGACATGCAACAAATGCCAAACTTTTTCCAGAACTTTCCGGGATGTCAACAACCGGCGGCTATTGTTTTGAATGTGAACAACATGGTCAACACGGCCGTACCTGGGTCAATTACGACACTGAATGCTGTGACGTCATCGTCCACAATGTCCAGCAATCCGCCCGCTGTCGTTACCGCCCCAACAGATACCGTTCCTATCGAACAGATTCCAATTCAGCATCATACTCTAGACCTCCAGCAATCATTGCCAGTTCTGCCGGGTCAAATACCCATTCAACAAGTTCAAACACCAGATATAGCAACCCCTGCCTCAATTGCGCATGCCTTGGAGAACGACCAACGCTACAGAACATTGGCACATGCGGACGATACTGGTCAGACACAACAAACATTTTCATCAGATCTAATGCCAAAGTCTCAACCGCCTGAGCCAGAATTAAAAACTATTTCAACTACATGTGTCGCTAAAACCGACTCTGGCGCCCTCTACCAGGAAATGATTCTTTCATCCAAATCATTGGTGAATGTGAAACCGAGGCGACGTCAAACCACCACAGAGCTTCTCAAATCTAAATCGGGAGCCGACAGTTTCATATGCACGTCCTTTCGTCTTCGATCGTTACCGGGTAAAGCAAAAGAGAAAAGGACGGCTGTGGTCACCGGTATGAAACGTCGAGGTCGACCGCCAAAACGGAGATTGATGGGAATGTTTGACCACCAGCCAGACGGCATTGGAAAGAAAACGACCGACCAACTATCGTCACAAGTTCCGATTTCAGACTCGCAAACAATAGCACAGCTGTATGGTGAGTCAAATCTCGACGCCTTGCACTCACCCGTAGAAATTGGACAAACTACGCTAGACTTGACCGGAGGAGAAGACCTCGACCGATGTCCTAGAAGTTTAACTAATTCTGAGGAACCGCGTCTGTTTGACGGGGAAATAGACAGTAACTATGACAATCCCCTGTTAGCGAATCAGTTCGGTGTTGAAGGATCTCTGTCAGATGGATGCTTACCTCAGGATACGTCACAGGGACGCTTTCTTTTCTCTAGTGATGACGATGAAGCCCGTTTAAATCGAGATCAAAAAATTGGTTTGGATTGCGATCTTGAACCAGACGAGAGTTCAAACGATGATAACGATGATTGTTTATCAAACGAAATGTTTTCTAAGCTTTTTCACTGCAAAGTATGTAATGAAATCATCCCCGTGGAGAAGAAAAATGAACATTGGGAAAAGCACGCGCGTGTAAAAATTAAGTGTGTCACGTGTGCTGCGTCCTGTCATAAGTTCCTAACTAAAGAACAAATGACATCCGATTCTGTGCGAGAACGTCTCCAATGTGAAAATTGTGAGCGGTCAAGTGAAATGGAGGTCACCGATCACTCTCTTTCTACGGGTGTCCAGTGTGAAATTTGTCAAGAGAGTTTCCTGGACGGACGCACATTAAAGCGACACGTCAAAGTCGAACATCCGGGCACTCATGCCCTACAAAAAGCAAAACTTATGAGCTTACGAAAACACTCGGAGGATCATCTACAATCGAATCCGAAATCTCATGAACTGAAAGTATATTTGTGTCCAGTTGAAGAATGTCAGAAAAAGTTTTATTCGAAGTTTCGGATCAAACTACACATGAAGAAATGGCATAGCAACAGGCAAGGATCTCCATCTAGCGGGGAGGGAGGTAAAAAGAAAGGAAGTGGGCGGGGCCAGTTTAGACAGTTTACAGTGAAGGGATATACATGTTCGTGGCCCGGATGTGATGAGGAATTTCAGACAGAGCGAAACCTAAAAGTGCATCTTCTGCTTCATAGGGATGAAAAACCACTCAAGTGTGACTTCTGTGACTATCGGTGTCGGCAGAGGACGGCGCTTGGGTGGCACACACGCAAACACCACCCGGAAGCTTCAAACGTCCTTATGACATACACACAATCAGGTTCCACGGAAGGCTCTGCACCTGGGGAAGAGAACGGGGTTGAGTAGCTAGAACCATGCAACGTGCTCTGTATTTCTGAAGAACTATTATCTATCGCGGCGAAAAGAATACCTAGTTCACAAAAAGACCGATTACGAATTCACAAAATTTACGGGTGATCTGACATTGTTATTAACTACATGTATGAAATTATGTCTTGAATACTTAATTATTTAACGAACATGGTCGAACACCTTACGTTAATATTTTTTATTTATTTTTTATCATTGTGCTATCGTAGTTAAATAAGATAAGTCAAGGCAAACATGCATCACCGCAGGCGGTAATATATGATATATGTATGAAGTTGTTGATTGTGTGAAATATAATATAATCTGGATTTATCCGTAAAATTATCCGCATTATATTGCAACCCCTATCACTATACCGGGTACATTATCAGGATAATGTGAACCATCTCGTATAAATATTTTATTTTCTGGCCCCTGTGACTATTACCTTGGAAATGTATACTCAGGGAAAATGTCTGCAGCTGGCAAATTAAATTTTCAATCATACATTTATAGTTTTGTTTTCGTTTTTTTGCTTTTATTGAGATTTGTTGAGTTTATTTTGGGCAATGTTATAAAAGTAAGTGTATGCATGAAAGAAGGGCATATTATTCCTATTATAGAATTATTTTGTATTTGCCATGTTGTTATTTATATATATTTGTTATATTGTTATTTAATTGTTACAGAACTCCGAAACTGTGCATTTTTAGCTACGTTTAAAAGTTCGGCGCAGTTCAGGTGCGTTCGTTTATTGCTGAATATTACTGCGCCACCTGAACCGTTGCATTTTTTGTTGGTTTGTTTGTGTTTTATGTCCTATCAACAGCTATGGTCATTTAGGACGTGCCAGGTTTTGTGGTGGAGGAAAGTCGGAGTTGCCGAAAAGAAAGCCACCGACCCACGGCCAATACCTGGCGACTGCCCCACGTAGGTCTCGAACCCGCGACCCAATGATAGAGGGCTAGTGGTAACGCAGCTGTCAGACGCCACTTGTGAACAGTGCCATCTGAACCGTTTCAACTATACAGGTGCTGGACAGACAGATATAATGCGTATATACTATATTCTATATAGTATAAACACACCATATCAGTGTGTCCAGCACCAGACATAGTTTCAACCAGTATAGGCAAAAACAACTTAAAAAATACATCATGTTCATAATGATTTGGACCTAATTCAGTCGTTCGAAAACAATAAATTCAAAAGGGCATTGATGAAGACATCGATCAAGAAAAAATCCGAATAATTATAAAAAAAAAGTATGTATTGCTTAACGTAATGTTTAAGACCGAAGGGCTGTTTATTATACAATGTTCAAAAGCACAATATGACATTGTATCGAAAGTTTCATTGAAAACCCTTTTTACTGAACAATAGTTTCGACTAACCTACACCTACATAAGGATGTAACAGTAGACGCGTGAAAGGGTGAGCTTCTAGGAAAATAGGATATGGAAGAGAATACGTTATCAACTACCGTCTTAATTATTCTAATTCGTCACGTGAACTTGCGTTTTGTCGATTACTTGATGAGAAAGTAGCAGAATTTCATAGGTCCTACTTCATTTATTTTTCCCCGGTTCGTTTCTAGGAAAACTACAGCCATTCTAATCTAGATAAAATTTTAATGATCTCCCTCAATTTCTAACAAACAAAAATAAAGTTCGTCATATACGGTCTTCTGACCTGAAAATCTCGGTTACGTCCCCTTAACACCCGTTGATAATAAGAGAAGATAACTCTGCAATATGAAAAGACGGAATAGTTGTATCTGTTGACATCGAACGGCCTCGTGGTAGAGGATTATGTTCGAAGACTAATTTTATCAAATTAATAGAATTTGGTTACTTGGGATAACTCGACTATTCCGTCTTTGCGTATTGCAGAGTTATCTTCTCTTTTGAGCAGGTATTGATTGTTACGTCATTTGTTTGTGAGAGTAACGTCATCAATTTTTGAGAAAACGACGTAATTTTCTCACACAAACCAATGACGTAGCAATCAATACCTGCTCACAACAGAAGATAACTCTGCAATACGCAAAGATGGAAAAGTGCACTAATGTTTGTATGACAGTCAAGTTCTGTTCATAACGTCATGAACTATTTTGATAATATACGGTTACGGTGGAGATCGGTACCATATACAAGTAGTTGTTTGAAATACCGCAAGGACATCCACCAATAATTTAGTTTGTATTTTATTAGGTCATCCTGACCCTTTTATAGTCATCGTGCTTCGTCTGCCGTCCGTAAACTTTCAACATTTTAAACTTCTTCTCAAGTTCCACCAGTGGGATTGAGCTGAAACTTGCCTGAAATGATCCTGAGATTGTCTTGACTAAGTATTGTTATTTTTCGGGTCAGTCCAAAATCCAAGATGGCCACCATGGCCGCTATCTTAAAAAACACATTTTAAACTTCTTCTCAAGTTCCACTGGTGCCATTGAGCTAAAAATTGGTGGGAATGTTTAGGAAAGGAAGCCGACAAAGTGTTGTTATTTTTCAGCCCCGTCAAAACTTCCACATGGCAGCCATGGTGGCCATTTTGTAACATGATTGCGCAATCATGGTTTTCCTAACCAACACCTATTTTAATCTTCTTCTCAAGTTTCACCAGTGGGATTGAGCTGAAATTTGCCTAAAATGATCCTGAGATGGTCCTGACCAAGTGTTGTTATTTTTCGAGTCGGTTCAAAATCCAGGATGGCCGCAATTTAAAAAAAAACAACACATTTTAAACTTCTTCTCAACTTCACCTGTGGGATTGAGAATATTTCATTGAAAGTTGAAAAGTTACCATTCTCCCTGCTCAGTCTTTGTAGTCAGATGACCGTTTAGGCCCATGGACCTCTTGTTTTATTTACATGTATCCGGCGATTTGAATTCCCTTTCAAGAGATGTAAAACGTCGGTGTCATATGTATGTCAATTATGCTTAAACATATTGAAAATAATGACCAAACAAAACCTTAAACTTTTAAAAGTTCCTATTTATCTCGAACGGAGAATGTTCCTGCTTCACGAGAGGAAGTTAATAACTTCATGGTTATTTTGTAATTTAATTCTTTTACCCGTGAAATAAGGACAAAATAACCGATATTGCGGCTTTAGGTTATAGACAGCACAGGGTCCTGTATAACTTTATCTGATCCTTCACGTCAATATTACCAAAAATGTCTATATTGTGTAGCAGGAAAAAGAGTAATGTGCTTCCACAAGGGATCGAACCCGCGACCCCAGACTTCCTAGTCGGACGCTCTATCACTATGTATAATTAAAATCGCCAAACTACTCCACCCTTTTCAAATGTTTTCGCCCTCGAACATCACAACAACCCATGCCCTAATTACTCCCTGTCACCACAGGGAGGGCCACAGGCACCATTTGTAACTGGAGATGGAAAAAGGGACGGCCAGTCCGGGGTTCGAACACGGGACCCTCCGAATCCCTTACGGACGCTCTGCTAATATTGAGCCACATGGTCGCCAACGATCGACCCAGTCCAGTTCCGCTACAATTGTAACAAATTGTCAGGTCCCTGTGATAGACATTTCATAAACAGGTATCAAAATAGTATGTCATCGATCGTGTTCAGCGTGAACTAAGTTCACCGATTGGGGTCGTGCACAGACTAACCAAGTCTACCCCCAGGGACTTGAAAATCACAGCTTAATTTGGAGTGTTAGGTTTAATTTAACACGTTTTAGAGGTTTATATAAACGTTTAGTATACATCATCATTGGGGGGTGGGGGTATTTTTTTGTACCGAAAGGTGATCTGAACTCCTAAAACGTGTAAAATAACTCCCTTGGTTAAGATCAAAATTCAGCTGTAACAAATTCACAGGTCCCTGTGTGTCTACCCTGTAACGGCTTTCATATACACGGTTGTATGGTGTCATCCATAATGGACCAGATGCACGTAGTTTAGAATTAATTAAATGTCTCAGTTGACAAGAGTCAACTAATATAAGATGGAAAATGTCATAACCATATTTTTAGATGTCAAAAGTAGAAGAGGCGATGTCAAGAACAACACTTGGAATGGATTCACATGAGAAATGGTAATAGTGGTTTTACAAGGGATGCGCACTTAGGCCAAAGGGTCTTGAGAATCAAGTACAATAAGTTTAAATGATCGATCACAGGAATCTGAGAATTTTATGTGAATGTGTAAAATATGAAATATAATAGAGTAGGGAAGACTGTTTAAAGTTTTTACATTTTTATATTCCATACTTAGATGCCTGTGGTTTGATCATAAATCGAAAATCGTATCTACTGCACTTCAGGTCATGATATATATGATAATTTTCTGCTATAATACTGTCAGGATGATGATGATTATGATGATAATGATGATGTTGATGTTGATGTTGATGATAATGATGATGTTGATGATGATGATGATGATGATGATGATGATGATGATGATGATGATGATGATGATGATGATGAAGAAAAGGGAAAAAAACTTTTCTGCTACATTTCTTTGAATAATTTCAAAATGTTCCAACTCTAAGAGGGTTCCCAACCTTGTATGCATATTCAGTAATTAACATCAATCCAACAAAAAACACCTTTATAATGCCTGTATATTTTAACATCTTCTGAATAACCGAGAGGCCTAATGTGATTACATTTCGCCAGTAGCACGCTTGAATGAAGGACTATCAAGTTTGTTAAAATGTATGACCCGAGTTCAAGGTCACTATAGTCAAATATATTAAAGATATTTGATTGGCTACTAGTGAATAAACTAAAGGTCAAAGGTGATGATATTTTGTTACTAGCATGCTGGGCTGAAGGATTGTAAGTTTTGTTTAAATAAATGACCTTCATCCGTATTCAAGCTTACCGGGGTCAAATGTGTTTGAAAATTTAAATAACTTTTTTTGTATAAGCAAAAGGCCTATAGTTTCATGATGTTTGGTCGGAAGCATAATGGAATGGAATGCTATTAATGTGTTCATATAAATGACCTTCACCTAATTTCGAGACTCGTAAACATGTTGACTGGTACGAGCGAAATTAATCAAAAATTAAAGTCGTTTTATATAATTTGATTTCACTGCCTAAAGTTTACTGAGATGCTTCACTCGAACACAACTGTTCCATTTCTGTCCCGTCGATATTTCCACTCACTCCTTAACTGGTTGCTGCATCAAGGTTCATATAGCATAACCAGTTATATTTTCTACTTCACCTCGCCGACTTTGTTACTAGAATATTTAGCTCCATTTTCTATTTCACCGCGCCGACTTTGTTACTAGATTATTTAGCTCCATTTTCTACTTCTCCTCGCCGACTTTGTTATTAGACTGTTCAGTTCCATTTTCTACTTCACATCGCCGAATTTGTTACTTAACTATTTCCATTTTCCACTTCAACTCGCCGACTTTGTTGCTAGATTATTTAGCTCCAGTATCTACTTCACCTCGCCAAATTTGTTATTTGACTATTTAGTTCCATTTTCCACTTCAACTCGCCGACTTTGTTGCTAGATTGTTTAGCTCCATTTTCTACTTCACATCTCCGACTTTGTTACTACACTATTTAGTTCCATTTTCCACTTCACCTAGCCGACTTTGTTACTAGATTATTTAGCTCCATTTTCTACTTCACCTCGCCGACTTTGTTACTTAACTATTTAGTTCCATTTTCTACTTCACCTCGCCTACTTTGTTACTAGATTATTTAGCTCCATTTTCTACTTCACCTCGCCGACTTTGTTACTACACTATTTAGTTCCATTTTCTACTTCACCTCGCCGACTTTGTTACTAGATTATTTAGTTCCATTTTCTACTTCACCTCGCCGACTTTTTACTGGACGATTTAGCTCCATTTTCTACTTCACCTCGCCGACTTTGTTGCTAGATTATTTAGCTCCATTTTCTACTTCAACTCGCCGACTTTGTTACTAGACTATTTAGCTCCATTTTCTACTTCACCTCGCCGACTTTGTTGCTAGATTATTTAGCTCCATTTTCCACTTCACCTCGCCGACTTTGTTACTAGACTATTTAGCTCCATTTTCCACTTACTAGATTATTTAGTTCCATTTTCCACTTCAACTCGCCGACTTTGTTACTACACTATTTAGCTCCATTTTCTACTTCACATCTCCGACTTTGTTACTTAACTATTTAGTTCCATTTTCCACTTCAAGTCGCCGACTTTGTTACTACACTATTTAGCTCCATTTTCTACTTCAACTCGCCGACTTTGTTACTACACTATTTAGCTCCGTTTTCTACTTCACATCTCCGACTTTGTTACTTAACTATTTAGTTCCATTTTCCACTTCACCCCGCCGACTTTGTTACTAGATTATTTAGTTCCATTTTCCACTTCACTTCGCCGACTTTGTTACTAGACTATTATCTCCATTTTCTACTTCAACTCGCCGACTTTGTTACTCGACTTTGTTGCTAGATTATTTAGCTCCATTTTCTACTTCACGTCTCCGACTTTGTTACTTAACTATTTAGTTCCATTTTCCACTTCAAGTCGCCGACTTTGTTACTACACTATTTAGCTCCGTTTTCTACTTCACATCTCCGACTTTGTTACTTAACTATTTAGTTCCATTTTCCACTTCAAGTCGCCGACTTTGTTACTACACTATTTAGCTCCATTTTCCACTTCACTTCGCCGACTTTGTTACTAGACTATTATCTCCATTTTCTACTTTAACTCGCCGACTTTGTTACTCGACTTTGTTGCTAGATTATTTAGCTCCATTTTCCACTTCAACTCGCCGACTTTGTTCCTAGACTATTATCTCCATTTTCTACTTTAACTCGCCGACTTTGTTACTCGACTTTGTTGCTAGATTATTTAGCTCCATTTTCCACTTCAATTCGCCGACTTTGTTACTAGATTATTTGGTTCCATTTTCCACTTCAACTGGCCGACTTTGTTACTAGATTATTTAGCTCCATTTTCTACTTCCCCTCGCCGACTTTGTTACTAGACTATTTAGCTCCATTGTCCACTTCACATCTCCGACTTTGTTACTTAACTATTTAGTTCCATTTTCCACTTCACTTCGCCGACTTTGTTACTAGACTATTATCTCCATTTTCTACTTCAACTCGCCGACTTTGTTACTAGACTATTTAGCTCCATTTTCCTCTTCAATTCGCCGACTTTGTTACTAGATTATTTGGTTCCATTTTCCACTTCAACTGGCCGACTTTGTTACTAGATTATTTAGCTCCATTTTCCACTTCAATTCGCCGACTTTGTTACTAGACTATTTAGCTCCATTTTCCACTTCACATCTCCGACTTTGTTACTAGATTATTTAGTTCCATTTTCTACTTCACCTCGCCTACTTTGTTGCTAGATTATTTAGCTCCATTTTCTACTTCACATCGCCAAATTTGTTACTTAACTACATTATGTATTTAGTTCCATTTTCCACTTCAACTCGCCGACTTTGTTGCTAGACTATTTAGTTCCATTTTCCACTTCACCTCGCCGACTTTGTTGCTAGACTATTTAGTTCCATTTTCCACTTCACCTCGCCGACTTTGTTACTATATTATTTAGTTCCATTTTCCACTTCACCTAGCCGACTTTGTTACTAGATTATTTAGTTCCATTTTCTACTTCACCTCGCCGGCTTTGTACTAGATTATTTAGATCCATTTTCTACTTCACATCTCCGACTTTGTTACTTAACTATTTAGTTCAATTTTCCACTTCAACTCGCCGTTTTTGTTGCTAGATTATTTAGCTACATTTTCTACTTCACATCTCCGACTTTGTTACTTAACTATTTAGTTCCATTTTCCACTTCAACTCGCCGACTTTGTTAGTAGATTATTTAGCTTCATTTTCTACTTCACCTCGCCGACTTTGTTGCTAGACTATTTAGCTCCATTTTCCACTTCACATCTCCGACTTTGTTACTAGATTATTTAGTTCCATTTTCTACTTCACCTCGGCTACTTTGTTACTAGATTATTTAGCTCCATTTTCCACTTCAACTCGCCGACTTTGTTAGTAGATTATTTAGCTTCATTTTCTACTTCACCTCGCCGACTTTGTACTAGATTATTTAGATCCATTTTCTACTTCACATCTCCGACTTTGTTACTTAACTATTTAGTTCCATTTTCCACTTCAACTCGCCGACTTTGTTGCTAGACTATTTAGCTCCATTTTCCACTTCACATCTCCGACTTTGTTACTAGATTATTTAGTTCCCTTTTCCACTTCACCTCGCCGCCTTTGTTACTAGATTATTTAGTTCCATTTTCCACTTCAATTCGCCGACTTTGTTACTAGACTATTTAGTTCCATTTTCTACTTCACCTCGCCGACTTTGTACTAGATTATTTAGATCCATTTTCTACTTCACATCTCCGACTTTGTTACTACACTATTTAGTTCCATTTTCCACTTCAACCCGCCGACTTTGTTACTAGATTATTTAGCTCCATTTTCTACTTCTCATCTCCCACTCTATTACTGGACTATTTAGTTCCATTTTCTACTTCACATCTCCGACTTTGTTACTAGACTATTTAGCTCCATTTTCTACTTCACTTCGCCGACTTTGTTACTAGATTATTTAGTTCCATTTTCTACTTCACCTCGCTGACTTTGTTACCGGTCTTTTTAGTTCTTTTTTCTACTTCACCTCGCCGACTTTGTTACTAGACTATTCAGCTCCCTTTTTCACTTCACGTCGCCGACTTTGTTACTAGACTATTCAGCTCCAATTGAATGTTTGAGGGGGGGGGGGGGGGTAATTTCGCTATTGTTGAAAATACTTATAACCCAACGCTGTTATGCAAGCTTAAATGAACTCAAATTATAATTTTACCTGACAACTGGGCAGTCCATGTAAAAACAACACTTTTACATATAAGTGGCCACAACATATTTATGTGTACACAGTAGGTGATTATCGTTTACTCCTACAAAGGTACATACATATTTGATTTTCTTTGGAGTGAAGTCACTGGCGGATGACGACACTCAGAATCAGTGTTTTCAAACGATTAACCTGTATTTCGATGTTTAACCCTTAAATGATGACACTCAAAATACTTTGCACGACATGTGGGGTTCCGGTGCACAGCGAAATTTAACCCCCGCGAATATAATAACATACTAAATACGAAACCGCAAAATATTGACCCCACAAATTTGAAGCGCTATACAGTTTATACATACATGTACATATATATCCATGTAAGAAACCTCTGATAAACTGAAAACTTGCAGTCAAATTTTTTACATTTATTTTTTATTATAAAAAAAAATACAAACATAACAATGAAGGGTATTGGATAATGACAATTACACATTTAACTCCCCTTTGATCTTACTTCAGTAAATAAATTTTCAGATATTACAGCAACAAAACCAGGACAACTACGTATGATTGTAATATAAAGAAAGTGACAAAACACAGATACTTCATTAAGCCAGCCCTCTTTGTAATTGAATCTGAAGTATAGAGGCTGCATTTGAAGTTAGCAGGATAACTTAGACACTTCTGAGTAGAAAACAAGATGCCACCCTGGTAAAATACTAGCAACTTCCTACCCACTTGGCTAGAGTAAAAATTCTCTTTCGCTCATTTGGTAGAGCATAAGACTTAATTATTAAACCAGAGGTCCTGGGTTCGACTCCTTGTGGAGGCATTGAAAAAACATAATGACCTCTGTTTAATGGGTGCCCATCTAGGGACCTGGGAAACATCGACATAAAATACACAGTGACACTTTGACAAGAATCGCTATATAACACCTGAAAAACTTGGGATGAGTTTTTTTCCTTGAGGGGGATTATGTCACCCTGGTAAAATACTAGCCGCTTCCCAAAGACTCGGCTGGGGAGAATTTCTCTTTAACTCATTCGGTAGAGTGCAAGACAAGTAAACCAGAGGTCCCTGGTTCCAAAAAATAATGACTTCTGTTCCAAAGAGTTAAATAAGAGTTATATTTGAAAGAAATGTATTCATTTTAATTTCTCATTCAAACATCTTATCATCAGAAGCTTATCCATTATACGCTACCAGTCGTAATATTTGCTATGTTACTCCTTTTCGTTTGACGATTAAGTGTACAGAATTTTGGTATGCTGTGATTTTAACTTTTTCTTATAAAATCTACCAATAAGATCCGTGTATTCGGATTACATAGTGTCCGAATATACAGAAATACCCCAAACTACAGTAAACACACTACATCTCCAGCAAACATGCAGGCATACACACATAGGGAGATATTAGCCATGTGGTATAGGACTAGTAGATAGCGCCTGATAAGGCAGCTCCTGCGAATTCCTCAAAATTGTATTGATTAATTTATATGCTATTTGTATTAATTGTCAATCTATGTACTGTAAAGCGCTTTAGAGTGGCTTATGTTAGCTAGATAGGGCACTATTTTAAATGTTGTATATCATTATAATTCATACTTGATCTTGGAAAAATCCATTGAAATACATGTACTGTTAAAAGTTCTGTATTACTCTCATTCAATTAAACTCACTCAATTAAATACCTCTAAAACTGGTACATTCATCAAGTGAAAAAATATCCTAACATCTTTATTAAAGATACATTGAGTTCATTTGAAAATTTAAGAAATAAGTTAACAAAGCTCTGCCACCTGCTCAGTGCTCACACAGTGGGTATGACTATTTCATGATTATGTGAAAAGCATTGTTAGCTTCATGCAGATTGAGAACTAATTACCTCAAATCTCATAAATATTGAAATTAGTAACAAGATGTTTGAGGTATGATTCAAATACATCACACCCTGGTAATTAACCAAAAAAAAATGTGGTTATTAACCAAAACAAATACTGGTAATTAACCAAAAAATAATAATACAATTTTCTGTGAGAACAGCAACTCCATTAGATGTTGTAGCTTCATTTAGCTTTAAAATTGAATTTCTGAAAAGTAATACAGAATTTTCATATTCTTTATTTAATGCTGGTAATGGTTTTGAATCTCAGAGCAAACAAAATTGTTTTTAGTTCTATTAATCATTAAAATATCTAAGAGTCAAATTTCACATACAGCATGTAACAGTTTAACACAGCGATTGAAAATGGAGACCAAATCATTTGTCTTCTGTAATAAACACATTTTTCTTGATGATTTACGGATAATGGGGAAAATGTTTTGATATGATAGAGACAGGAAAAATGAGGTCCTTTTCCTAAATATTCATAGAACATTGTCATTTTATTGTTGGATAATTATTTAAAATTCTTGGCAACTCATGTTTTCTCTCAAGAATTAAATATTTACTAAAAAAATCTTCAACAAAATAGATCCAAGATGTTGAAACTAAATATGACAACATCTTTCTGAATATCTAGCTACATTATTGTACTTCATGGTCGGTCATAACAGCGAGGGATCTTCATTGTCTTTTGCCGTGGTAACGTCTTCTGATTGGCTGCCCGATCCAACGTCTTGTCCCTCCTCCGTTTTCTGTTTTTTCTTCGCCCGTGTGTCTGCCAACACCTGTTCTATCGTCCTGTGGTCCAGTTTATTTTCACTTGGCACTGGAAAACACAGAAACAACGTTAATTTGAGGTCGTTTAGTGACAAAGGATAACCTATATCCATTATAATAGAGGCGCGGTAGTCTAACGGTAGGCTGCTGGGCTCGTTACTAAAGGGTTGCGGATGCCAGTCACGTCATGGCACTGTGTTGTATCTTTGAGCAAGATACTTTACTCCGCTTGTTCCAGTCTACTCAGCTGTAAATGAGTACGTGGTTGGGCAGTGCTAGAATTGTGGAATGCTAACTGAGAGCGCCGAAATGGCAGTAACGGCTGTATGCTCCCCAGGGAGTTGAACAAAATATTGGCTGGTTGCAAAGGCCCTATAACCACGGATAATAATTTTGAGACGACCTCCGAACTAGGTTGTGATAAAGCGATATATAAGAACCTCAAATTATTAATATTATTTGGTAAACTTCATTCTAATGGAATAAATTACATGAATAAAATCTACATCGGAGGTCAAGTCCATACTGCATGAACTTTTTTGAGGTTATTAAATATATTTTTACATCAGTTATGAAGTCAGTGTCATTATGAATTAATAAATTTGGGGTCAAGGCCATTCTGAATAAATAGGTCTGTGGTCTATACCATTTAGAGCACAAAACATACCTAGTATATTTATCAGACACTTTCCCTGCTAACTTTGGTTTGCTACATTATTATTTACAGAGATTAAACTGTTTCTATGACAACTGTTACAGAATGTTTGTTGTGTTGTGACGGGCAATCGGTTTAAAATCAAAATCAATAACCGGTTTGCGATTGGAAGTAGTAAACCGATTGATGATCGATTGCATAATCAGTTCAAAATTCTATCGGACTGAATACCCAAATAAAGTGAGAACACTATCATTAAATCAATAGACAGGCTTGTTAACTGATCGTTAGCTTTTGTTCATTGATAATGAATGGATTTTATGCAGATGATGGTGGGCTAAAAATTGGCGCCAATAATTAACTGTAGTCATTTGAGAGTTTGACGCGGGGGGCACTCTCCATGTTATCTGAAGCAAAGCGACAAGGTTAATCAATGACGTCGTAAGTAAACCACCAGAGTCTTTGCTTTCATTCTCAAATGAAATGCATTTTTTTCTGCTGGTAATGTTCATATAGTGGGTTGCAGCACAAATGTAAATATAGGACTTTGTGAGACTCACCAAATCCATAAGATTTGTTTGCCGTTGTGGTTCTGGCGGCCTCTTTTGCAGCCTCTTCACCAATAAGGTGGCGATACTTATCCTGGTAGTTTGAAGCAGGCATCACCTTTGGGTGTTTAATTCTTGATTCTGCCTCCTCAGACAATCTGTCTATCTCCTAAAAATGACAAAATTTTGACAATGTCCATAAATAAGTGACAACTTTTGTCAAAAAATATGCAGGTCCTCACAACTAAGATGCCACATACATTTTGTTTGTATACAGGTCCTTTTTGTCTTTTGATGTTGATACATGTTTGTAGGAAACCTCACTATCATAAGATAGTGCACAATATAAAATTAAACTTTATATATTTTACAACAATTATGAAAGAAGTCATTTCAACTATTAATCCCTTTTGTTGGGCTGGCTGTTAGTATGCGGGTGGGGGTCTTAATGTGGGATGAAACTGCAGTACCCATATACAGGCCCTGTTCACCTGTTAATATTGACATATACAGGCCCTGTCTACCTTTTAATGTTGATATATACAGGCCCTCACCTGTTAATGTTGACATATACAAGCCCTGCCTACCTTTTAATGTTGACATATACAGGCCCTGTCCACCTTTTAATGCTGATACATACAGGCCCTCACCTGCTGATGTTGACATATACATACAGGCCCTCACCTGTTGATGTTGACATATACAGGCCCTGCCTACCTTTTAATGTTGATACATATAGGTCCTCACCTGTTGATGTTGACATATACAGACAGGCCCTCACCTGTTAATGTTGACATATACAGGCCCTGCATACCTTTTAATGTTGACATATACAGGCCCTCACCTTTTAATGTTGACATATACAGGCACTTTTTACCTTTTGTTTTGCTATTTCCTTTGCTTTGTCAGGATCCCAATCTTCCCCTTTCCTATAGGCAGCAAGCTCTTCGTCAGTAGGTGCAAACTCCTGCCAACAAGATCAAGAAATAACAATCAATCCTTGGTAACACAACATCAATGGTACATGACAAAACCTTTAAGAAAATCAACGTTTCGAAAGGAAAGGTTGGTACCTGACCTTGATGAGGATTGAGATACAAATCTACGTTCACATATGCAGTCCCTGCAAGTTCTGAAATATAGATCTGCTGTGTCCCACTGCAATTACGGTGAATAGGATACTGTATACTATAATTAGCGCCCAGGGCCAGGGTGCTTAAATATATAAAGTGTGAGTTATGATAGAAAAAGTTGTGGAACTCTAACAGTTGTTATCACTGAAGGACATTGTGTACATTCCAGTATGGCTCAAGGTGTCGGATAGCAAGTGATTTCATCTGCTTCACGGTAGGTCAAGCCATGATCACCAAACATAAATCTCTGTTTTAAAGTGGAGGTACTATAAATCATTGACTATAGATCTGGTCAGGTCTGGGAGGGGAAGGGGTCTATATAGTTCTATACAATTCCTCCTCAAAAAAGGGGATAGGCTCTAATTAGGGCGAATATGGTACTTCAGATAATGATATTCTGCCAGTATTTGGTGACCAGGATTATTTTTATCCATATATCTTAGTTTTCTTCATTATCTTATTTTATAGAGTTATCTACCTTCTACATTTTACAGAGTTATCTACAAACCTTCTACATTTTACAGAGTTATCTACAAACCTTCTACATTTTACAGAGTTATCTACAAACCTTCTACATTTTACAGAGTTATCTACAAACCTTCTACATTTTACAGAGTTATCTACAAACCTTCTACATTTTACAGAGTTATCTACAAACCTTCTACATTTTACAGAGTTATCTACAAACCTTCTACATTTTACAGAGTTATCTACAAACCTTCTACATTTTACAGAGTTATCTACAAACCTTCTACATTTTACAGAGTTATCTACAAACCTTCTACATTTTACAGAGTTATCTACAAACCTTCTACATTTTACAGAGTTATCTACAAACCTTCTACATTTTACAGAGTTATCTACAAACCTTCTACATTTTACAGAGTTATCTACAAACCTTCTACATTTTACAGAGTTATCTACAAACCTTCTACATTTTACAGAGTTATCTACAAACCTTCTACATTTTACAGAGTTATCTACAAACCTTCTACATTTTACAGAGTTATCTACAAACCTTCTACATTTTACAGAGTTATCTACAAACCTTCTACATTTTACAGAGTTATCTACAAACCTTCTACATTTTACAGAGTTATCTACAAACCTTCTACATTTTACAGAGTTATCTACAAACCTTCTACATTTTACAGAGTTATCTACAAACCTTCTACATTTTACAGAGTTATCTACAAACCTTCTACATTTTACAGAGTTATCTACAAACCTTCTACATTTTACAGAGTTATCTACAAACCTTCTACATTTTACAGAGTTATCTACAAACCTTCTACATTTTACAGAGTTATCTACAAACCTTCTACATTTTACAGAGTTATCTACAAACCTTCTACATTTTACAGAGTTATCTACAAACCTTCTACATTTTACAGAGTTATCTACATACCTTCTACATTTTACAGAGTTATCTACCTTCTACATTTTACAGAGTTATCTACAAACCTTCTACATTTTACAGAGTTATCTACAAACCTTCTACATTTTACAGAGTTATCTACAAACCTTCTACATTTTACAGAGTTATCTACAAACCTTCTACATTTTACAGAGTTATCTACAAACCTTCTACATTTTACAGAGTTATCTACAAACCTTCTACATTTTACAGAGTTATCTACAAACCTTCTACATTTTACAGAGTTATCTACAAACCTTCTACATTTTACAGAGTTATCTACAAACCTTCTACATTTTACAGAGTTATCTACAAACCTTCTACATTTTACAGAGTTATCTACAAACCTTCTACATTTTACAGAGTTATCTACAAACCTTCTACATTTTACAGAGTTATCTACAAACCTTCTACATTTTACAGAGTTATCTACAAACCTTCTACATTTTACAGAGTTATCTACAAACCTTCTACATTTTACAGAGTTATCTACAAACCTTCTACATTTTACAGAGTTATCTACAAACCTTCTACATTTTACAGAGTTATCTACAAACCTTCTACATTTTACAGAGTTATCTACAAACCTTCTACATTTTACAGAGTTATCTACAAACCTTCTACATTTTACAGAGTTATCTACAAACCTTCTACATTTTACAGAGTTATCTACAAACCTTCTACATTTTACAGAGTTATCTACAAACCTTCTACATTTTACAGAGTTATCTACAAACCTTCTACATTTTACAGAGTTATCTACAAACCTTCTACATTTTACAGAGTTATCTACAAACCTTCTACATTTTACAGAGTTATCTACAAACCTTCTACATTTTACAGAGTTATCTACAAACCTTCTACATTTTACAGAGTTATCTACAAACCTTCTACATTTTACAGAGTTATCTACAAACCTTCTACATTTTACAGAGTTATCTACAAACCTTCTACATTTTACAGAGTTATCTACAAACCTTCTACATTTTACAGAGTTATCTACAAACCTTCTACATTTTACAGAGTTATCTACAAACCTTCTACATTTTACAGAGTTATCTACAAACCTTCTACATTTTACAGAGTTATCTACAAACCTTCTACATTTTACAGAGTTATCTACAAACCTTCTACATTTTACAGAGTTATCTACAAACCTTCTACATTTTACAGAGTTATCTACAAACCTTCTACATTTTACAGAGTTATCTACAAACCTTCTACATTTTACAGAGTTATCTACAAACCTTCTACATTTTACAGAGTTATCTACAAACCTTCTACATTTTACAGAGTTATCTACAAACCTTCTACATTTTACAGAGTTATCTACAAACCTTCTACATTTTACAGAGTTATCTACAAACCTTCTACATTTTACAGAGTTATCTACAAACCTTCTACATTTTACAGAGTTATCTACAAACCTTCTACATTTTACAGAGTTATCTACAAACCTTCTACATTTTACAGAGTTATCTACCTTCTTCCACAACATGACATAACGATCTTCCTCCTCCAGACCAAACGAGAAAGAGGTCATTCCTGCCACGTCTGTAATCTCATGTCTGAAAACAAAAAATATACAGTATATTTAGATTTCAATCTTGGCCTAAGTAATATATATGCTGCTTACTTACAAATCATTGATTTTCGTTCTTATCATTTAGAATTCAGTGGCATCAAGTACGAAACAGGCATTCTTGTGTGTTTTTCAAATTCAATTGTTTGTAAATTAATTAAACAAGTCCCAATTATCGTTCTGAAAACATCGTAGTTGGTTTCTTGGTGCGAAACTCTTATGAAAAGGAGATGACTATCCAGTATAAGGTAGCATACACCCTTAAATAGGTAAAATCTCTGCTATAAGGTTCCACTCATGGAATCCAATGCAGTTTCTTCTTTCATTTTCTGTGCTGTTCTATAAATGTTATTTTACATTTTAACTTCTTTCTAAGACAGCTTTAAATTTATCAACAACAGATATATTTTGGACTATCTAAACCATTTTAATTATAACTCATGATCCTTAGCCAAACCTACCTCTCATTTAGAAGGTACCAGATTATGCTGATTGCATTTTTGATACTTTCCTAATTAATTTAGGAAAAATCGTTAACAAACTGAGGGGTCAAGGTCGATTACTGGCTCCCATTGTCATTTTTAAACATCTGGCATGATGACAGCGATATAAAATAAAAAGTTTAATATACTGTATATTACCGGGAAATTTTTGCTGCAGTTAAATTTGGCATTTTTTTTGTCCTCTGTAATGAGGCCAAATTCATCATTACAGCGAACATTTGGAAACAGCATAATATACATAGTTAAAAATAAGGGCGAATTTAATATTGTGCGAACATGGATCTCCCAGGAAACAGGATAACAGCCTAATAAGGTGCTCACACTATAGCTCGGAAACATTTATCCATTGGTTCAAAACTGTACTTCTGCTTGCTTCCATCTTTCACAAATTCGTGAATCCTCTTCCTGATCTAAACATAAAATAAACTGTACATTTAAGCAATAAGAATAATAAAGGGTCCGTCTCTTTTTATCATGGGAAACAGATAAATCTCATTGGGAGTTATATAGTATATAAAAAAAAATATGAAAAACTGGTGTGCGCTTTGAATTTTATGCGTTGCGAATTTATGCAAAATGCATTTTTTTTCGGTATATACTACGGTTTATAAACTGTATAACCCCAAAATAATCCTAGTTATACCTTCAATACATTGTATCTATATATACATTATACCTGAAGAGCCATGAGAAGGGCGAAAGCTTCTAGATTAGAAGTTAGTTGTTATATCATATTTTTTCTTTACTTACCTACTTCACAGTCTACATTTTAAATCATATCTATATATATATCTTCAATTTTATAAAAAAAAAGGATTAAATGTCCATGTGAAGTAAGTAAATATAGAAAAAATAAGATTTAACTAAAAAATTGGCTGCTTTCACCCTTCACAGGGCTCTTCAGGTTTATTTCCTATAAAAAAACAAATCAAAAACAAAAATCGAAATAAACCTGAAGAGCCCTGTGAAGGGTGAAAACAGCTAGTTTTTTATACGGTCGTTAAATCTGATTTTTTCTATATCTATAATTTATAGAGTTATATGGACACATTTACTAACAGTTACACAATTATTTACATGTATATATAATAAAGTTTGCTTACCTTTCCCCTGAAATCATCTAATTTCTTTTTTTCTGCCTGTTGATGTTTTTCTAGTCTTTCTTTCTGTTCTGGAAATAAAATGAAACAATTTTATAAATTAAGTCTCTGCATTTTTCACAAGATGAATCACTTCAAATTTGTTTAATGAAAACATCACAATATTAAGCCTTCAAGGTTGCGATTGTGTAGCGGGAACTCAACTAGGTCGATCACCAGTAACCTGTTAGATCAATTGGTTAGAGCGTCCGTCTAAAGAGTTCAGGGGACCCTGGTTTGAATCCAGATCTAGTCGTGCTATTTTCCTCTCCTGTTTCAAGTCACTTGTGTGTATGCTTGGCAAGGCGATAACCAATCTGGCTTATATTCCGTCTTTGCGTATTGCAGAGTTATCTTCTCTTGGGAGCAGGTATTGATTGTTATGTCACTTGTTTGTGAGAGTAACGTCATCAATTTTTGAGAAAACGACGTAATTTTCACCCACGAACCAATGACGTAACAATCAATACCTGCTCTCAAGAGAAGATAACTCTGCAATACACAAAGACGGAATATAAATATAAACTGTGTTGTCTTTTGGGTTGCAAAGACTTATAATTGGAAAAAGGAGGGAGGAAGTTATCGGAGCTGGATGGGGTCAATTGATCGTCAATCGCACCATTTCAATCTTATAATCTATATGTGTTTGGGTGTGAGGGTTGCATGCATACTGTGCAGACATATTCCCCTATGACAAATACTTGTCCACTTTTTGAAATTTCTATGGGGGAGATTCTGCATGCTCAAAATTAAAACATTAATAAAATGTGTGTATACACCCCCTAGAGACAAAATAACTCTTTAAAATGACATAATTTGAGTTGTTCTTTCAGATGAAATCATTAGATTAAATAGGAACAGTTAATAAGCAAATTCATTGGTTGAAAATACTAAATTTAAGGGTCCCAAATCGTGAGTCTTTCTGCTAAATAGGGAGGGTTGGCTCAAGTTGAGTCAATTCTGAAACTATATATATATTTCCCCTCAAAATCATAATGCCTAGTTTGGAAATTACCTTTTGAACAGATGTTATTTTTATGGGAGTTTCGTCAAAGTCAGATTGTACATGTATATAGTGTGATACCCATAATACCTGCAGAGATACCCATATTCCTGCAGAGACGTATACATACATGCACACATGTAAGACACAGTATTTCTCTTACCCTGGACAGGTGTATCCGCACTTTTACCGTTGTGAGGTTACTGTAATAGAATCTTTCACCCCCTTGGGGGTGAGATAGGAGAATTTCAACCCGAGGGGGAGGATTCTAAAGTTGCCAAACACGAGGCTTTGCCGAGTGTTTGGCAACTAAAGAATCTTTCCCCGAGGGTTGAGATTCCACTATCTCACCTACAAGGGGGTGAATGATTTTTTTTCTCTTACCCTGTTCTTTCATTGTGTATCATATGCACAATGTAATGATAACGTTACATACTAAATTCAGGGTTGACGTGACGTTGATGGATTGTTGACGTGACCTCATTGTATTGTTAAAGTGACGTCATTCCATTGTTAGGAATAGGGGAATCCCCCCGTCTCAACTCTAGGGTGAGACAAGGAAATCTCGCACCGGTAAAAATGCGGATACACCTGTCCTGGGTAAGAGAATTCCTGGTCTCACCCTAGGGTTGAGACGGGGGGGTTCCCCTTTTCATAACAATGGCATGACGTCCCTTCAACAATACAATGACGTCACGTCAACAATCCATCAACGTCACGTCATTACATTGTGTATATGATACACAATGGTAGAACAGGGTAAGAGAAAAAGAATCATTCACCCCCTTGTGGGTGAGATAGGGGAATCTCAACCCTCGGAGAAAGATTCTTAAGTTGCCAAACACGAGGCTTTAAGATTCTTCCCCCTCGGGTTGAGATTCTCCTATCTCACCCCCAAGGGGGTGAAAGATTCTATTAATATATATATATGTCACTGCAAATACTTAGCCTGATCTACAAGCTCTTATATTATGACTTTGGTTGCTTAATTTTTAGCCAAAGACAACATTTTGCATTTGCTCAGGTCCATGTGTCACTCACAGTGACCGGGTGATGCAGAGGATAGCAAACTTGCCTTTCATTAAGGCAGGTGGCATGGGTACGATTCCCCAATTGAAAGTGATAAGGTATGTGGTCAAATCACGCAGGTTCCAAAATTCTGATCGGTCGACCAATCAGACTTTTTGAAGCCTGAGATTAATTATTATCAGTTTTAGCGGACTTAAGGGTCACTTGCCCGACCATGTTGGTTTTCTCCGGGTTCCTCCCACAATAAGATCCATGTGCGCTAACATCCGGGCTAAGAGTGATAATAATGTAAGTTGTAAAAACTTATTTGTTTTAAAATAAATAATTTATAGGTGGCAGGCCATTTTCCATGCATTTCCCACAGAGCCAATTTGTCAAAGTTTCAACATCACTGTTAGACCTAACAACCAGCTATGCAATACATATTGTATGTATACAGTACTAGTACAGTACAGTAGACTAGTAGATAGCATTAATTTCAGACTCAAAAGGGTGTCATTATCGGCTGTTCATCGCCGAGTGTTTAGTCATTCATACTCTGAAAAATATATTCATATGTAAAAAGCATTATTGTGTAGGTATATTTGTACCTTTGGCTTTCTTTTTTTCGGCATCTCCCATTGTAGGTGGTTTCTGCATAGATCCTAGAATAGACCCTAACAGGTCCATGTTTTGCTTCGACTGGCTTTCTCTAAACAACACGAGGATAAACCTGCTATAATCTACGTAATATTTTATACATTTCCTTAAAAAAATATTTTCATTTTTATATATCTAATAAACGTTAATATCTGTATAAGGTGTAAAAATTTAGACAAAATATCATCGATTTGACGTCAATTTATATTATTACTACAAATATTCACTGATCTGATGGAAAGAAATAACGCAATAGAACATCACGTCCGTGGTTTGTGCGGTCCTGCATTCACCTTGCTGTCGACCTATCGGATGGGAAAATAACACACGATGGTTGTGATCAGCTGTCTACGTCCCTCTGCGCGGGGACTAAAGGCCGTTTTGCCGGTCTTAAGATGTTCACCACCGACAATTTCAGCTTCAAAACAAGTAGGACCAGGTAAATGTTATTCAGCGTGAATTGTTCTATGTTTTGTAATACAAAAAAGGCATCGCGTCTAATTACCCAATACTACCCAATACCACCCAATACTACCCAATACCACCCAATTCTACCCAATACTACCCCATACGATCCAGTTATGAACCAAATACTTCTTTATTACTGTGAAATATCACCTTTGTAGACGTTATTTACTTCCATATGCCATATTTTATCGGGAAATATGCGATTTGGTGCCGAAAACATCACCGAATTGCCGTGACTATGACCCAATACTACCCCATACCACGGAATTAGATTAGATCTAAGTCCGTGCCCATACCACCCAATACTACCCAATACCACCCAATACTACCCCATACGACCAAGTTATGAACCAAATACTTCTTTATTACTGTGAAATGTCACAGTTATTTACTTCTATATGTCACATTCTATCTGGAAATATGCGATTTGGTGCAGAAAACATCACCGAAATGCCGTGACTAGGGGTTCGACGATTTACAGGAACGGGCAGAAATCTATTAATTTTTATATAGGCCTATACATTAATGAATATATATATTAGATCAGAGACGTATATAACACAGTTATGGCTTTATACGTCTCTGATTAGATACATTAAAGTATCATTATCGGGTATAAGATATATTTGATAAAATGATTGCAATTACATGATCGCCATTCGGGGCAGAATCGGACTAAATTATATTTATATTTATATTATTATATCTTTTTTATCGGGTACAAGATACGTCATTTGATAAAAGGATTGCAAAGAATTTAAAAAAAAGTATTGTATTGATATGGATCGGGCAAGAACGGTCGACGATTTACAGGAACGGACAGAAACGGGGCAGGATCGGACTTATTTATATATATTTATTGTATATATTTAATTATCCTTATCTGGTATAAGGTATATTTGATAAAAGAATTGCAATTACAGGAACGGGGCAGGATCGGAATATATATATATATATATATATATAAATTGCCAGGCCGAGGTTCCAATTTATGTCTCTGTTTTATTCTATAAAAAAGGGTTGTTCAGAGAATTATATATTACATATATAATAAATATGTATCTGAGTTATTTTCTCATTTATATATATGACATTGTTATTGCGATGTCATAACACCTGAAACATTGGAAATGACATTATGATAACTAAATTTTAATAACTTCATAACTTATACTCAACTCTTAATAAATAGCATGAATATATTTTGAGTGAATTAATTGGTGTTAATGTGTAGATTACAATCCCATCACGTCTACGATCTTAAAAAAAAGAAAATACGCAATTTTCCAACTCAAAAAAGGGACATCAATCTGAAAATTAAATATTATTCTATATGTAAATATAAGTTAATTGAAATACGTGTTTTACGTAAATAAATATTGAAGTCCATATGTTGGATTGTTAGGCCTTATCTGTTATAGAAAAACGATACTGTATATTAATTGTATATGTAAAGAAGAAAGAAACACGGTGAAACGCTTTAAGTTTCATTTTTTTTCAAAGGCCGATGTGGTCAAAACTGATTATCTAATTCCGTAATAGTAGACAATAGACTTCTTGTTCCAATGTTCAAGCTGGTTTAAGGAAAGGCTACTCTACAACTGAAAATATATTTATCCTTCATGCTTTAATATCTATATACGTTTCAAAAAGTAATTTTGGGGTTTGAAAATACCAATATGATTGAGAAATTACGTGTACAGTTTTGTTAAAGAATTTTAAACATACGTAGCTCCACAGCAAATATAATGGTATATGGTGAAACGGGTAGGTACTCGCTGGATATTGAAATTAAATCTAGAATGATAATGTTTTGGTATAAACTAATTACAGGTGAAAATAAATTGTCTAGTATAATGTACAAGCTTATGCTGAATTTACATAAAAATGATTTCGCTGATTTTAAATGGATTTCATATATCAAGAATCTATTCAATTGCACGGGACTAAGTTTATGTTTAAAATTAGATATTGTACACGGAATTAGATAAAGTCCGTGGTTATGCATTCATATAACTTGATGTTTTTAAAGACTTAAATTTGTTTAAATAAATTTGACGAGTATTTAGTAAGAGTAGATTTACTTTTCACGACCATGTATCTTTAGTATATATTGGAACAAATCTATATTTATACATATTATATCGATAGTTGTTATAAATAAAAAAAAATCCGTAGAATGTTCATGTACGTCAATACGTTTATAACGTTCATTGCATAATAAAATTATTTAAACATTTGTTCTAATTTAGTTGACTACAAGTAATTTTGGGGGAAATCCTCTATTTGCCAATTCTATTCAAAATTTATCTCCGTTTTCGTCTTCATTGCATATTCTATATATATATATATATATATAGTTAAGTCAAGTCAAGTCAATTTTGTTTATTATAGTGTCATATATCACAATTACATCGTACAAGTATATAGTTACACAGTATAAACACATATAGTTACATAATTTATAATATCATAATTTTGTTAAGAACAGCTATTATACATAATACATTAATAAATTAAAACAAACTATCACATGTGCCAATCCAGAGAGCAGGTGATTGGGACAGCCCCTACCTAACAAACTCCTGGATTTTGTCCTTACATATTACATACTATAATAGTTAAAAGGTTTCTTTTATATTTACTGCCTTAAAACATGATGTCTTTAAAAAAACAATAACAATGGTGATAAATAAAATGAATAATTTCCTAGTTCTACATTGTAGTGAAATTTAGATTTCCAAGGGTTGGGGAGCCCCCTTCCAGCGAGGTCTGCTAAATTCACACTAACTAGTAGCTAATTATATTTAAACGGAAGATTATTTTCATAAAAAAATGTTTCTGATTGACACCTGGTATCATATTTAACAAATGCATTAAATAGAAAATGTAATTGTATATGATGTTCAGCCTAAAATGGCTTACAAGACACTGTTTAAAATTATAACTAATCACATAGACTGCTACGTCTTCTGTACATATTATATAAGTGGTTTGCAAGTGGAATTTGTAATTCCTCGGAAGACATTATAAAATTAAATTATAATATATATATTTACCTGTAACTGTGATTTAGATCACGGACTTAGATGTTAAATAAAATTGCAACATCACGGTATCTACCATGTATCTATAGAGATCACATTTACTTGAGATGGCCAACGAGTTGAATAAAGTATATGTGTATACAGTATCTCTGGGAGTCGAATCAAGTTTTCATGTCATTTAGTATTTTGCTTTCGGATGATCAAAGACGTATATATTACGTAATGTAATATATACGTCTCTGGATTGATGTATAAGAAGCGTAACGTAATTCCTTTTATTAATCTATTTAATTTTTACATTACTTAATGACAACCTACTCGTCTACCCTTCATAAGATTGGTCAGGGAACTATATATGGAAAAAATATCTAGCTTGTCCAAAACAGACTATCTGTGAGTTAATCAAGTAATTGAAAGGACTTCGAATCATATACAATCCATATACTTTTTGAATTTCGTAGTATTTGAGTATCTAATTTAACTGAAGGTTCTTCTCCAGCATTGTTATATAATTGATACTGTTATGTTTAACAAAATTGAATAACTAACATTTATGAAAAGTAATTTCAAATTTTCTAAATATTTCCTGCTAAATTTATATATATGATCTTAATAACACCATTTTATGACATGAATAGAATTAATATAGTATCATGTAATTGCAATTCTTTTATCAAATATATCTTATACCCGATAATGATACTTAAATGTATCTAATTAAATATATATATTCATCAATGTATATATAATAATTAATAGTTTTCTGCCCGATCCTGCCCGTTCCTGTAAATCGTCGAACCCCTAGTCACGGCATTTCGGTGATGTTTTCTGCACCAAATCGCATATGTCCAGATAGGATGTGACATATAGAAGTAAATAACTTCAAGAAATGCGATATTTCACAGTAATAAAGAAGTATTGGGTTCATAACTGGATCGTATGGGGTAGTATTGGGTGGTATGGGGTAGTATTGGGTCATAGTCACGGCAATTCGGTGATGTTTTCGGCACCAAATCGCATATTTCCCGATAAAATATGGCAGATGGAAGTAAATAACGTCTACAAAGGTGATATTTCACAGTAATAAAGAAGTATTTGGTTCATAACTGGGTCGTATGGGGTAGTATTGGGTAGTATTGGGTGGTATTGGGTAGTATTGGGTAGTATTGGGTGGTATTGGGTAGTATTGGGTAGTATTGGGTAATTAGACGCACCGGTAGAACTCTTCAACTACATAACACAGCGATGAGTTCGGGTTGTTCCTTTTATTATTGAAATATCGTGTCTATCAAAACTTCATCATTCTGTACTACCTCTTACTTTGTAGCAATATATATGGACATAATATTTATTTTTATTCATATTTTTTTATGTTTGCTCATAGCACAGGAGTCTGAAATACTCGAGAGTCATGCTGTCAAAAATTGATAGTTACATTAATAACTAGACTTAACACTGTGGGCCTGTTCGTTTATGCGGAACAACCGGTTCGGCCGTTTATGAATGTAACAATTTCGGGTATAAATCCTGGCGGACCTGCAAATGTTTATGCAGGCCTTGCATATAAGTTGCAAGGCTTTGTCGAGTCTCGCCTGAAAGCAGCATCAGATTACTAGGTCCAACCTTATTTAATAAACGAACAACTGTGGTCCGACCGGTTTAACCGTTTAAACGAAAACGGCCTGTATAAATGTGGCCCGAGTTTCCTCTGGCCCAAACACCAGATTTAGTCATTTTGACATATACATGTCTGGTGTGGGGGTTGACTAATTAACAAAAAGATGCGGTCCTGAAATCTTCTAAACAAGAATAATATATTCCATTTTCGGTCCGGATCAGTACGGTTTGTTGATTAGTTACCCAATGACCTACAAAAATGGTGTTCTCTCAGGTGGTAAATTTTGAACGACTGAAAATCGAGGACTCTACTGACGGAATTTAGCAGCTGTTGGTGATTATAAGAGCTGATTTGGATCAATAAATGATCCTTGTATCAATGTGTTGTGTCATAGTAGATTTTTGTTGTCAGCATCTCATAACTCTCCGATACCAAAAGGTGTAGGAGAATTCCACGTTTTCATATAGCAGTGTGCTCTAGACCCACACCAGACATCTATCTGTCAAAATGTCTAAGTAAGTCTGGTGTTAGGGCCAGAGGAAACTCGGGCTATATAACATATATACTATAAAAATCTGTTATTAATGCTTTATCAATTGTTTCTTTTATGACTGGTTATGTACAAGTCAATTACGTAAAGATTAAAAAAGATGACTTTAGAAAGTTAATTATTGCGTTCATAGGTTTTTTGTTTTTTTTACATATACCAGTAGTCCCATTAATATTATTACTGAGCATTTTTTGAAGCTATCTCCCGGTAAAAATCTTAACATAACCTGGATGATGACAAAAAGAATACTCATAAACTATCTGCACTTTTACTTTTTGAACCTTTTTGCTAAATCAAACAAATAAAATTAGTCCTGATGCACTGACAAAAAGAAAACACAACTATATCAGCTCCAAGATTTTCCAATTATTTTTTGTCCCTCTGTAAAAACATAAAACTTAACTGATGAAGACCAATGCAATTGAGCATGAATTGTTTGTGACGTCATAGTAAGATAATCTTCTACAAGAAAGTTTCATGCATGCCATTATCACATTTTTTGCAATGAACTTTGATATTTTCTAAAACTTTTGAGTAAAAAAAAAATACTCAAAAGTTTTAGAAAATATCAAAATTCTATGTAAAATTAAAATTAAATTGGAACATGGAGGGGTCAATTTCAGTTTTGAGGGGTCAATGGCCCCCTCCAGGATTATCTCTGAGAGTTCAGATATATAATTGGTAAAAATGCTCCTCGCATCAAAAATCAAATTTCTAGGTAAGGGGTGTACAAAAAATGCTTTATACCATTGGAAACGTAGATAATGTTTCTTTCAAAAGCCTCGATCCCTGTAGAATGTATTATCCTCCACAGATCTCCTTTTTCTCACACACACAATATTTCAATGTTTCAAAGATTTTTGCAGTCATACTGCCATTTTTCGCATATTCATGTCAGAGGTTGACATCAGCCTTGTGAATTGACCTCCATCTCGATTCCAGGTACTTTTTCGAATCGACGGGAATTTTCTGAAACATAGCATGTTAAAATGAAACATATTTGGTGAAATTATCAGCGATCCAAAATGAAAAACTTGTCCATTGTTATGACCGAAAACAGATTATTTTTTATTTTTTCATATTTTTTATCGTTTTCAAGACAAGACAAAACATATATGACATTGTTCATAAGTACATGTTTGCTTAGTACATGACTGTTCAAACATATTAAAATTAAACAAAGGTGTCTATAAAGTTTTAACAGTTTTGTAAACTTTTTTTACACTCCTCATCATCATTCATCAACATCATCATCATCTGTCATGTACACATTGTACATGCTTTGCATATTTCTGACATTAAAAGTAGTATCACCTAGGCCTATACTCATTCGGGTAGAGTACATCAATAGGGGCTGCGGTTGCCAAGTGGTTAAGGCGTGTGACACTCTGCTACCACTATAGCCCTTCACCACTGGGTCGCGGGTTCGAGACCTACGTGGGACAGTCGCCAGGTACTGGCTGTAGGTTGGTGGTTTTTCCCCGGGAACTCCAGCTTTCCTCCACCACCAAAACCATGGCACGTCCTTAAATGACCATATATAGATGTTAATAGGACATAAAACAAAAACAAACCGAACTAAACCAAAAAAGTAGAGTACATCAATGTAAATCTCAGAAGTTTTGGTTGCAATTTTTCTTTTTTCTTTTCTTTTGCAGTTATCATGTCGTGCAGAGGGGGAGCAGGCAGGGCTATGCCGATGAGGACTGGTCTATACTTGGATCGACTGTGGAGAGATGGTGTGGTGGGTATCGGGCCAGAACAAACCAATTTTTACCTTTTAAGAATCTCTGTCCAACTTAAGACAAAACACCAGAGGTGTCACTGTGTTTGTTCGTATATACAGTAACCTCCGCTTAATTTTAGTTTTGGCCGTTACTGTAAATGGAGAGTGGTGTCGGTGTTCTTCCGCCGGGAAACCAGTGACCCCGGAATTTTGTTTTAGCTGTAACTGTAGCCCAATTGGACAGATGTATTTTCTTAGATTCCTCCGAAGGTTTGGTCGTCTTTATGGAATGAATCATCAAAGTCATAGTCATGCTGGAAAAAAACAGCTTCCAAATTCTCAATGCGTAGTTGCAGTTTCAAGGGTCAAAATAAGTGCGAAATAGACACGTCCTTTCACACCCAAAGTCAAAGCTCATTTTGGGAGTCAAAAAATACTCTGAAAGGCCAAATGAAAGCTTAGTGTATCGCTGTACAGCCACTTTACTGCTTTTTATGTGTTTATAATCTCAAAGCACCACATTGAGACCAAATGTAATTTTGTTCATGAACACTTAAGACATTTTTCAAGTTTCATATTCCAAAGTACATGTATCTCCCTTTGTACCTAGTTGAGAGCAAATATGATCAAAATGCACCTGTCAGGAAAATATCTGTAATTTGATCATTATTAAAACAAGAAACGATACAGATATTTCCTTTATATTTTTCTCAATAAATTGTATGGGTTTCAACTCATTGACCCTGAATGAATTGGAAGGGTTCAAATGTGTCCTCAGGGGTGAATGAGTTAAAAAAAAAAATGGAAATAAAATAAAGACATTTATTAGTTAGCAGTGTACATTGGGTACTGTTGCCTTGGGTGATCGGGGATCAATCTAGGTTTTAGGGGAATGTACCCTTTTCAGATTTAGGGGAAACTGTATTTTTGATACAAGGCTAGCGTCATGAAGGTAAAAGATTCCAATTTATAAACAATTTTAAGCTTAAAATCTTAGAATTGTTGTTCAAATCATGTGAAGAAAATGTATGCTGTATTATGTATTTTAACTGTTGAATTTTAAAGAAAACATATAGGGGAAATACTTTTGAAGGAAATACTATTTTCTTGTTGAAATAGGGGAATTTTGAAGCACATGGGGGAGTTTCAAAAAACAGGTGAATTTTTCTTTTGTAGGGGAAACTACCCATAAACATTAGTGAAACAAGTCTAAATTGATTCCAGGTGATATGTTTGTTTCAATTGAATAACCCCTGTAGTATTTCACATGCACAGATGCATCTATCAAAACTAAGGAAAAAATCTGCTTTAAAATTGGCATATTCATGATTAAGTGGACTATGGGAGCTGGACACATCTGTATATTTTATCAAGAAAAGAAAGATATTTCTGCAAGGCCAGAGGGATATTTTGGCCATACTGCTTTAAGCAACTTCTTTCCTAGAATCATGAGTTCGATATCAGCAATGTGATAATTGGTATTACAATATTATTGCCAGCCTGTAATCAATTATCAGTCATATTACCTGTTTTGCTGGCACAAACACTGTCTGACAAATTGTGTTTTCATTGAATTGTTATGTTATTCAAAGTATAAAAAAATTTGACTTGTAATAACTTGTGTCAACATTGTCAACATTTCTTGATCGTCACTAATTATCAACATTGTCAACATTTCTTGATCGTCACTAATTGTCAACATTTTTTTTTTGTACAGCAATTCTTCCTCGTTTTGGGAACCATACCAGCTCTAGGGATTATCACTTTATCCAACCTGTTCAGCAGTAAGTCAGATATTATCATCTTTAGTGCCCTGCATCAGAGATTTAGCCCTCTTTCACAGAAAAAAAACAGGAGTTATATATCAGCCTGATATTGCAAAAAAATAATTTGTAAAGGCCAGATATTAAAGGGGGACAGCAAGGAGAGAATTAAATAACAAAACTCTGGACGATATTAATAATATACAACATTTGATATAGCGCCCTATCTTGCTAACATAAGCCACTTTACAGTGCATAGATATACATTAATCAATACAATTTTGAGGAATTCGCAGAAGCTGCCTTATCAGGCGCTAACTACTTGTCCTATGCTACACCTTGCTAGTATCACCCTATGTGTGTATGCCTGCGTGTGTGCTGGAGATGTAATGTGTTCTGTTTGTAGCTATATATATAGTGGGACCGTGCTTTCAAGGGTATCATTTATAGTGCCACCTCACTTGAATGCTACAGCACAGATACTGCAACATCCACCCCAGACCATTTTATGTTGGAGTGAATATGGTTTGTCAATCTTGACATGTTCTCAGTTTACAGATCATCCAATAAGCCCGAACAATTGGTCAAGTGCCGTTGTTGTTAGTCATGTCACCTATGGAAGGCAGATGAATTACATTATTAGGCACGGTAGTCTAGTGGTCAGACGCCAGGCTCGTGACCGAAGGGTTGTGGGTTCGAGTCATGTCACAGCACTGTGTTGTATCTTTGAACTAGATACTTTACTCCGCTTGTTCCAGTCTACTCAGCTGTAAATGAATATGTGGTTGGGCAGAGCTTGAATTATTGAATGGTAGCTGTGAGCGCCTAAATGGCAGCATCGGCTGTATGCTCCCCGTGGAGTAGAGAAAGATATTGGCTGGTTAGAAATTAAAGGCCCTATAACCACGGATAATAATCCACGGTGGCCAAGTGGTTAAGGCATCTGACATTTTGCTACCACTAGCCCTCCACCACTGGATTGCGGGTATGAGACCTATGTGGGGCAGTTGCCAGGTACTGGCTGTAGGTTGGTGGTTTTTCTCAAGGAACTCCGGCTTTCCTCCACCACCAAAACATGGCACGTCCTTAAATGACCCTAGCTGTTAATAGGGCGTAAAACACAAACAAACCAAACCAAATGTTTGCTCCCAAGGGAGTTAAGAAAGATATTGGCTGGTTGCAAAGGCCCAGCAAATCACTCAATAACCACAGATAATTAATTTATGAACTGCAATGAGACAACCTATGACCTAGGTTGTGATAAAGTGATATATATATATAAGAACCTCAATTTTTTAAAATTATTATTATACCTGAATGTATACATGTTGAACATTCAATGTTTTTCATCTGTTTATCTTGAATTATAGTCTATCCAACGTACGTATGCAATTAAGCGATACCAAAGTAAGCCTTTAACATTTTCTTGGAATTTTTTTTTTTCATTTTTTTTTCAATGTTTAATGAAACTTGGATAGTGAATATTTCTTAAATAATTGTGGATTGAAAATTGTTGTATATTTCAATATTTTTCAGCTCACGGTGAATTAACGGATTTACCTGAGGATCAAAACCCTCAAACCTGGGAATATCACAAGGTAAATAATTTAGATGTAAAATAAAATTCTTCATTGTCATAATTTGTCCATTTTTGTTTGATTAAATCCATTTATTCACTGTGTTCCTCTGCGACACACTATTGTAGCATTGTTTTGAATTAGACATTATTAGCTCACCTGCCCTAATAAGGGCAAGTGAGCTTATATCATGGTGCAGTGTCCTTCGTCCGTCCGGTGTCCATCCGTCAACTTTTCCTTTAAACAACTTCTTCTGAAGAACAGACAGGCCTAGAGTCATTATGTGTGGTTAAAAGCTAAGTTGGTTGGAGCCCAACAGCCTTTCAGAACGAAAATGACCTTGACCTACTTTCAAGGTCACGGGGAACAAATGTGTCTAACACTTCGAACGACTTCTTCTGAAGAACTAAAAGGTATATAAGAATCTGCATATTTGGCTGGTGGCTTCCTGGGATAGAGCCAGACAAAGTTTGAGAATGAAAATGACCTTGACCTACTTTCAAGGTATCTGGTGTCAAATGTGTCAAACTCTTCAAACGACTTCTTCTGATGAACTGAAAGGTATAGAAACTTAATATTTGGCTTGTAACTTCTTTAGATTGAGCACGATAAAGTTTAGGAATGAAAATGCCCTTGACATACTTTCAGGGTCACAGGGGTCAAATATGTCAAAAACATCAGACGACTTCTTCTGAATAATCGAAAGGAATGGATTCATAAGATTTGTCTTGTAGCTTCTTGGGATAGAGCCAACAATGTTTGAGAAGGACTGACAAGGTCACAGGGAAAATATGTCAAACACTTTCAAACAAGTTCTGAAGAAGAACCAAAAAGCATAGAATCATTTAATATTATTTGGCTAGTAGTTTCAACAAATGGATCCGATAAAGTTTGCAAGTGAAATATTTGTAAATATTCAGGTGAGCAATACAGGCCCTCTGGGCCTCTTGTTACAGGTTAAGTTTGGTAACCTATAAACATTGTCTAAGATATACACCTGTGTTTGAGAATTTTGATGGCGTCATATACCTGACCAGAATTCGTTGATTCGTCTATTGTCAGTTGTATTGATTTCCAGAAGATGTATACCTATTTGATAATAATTTTCACATAAACTCGGGTAACAACACATCGTGTATCAACTGTATCTTTTATTGATGTTTGACATAAATAAATTTGTTGATCGTCATTTGTCTTTAAGTTCCATGTACCAAAGGAGATAATCTCTTATGTCCAAGATTGCGGTCAGCCAGAATCGTAGATTTTTTCGTGAAAAAGAAACTTGGAATTGCCTACACTTATGTATTTTGCACACCCCCCACTTTGGGCATTAAATTTTTCAAAAAAAGTGTGGAAATTACACCAGTTTTTACAGTTCTGTTTGCTAGAGTTAAAATTCTCCCTCCATTCACCAACTTATTTCCAGTTTTACCTGCATTTACTGTTGACAAGACTATAAATCTAACAGACAATAAGAGAAATAGTATAATTGAAATATTATTTATTGGAGCCCAAAATTAGCCTCAATGCATAGCATGTCAAAAACCTTTGACAGTAAAACACCTGTTGTTAGATTGCATTGACCCTCAGCCAACACAGGAAAAATTTACATAATTATATCGCAAATCTCTTTTCGAAACTGTTGCTGTTGTTATAATTCTAAACCACCTGAAAACTGTTGATCTGTTTATTTATAATCGTAGCCACTTTGGCATTTGTCTTCTACCATCATTTGAATTTGTATGATGTCATTTCTTTTAGCATGCTCTATCGACCTTTTATTGGCCCTAGTTATGTCTACTGTGTTGATTGGTGGTTAAAAATGTAATAATGATAATAAAAGTATAAAGGGAGTTATGACTACCAATGAAACCAGAATAATGAGACAATGAAAATTGGGATATAAATGTGTATACTTTTCAATAGTGTCCGTGTTGTCATACTGAATTATTGTTTTCACAGCATCCCATCACCAGGTTTATAGCGAAGTATATCGTGCGTTCGCCAGAGAAGCTTTACGAAGTCCACATGGCAATGATGTACGAACAGGACCAGAAGAGAAGATTAAGGTTAGTAAAAGTTAAAATATATATGTAGTGTTTTGTCGGATTCAACATTCTCGTGCACTCTCTGTACTGTCATGATATCATTACAGCCAAACCTGCTCGTGTGACCACCTTCATTAAGAGACCACCTGTATTAAGAGGCCACTTTTAGTGATTTCATTGAGATTTGAACCTACATGTATATTAACTCGTTCACCCCTGAAATTTCATTTTGAAAATTTCCCCAACTTTTGAATTGGAAGAATTCATATGTGTCTTCAGGGGTGAACGAGTTAAGACAACTTTCATTAAAAGACCAGTCCCCAGGCACAGGCTGAAGTGGAGTGGTGCGGGGCCGAGGATGGCAGTGAGGCACTTTTCTAGGGCTACATGTACATCTTTGACCCTTAGAAACATTTCTCCCCGCCCACAACACATACTCTAACAAGCAATTTTTACACATTACCTAAATACCTTTAATAAAAGCTAGTGCCACCTCAGCTCACTCGCTTACCCCTCCTTCCTCTTTTCTATTACAAAAAAGTATGAGAGATGCAATAAGAAACAACTACCAGGTATATACATGCTGCATTAAGCTGCAAGTCAATTTTGACCACAGAACCAGACTCGAGACAGGTGATTTTAGTTCAGCTTGCACAAAATGCATGCATGATAATGTGAAGATATTTTTTCCATCCACCCTGTGTTCTACATCAGGCTTACCTGGTAATTGGCATTTAACTTGCTACGGTGAAACCTGCAGGGCGGTCAAATTCAACTGATGTTCCACTCTTTTTATGACCATCTTATTAGGACTGCAATGATACATTAACATGACGATACGATACGTGTCAGGGTACTGTGGTCACGATACGATACGATACGAATCATGATACATATACTAGAAGTAACAGTAGAAGCAAAGAGAAAAGATATGTTGCAAATTTTAAATGGCAATATTACAACTGGAATCAGACTCGGTCCAAAATAGGCACGACTTTAAAGTTTTACACGATTCACGTCTTTCGACGTGCATGCCAAGCTGGAGCTGTAAATCGCCATGTTGTAATTGATATGAGTAGACTCAATTCAGAAACGACAAACTCAGGAAAATATGGTAGACCCTGTGTATTGTAACCTCCCAAAAATAATTTGTTTGGTACCGTATTCAAAGTATTGTGAATCGATTTATCGTCGCACGGTATATCGTTGCAGCCCTACTAATATTACAGATTTGCAAACATCTTAGGAGCCCAATGTAGGAGATCTCCCTCCTCTGCGTTTTCAAGTGTGTGAGACTTTTGATGGCATCGTGGCATAACATTGTTTCGGTTGCTGAGATCAATCTACAAATGTATGAAACAAATCTTGGCTTCCTGTGAAAACTACATCATATGAGCTATTTTTTCAATCCAATTCAGTGTACTACAATGTACATGTGCGCATTGATGGTCAAAGCGGGGCACAGGCGAGTCATATCAATCTGAATGGCTTGTTTAACTGGGAACAAGAAAACACAGCATTGATGAGGTTCTGAGCATGTACAATACTTACTACTGGCATGTCCAGTAAAAAAAATAAACATGCCTATTTTACCATGGACTTAAATTCTGTGGTTGTATGGACTGTTCTGAAATGTCAAACATTCTGTTTCTCATTTTCATTTATTCTATTTGTGAAGGGTTAGAATTTCAGTATATCAATGTATTTTTTTTTAGAGTTTTATGAATTTATTTTTGCAGGTTACTTGAGCGCCAGGTGAAGCGTGTGATGTTGGACAGACAGGATGTTCGTGGTTGGTATTACTTCCAGGGTTCCACCGATATCAAACAGCAAACTGCCGATGAAGAGGATCCTCCCGGTACTCCTTTCTAAGATCTTTAGTGACTTATATGCAAGTGAGCGAATGTGTGTGTGTGTGTAATAATATTGTTTGTTTGCATTTCATCTAGCCAATTACTTGGTTCTTGAGACGAAAGGTTTGAAATTGTGAACATGTCTATGGACAAAAGTTTCCAAATAGACTCGATTCTTTCAAAGTTTTTTGATGCTTTGAATATACCAGATAATTTTTCAGACTCAAAATGCATTACCCAGAATGAAAATTAAGAAATAAGTTTCTTCTTATGTGCTTTGAGGGTAATAAACTGTTGTAGAAATTTTACTCCTTTTATTGTTTTTTCATTTACATTAAACTCCAGGTTATTGATCAAGAAAGATATTAACTTAGGGAGTGATTTGTATTATTAACCTGTACAACGATGTGATTTTTCACATCTCACTCATATTAATTTAGGGTTTATCGCCCATACATGTAGCATATGAATGAACCTGATTTTACAAGCTTTTTAGTGATCTTAGCATTCTAGAACCTGATTTTACAAGCTTTTTAGTGATCCTAGCATTCTAGAACCAGATTTTACAAGCTTTTTAGTGATCTTAGCATTCTAGAACCTGATTTTACAAGCAGTTCAGTCAAAGCCTGACAAAAAAATATTATTTTTTGTTTGAAAAGAAAGGTTTGAATGACCTGAAACAGCTGAGAAAATGACTCGGGTTGTACAAGAATGACACTCATTTTACAAGTGTTTCAATGATAGATTAAAACATTTGAATGACCCCGACATCACACCCATTTAAGTGAGAGATTTAAGAAATAGCATTTTAATCACACTGACTCTAGGTGACAGACTGCAGGAAAAGGGATTAAATTACCTTATATTACAAACGTTGTAGTTGGACAGATGAAAAAAAAGCGTCTCAAAAACTGTAGGAATTATGCATCTGAATGAACATGATTTTACAAGTGTTTAACTGATACAGATGGAAGAGTTCGAATGAGCAAGTTTTTATAAGCATTGAAGTAAGACCAATGATAAAAAGTGCAGAATGATCATAATTTTACAAGAATTTCAGTGACACTTAAAAAAAAAAGATTTAATTACCATAATTTACAATTGTTTTACTAAAACAAAAAGCTACAGGTGTGTTCGTGAAACTGTTGGAACAAAGCGTTTGAAAGACCCTGATGAATGAAAAGAGTTTGAAAGACCATGGTTTTACAAGCGCTTTAGAGACGTTGAAGATAAGTTTTCAAATAACCGTGATTTACAAGCGTTTTTGTAAAACCAGTCTGAGAAAAGTGCTGAAAGACCCTGTTTTTACATGCGTCTTATTGACGCAGAGAAGAAATGTGTCCAAATGAGCAGGATTTAACATCTGTCGGTACAATCGGTACAATTTCAGGAACCCAAATGATTACAATGTTTTTTTCTCTCAACTCTCCTCATGCGACTTCTCTTTACTGACATCGTGTGTATGTCTTTGTTATTTGTTAGACAGTATAATCAAAACATTAAGACTACCGTCTTTTAATACTTACAAATCTTTCATATCTAGTAATGCAACTTCATCTCCGCCATCTAATTATAATTTTGGCAAACCAAATATAAATATATAACATACACAACTCAGTTATCAATGCAGCTCTTTTAAAAATGATTTGTTCCATATTTTGTGGACATCACTGTGAGGATGTTTGCCATTTTTTGTGTTGCCTGCAGCGAGAGACAACATAAAGGTATCACTTTGACTGTCGGCGTCGTCGTTGGCAGTTGCGTTGTCCGAAACAAGGTTTCCATGCGATAACTTGAGTTCCCTTGGGTTGGTTGAACTCTAACTTCGTACAGTGCTTCCTTACTTAAAGTGCTTGCTTGGGATTGCTTTTCAGGTCCAAAGGTCAAGGTCACCGTTACTATAAATAGAAAATCTGTTTCCGTGCAATAACTTGAGTTTCTTTATGTCGATCAAAATGAGACATCATACAGTGCTTTCTTATCAATAGTGCTTACTTGAGATTGCTTTTCGGGTCCAAAAGTCAAAGATCAAGGTCTACGTTACTATTAATAGAAAAGCTGTTTTTGTGAGACAACTCTTGTTTCTTTAGGTTGATTGAGCTCAGACATCATACATTGCTATTGCATTTCAGGGCCGAAGGTCAAAGGTCAAGGTCACCATTACTATAAATAGAAAATCTGCTTCCGTGTTATCATTTGAGTTCCTTAGGGTTGATTAAACTCAATCTTAATACGGTTCTTCCTTACTAAAATTGCTTACTTGAAAATGCTTTTCGAGTCCGAAGATCCAAGGTCAATGTTACTATAAATAGAAAATCTGTTTCTGTGCAATAAAAAGTGATTCTTTGGGTTGATCGAACTCAGAATCACCGTTAATATAAAAAGATCCCGTCTTCATAATCTCATAAGAGTTGCCTACGCAGGCGACACATTCACTCCTGTGGAAATCTTGATCTTAGAATTTGAGCATTTTAACACAGCATGAATTACACTGTTCCAAAATGTAAGCTCATTGAATCACTGCATCCATTAAATTTAGATTTAGATATAATATGTGCCTAATCCTCTTCTCAAATCTGGGGCAGTACATACTTTTAAATCAAACTAAGGACTTAACATTCGTCGACTGCTGTAGATTCCGAACAGTAATTAACCCTTTCACCATCGTAGACCATTATGGACTCATCCAGATCAATGCATGGTAGAGTCTACCAAAGTTGCATAGGGGTGAAAGGGTTAAGATGTTAAGGAGTCATTTTCATTCCATTGCAATTTTAAGAAATCTGTCCTTTGGGATCCAGTCTTTCATTCCCTCTCTCCTTCTTGAAGATTTGCAGTAGCTGTATGCTTAATACTTCTTTCTGTCTGCAGCTGTTGTCTGTACAGCTATAATTCCATCATGGTTCTTCCTTCATGGGGTCTGCATGGCATATTTTGATCCTATTCGATGTGTACTCAAAACTCCTATCCAGGGCAATTTATGTTCTTATCGACACATTAAAATGAGATGGACTCCTGTAAAACCAAACAATTCCCAAAGCGTATTGGATCTTCCAAAGAGGTTGTAGGGGGGTGCAATCGGGAACCATTGACTTTTCTTTTCTTACTGAAAATGTTGATGATTCCCGATTGAGAGTGCAGTCGTTCTTCTACATATACTGTTTTGCAATTAAATAATTAATCAATCATCCTTGAGATTTCAAAACACAGAATATGTACCCAACACAAGTAAAATAATCCAGGACTTAAGCAAGGTTAGACATCTGTAGCAAAAATTGCTCAAGTCCATGATTTTCTTATTATCATTCTAGACAAATCTAATCTAGATTCATTCTGTTCCCCGATATCATGCTCTAGGGTCTTATAACACATGCCACATCAAAAGTTCTGTTCTAGAAACCTTTCATCAAACACTGACGATTTTTAGGGAATCCTACCGTTTGGTAGACCAAATACAAGGATTGGAACGAAAGTCATGGTACGCCGGATACCTGGATTTGAGTGGTGCACTCACGGTATGCCAGTTATGTGGGTTAGATGGGACTGGTCACGGAACACTGGACACTGGAGTTGCAGTAAAGTCTTGGTACACCGCATACAAGGGTTGAAACAGTAGTATTTTGGTACGCTGGATACCGGTGCTGGAGTTCTTAACTCTTCAGAACACATAACTGGTGCAACATCTTAACTCTTCAGAACACATGACTGGTGCAACATCTTAACTCTCCAGAACGCATGACTGGTGTAACATCTTAACTCTTCAGGACACAGGATTGGTGCCACATCTTAACTCTTCAGAACACATGACTGGTGCCACATCTTAATCTTCAGAACACATGACTAGTGCCACATCTTAACTCTTCAGGACACAGGACTGGTGCCACATCTTAACTCTTCAGGACACAGGACTGGTGCCACACAGGACTGGTGCCACATCTTAACTCTTCAGGACACAGGACTGGTGCCACATCTTAACTCTCCAGAACACATGACTTGTACCTCATCTTTACTCTTCAGAACACATGACCGGTGCCACATCTTAACTCTTCAGGACACATGACTGGTGCAACATCTTAACTCTTCAGGATACAGGACTGGTGCCACATCTTAACTCTTCAGGACACAGGACTTGTACCACATCTTTACTCTTCAGAACACATGACCGGTGCCACATCTTAACTCTCCAGAACACAGGACTGGTGCAACATCTTAACTCTCCAGAACACAGGACTGGTGCCACGTCTTAACTCTTCAGGACACAGGACTTGTACCACATCTTTACTTTTTAGAACACATGACTGGTGCAACATCTTAACTCTTCAGGATACAGGACTGGTGCCACGTCTTAACTCTTCAGGACACAGGACTGGTGCCACGTCTTAACTCTTCAATACACATGACTGGTACCACATCTTTACTTTTTAGAACACATGACTGGTGCAACATCTCAACTCTTCAGAAAACATGACCGGTGCCACATCTGAACCCTTCAGAACACATGACTAGTGCCACATCTTAACTCTTCAGAACACTTGACTAGTGCCACATCTTAACTTTTCAGAGCACATGACTAGTGCCACATCTTAACTCTTCAGAACACATGGCCAGTGCCACATCTTTACTCTTCAGAAAAATCGACTGGTGCCACATTTTTAGCTCACCTGTCAAGAAGGATGTACTGCGGCATATGTCGTCTGTCCGCCAACTTTTTCTTCTGAAGAACTGGAGGACCTAGGGTCATGGTATTTTGCCAGTAGGTACCAGGGATAGAATGCTATATAGTTTCCTCATTAAAATGACCTTGACCTACTTCCAAGGTCACATGGGTCAAATATGTTACAGTAATGAGGTCAAATGTCAACTTCAAAGTGCTAGTCGGGAATCAAATGTCAACATGGGTTAAAAGCTTTAAAAATCTTCTTCTCAAGTTTCATAAGGGTCAGGGTTTTGATATTTGGCCAGTAGGTACCTGGGATGGAGTGCTATAAACTTTCCTCATTAATATGACCTTAACCTAGTTTCAAGGTCACAGGGGTCAAATATGTTAAAAACTTCAAACAACAATATCTTGAGAACCATTTGGACTAGTCATGATACAATACAAACATGTTATCATTTGCATGCCTTTTCAGTAATTTACTTATATTATTTTAATATAATTTCATTATCTTATTATTTTCCACTTCATGTGAAACTATATTGATGTAATTTTAAATATGTTCTATTTTTTTCACAAGAAATGATGTCCTTTTAAGCCTCTTTGGGACTACATGTACTGGAATTTTGCAACAATTCCATCCCTTGCCCTTGAACATTAGTGCAAGGTCATTTATATGAACAGTCCTATTCCAAACACTTCGATTCCAGGCCTTTATGGTTCTTATGAAGAAGTTTGTACGTCTTTTACACACTTGGTGTGACCTTGAATGTGAATCTACGTCTTTATTTTAACAAACTGTATATCCCTTTCCTTCAGTAAGCCACAGGCAAAGTGTGTTTTTCAACGTGTCATGGTTCATGAGATGCCAATTTATTTCAAACTTTGGACACATTCGTGGGGCTTTGACCTTAAAAGTGGCTCAAGATAAGAACTTGGTAACCCTTTAAATAAACAAGCTACATTGCTTACATCATTAATCTAGGCATTATGGTTCTGTTAATTAGGAGCTATTTTAATTTTGAACATGTCTGTCACTTTGACTTTGAGAATGGGTGAAGGCAATATCTCAAACAAACCTGATAGCCATTTTCCCCCAAATGAAGCTTCTGGAAAATATCATGATTCTAAAGGACAAAATAGATCTATCTGAGGAATAGTTCATTTGATTTTTTTAAAACCACATTTGACATCTGTGGCCTTTATATTTGGTAATGTTTGATAACAATCCACCAGACAAGCTACTGATCAAATATTATTACTTTAGGCCTAACAGTTCTTGAGAAGAAGTATTTTACAGGAAACGTGGAAACAGACAATGTGCCCTTCATGAATACATGAGCTCACAGGCACTTTACAACAAGGAAGCAAATACTAAATCAAACAAAATGATGTGCAATGATTTATCTTTATTTTATCATAATTAATAGTGTGTATCCATGTACAAAGAAAAGTCTTTCCTCAATCAAAACTTGAACAGTTATAACAATACCCTCTCAAGTTCACAACCTTTTAAAACTTATAGAAACAGAAGTATTCAGGCTTTATATAATAGTAAAATTATCAAAACTCCCAATCCAATTTTTATACCCTCTCAAGTTCACAACCTTTTAAAACTTATAGAAACAGAAGTATTCAGGCTTTATATAATAGTAAAATTATCAAAACTCCCAATCCAATTTGATTTGTATCCTCATTTCTTTCTTTCCTTTTTCATTTTTGGGGTGGTTTTTGTTTTTGCAAAAACTTAAAATTTTTTTTTATTATAACTTCAAACAGGTAATACAATGTACCATTTTGGAATGTTTTGGTCAAATATCTAATATAACAAACGTCTTAAATTTGTTTATATTTTTATATTTTATGCAAACTTTCCAAAATTAAATCTATTGGACAAAGCAATTTAAAATACAAAATCATGAATACAAAATGCAGTCCGAGATGAAAGCCTGTTAGAAGGTAAACATGAGGAGATATTCATCTGTAGATATTGGAACAGGGTTACAGATGCAATTGTACTGTTTTAACAATTTTTGTTTACAAATATTGATTTTTCAATCCCTATTTAACCCTTTCACCCCTAGGTAACTTTAGTAGACTCTACCATACATTTATCTGGATGAGTCGAGTCCATGATTCTGGTCTACAGTGGTGAAATGGGTTAATGTATAGGTTCCTTGTTTAACCCTTTCACCACTGTAGACCATAATGGACTCATCCATAACCTTCTTGGTAGAGTTTACTTACATTACATAGGGGTGAAAGGGTTACATTTTAAGCAATTTCTACACAAATCTGAATTGTATTTTCATTAACTTCAATAATCTATATCACAGAAATAAGCACTTTTATCTTTAAATGTTCATTTTAATATTCATATCAGAATAATTCCTGGATATTCTAAATCCGGATTGATACAGTTTAAATTCTTAACTAATATGGCAAGTATTGTCCACTGGTGTGTTACAGCACCTTAAACAATTGTATTAAATTAAATGCTTCAATTACAATTCTGTACGTAAAAAGCAAAGACATATTCAGTACTGTAATTATATTAAAAATCATCCCAGTGTAGAAATACTCATTTTTTCTTCTTGAGTAGATTATCATGAAATTATCCATATGTGGAAATGTATATGTATATTCAACAGATTTAAACTAAAAATACGCATCCAACCAACATTTGTTTTTTTCGGATCCAGTGCCAATATTAGATCATACTGTCGTTATTACTTATGAGACCTATATATATCCAACAAATTAAAGATATATATATAAAATATATATATATATATATTTCAGAATAATTGCCAACACAAAAAAAATATCCATATTGTGGCAGTTAAAAAAATCACATCGCAAACATTTCCACAAGCGAGAATTTCTTATTTACAGTATAACAGGCCATTTCCACCCCTGTCCGACTTTCTCCATTTTGCACCCTCCATAAAGATGGCCAATTTATCACGAGAGGTTACTATAGGTAGTTTTTACAATGTCGAGAGTGAAATTATTTCTCGGCAAATGTGGATTTTTCTGACAAAGGGTGAATACTTCACAGGATGAAAACTTCCAGGTATACAGTATTAACCTTAAACACAACAAACGTTTCACATCCAAATGCTTCTCAAAAGACTACTTTTGTAAGAGTGAAAAAAATTGTGCTTTTTGCAGTAGCATCTTGCTGCCAATTTTATTTACAAGACATTTTTTGTAATAGAAAACATTGTTTGTGCTTTTTCAAAAAGTTTGAAAGATTTTTTATTTTCAGAAATACACTCACAAAAATGTCTTGATAAAACTTCTCAATTTGATTATAAACCTTAGACCTTATTGTTTTCTACTCCATTGTGACTGCCATATATTCTCATCCCATATGCATCACATACATTTTTACATAGGAAGTAAGAGTACAGTCGAACCTGTTTTTAGAGACACCTTTGATTAATCAGTTAAGTGGCCTCTTATTGCGGGTGGTTTTTTCAAGCAGGTTTGACTGTGCATGTAGCTTTATCTTATGACTGTCAAATTTTCTCATCCAATAATGCATCACATACATTTTTACATAGGAAGTAAGAGTACAGTCGAACCTGTTTTTAGAGACACCTTTGAGAAATCAGTTAAGTGACCTCTTATTGCAGGTGGTCTTTTTAAACAGGGTTGAATGTACATGTAGCTTTATCCAATGACTGTAAAATTTTCTCATCCCATAATGCATCACATACATTTTTACACAGGAAGTAAGAGTACAGTCGAACCTGTTTTTAGAGACACCTTTGAGAAATTAATCAAGTGGCCTCTTATTGCAGGTAGTCTTTTTAAACAGGTTTGAATGTACTTGTAGCTTTATCCAATGACTAAAATTTTCTCATCCCATAATGCATCACATACATTTTTACACAGGAAGTAAGAGTACAGTCGAACCTGTTTTTAGAGACACCTTTGAGAAATTAATCAAGTGGCCTCTTATTGCAGGTAGTCTTTTTAAACAGGTTTGAATGTACTTGTAGCTTTATCCAATGACTAAAATTTTCTCATCCCATAATGCATCACATACATTTTTACACAGGAAGTAAGAGTACAGTCGAACCTGTTTTTAGAGACACCTTTGAGAAATTAATCAAGTGGCCTCTTATTGCAGGTGGTCTTTTTAAACAGGTTTGAATGTACTTGTAGCTTTATCCAATGACTTCGTCATCCCATAATATATCGCGTTCAATTTTACATATGAAACATGCAATATTTACACGGATTTTGGAAAGACTTCAAACTATCCCACTAAATATGGTTTACAAATTCTTGAGAAAGTCACATACTTAGATAGTCTTATTCCGTGAGATAGTGAACAGAATACTCAACAGTTCTCACTCGATAAACATTCTTAGGTAAAGAGTCCCATCACTTTTCTACCGTATACATAGTTCTCCCTTTAAATTTGTGATATTTCTCTACAATGATACAAAGACAGTGATTATATAAGTTCTAGGCCTTTTTAAGGAGTTCAATTCAACATTTTTTCTGGTAATATTGTGGGAAAACATGAACAGGACCAATAGCATGATAGATAGAACAGTAGATAATTATATATAAGCTCCCTGCCTTATAATCAAGAGGTCCAGAGATCGAATCCTCTTGGCAACAGATTCTTTTATGAGTAGGGAAATTATGATAAATGTATACCTTTTGGTAAGTAACACTTTGCTGTAGTATCTGGGCATGTATTTTAAGAAAAAAAAATGCCAAACAAATCGGAACGCTTCATTTTTTGGAGATATCGCACAGAGCACTGGGACTCTCTACCTTAACTCTGGAAAATATCCAAATAACTCATTCAACCCTGAAATTTCATAATGAACTATTCCAACCTGTGAATTGGAAGAGTTCAAATGTGTCTTCAGGGGTGAATGAGTTAATAAGAATCAGACGTGAAAGATTCTGTATCAATGATTCGTAACAATGTGCTTAAGCTACATCATTTCAAAATGACACCATACATTAGTGGGATAGATTGCAGAGTTAGATTTGATATGGATGGGTTTTTTTAATCAGGACATGATGCTCTAAGCTGGCCTCATGTGGTAAAGAGAATCTCAAACTTTTTTCCATTTGATATGATATTTAGAAAACATGATCACAAGTTTAAATCATAATTAACAGTCATTGAGAATATTTACAAGATTGCAAACTTGTTTCATGAATATCATATCAAATTCAAATAAATTCTGAAATTATGTGAACATTTCCACCCCCCATGTACTTATAAAACATGTCTGAGAAGTTCCCTTAACGAGTTTTTAAAAAATGTGTACTTTACTGATGCTATTCATGTCACAAACTTTATCAAAGGTAAATCAAAGATATACTATGGAACACAATAAACGCATTGATATGAGAGTTATAGAAGACTCAAACACCAACGCTGAACACAATTCAAATTTTTGTTATGCAAATAATTGAAAATTCAAGGATATTTCCCATACCTCATAATATATTTCTCAGTCATCATCCATCCGTATTTACCCCACCCACTCCCCAGGTTTTATTTATGTAGGAGTTTTGGAGTTATCTCCCTTTATCACTATTCTGGATTATCTCCCTTGCCAGGTGCTGTATTGGTGAACATGTCGGTGTGTGGTGATAGGCCACATTTGCTAAGAAGCTCCTCCCTCGTTGCCAATTTCATTGGCGAGCGCGATACACGTTTCTTCCTTGGACTGGTTTTCGCTGGTCTTACAGACATGGGAACGACTGTCAATCCAGTTTTTGAACCACATGCATCAAAATTTGTTTGGGGTTCTTTTAAATTTGAATTCACCGGCTTCACACTCAAAGATGCACTTGGTAATTTTGGAGGTTGGGACATAGTTACATTATCAGACATTGTCTGGATAATATGTGGTAAGGTGGGAGTGACAAGCTGAGGGCTGGAGACAGGAACAACTGGCCGGGAGGTCGAGTTCTTCACCACAGAATTACAATGGAATGGATTTGTTGTAGATTTGTACACAGGCGTTTTTTCATCTTCATCAGATGAAACCGCAACAGCCTTAAGAACATCAGTAGCTATGCAGGCAAGTTGCAGTAAGTTATTCATGGGAGCAAGAGGGTCAAATTCATCAAGAGAACCATTAAACTTACTGACCTTGGATGTCGTGTCAGTTGACATCCCGACCTTTGACACCTCGTCAGACGAGGTCATGGCTTTTGTCAATTTGTCTGTAGATATTTTGTCAGACGATACATTGACCTTTGACACCTGATCATGTGACATCTTGTCAGGTGACAAGGAAAGTCTAGCACTATTTTGAACACATTCGGTGGCTTTCGATTCTGGTGGTGAAACATCGGTTTTTGGAGCAGTTTTGCGACGTTTCCGTGGGGGTTTGACTGTTGTATCCGTCTGTATTTGTGGTACATTTATAATAGTACTGGACACGGAAGTATTTTTGGCTTTTAATCCTTGCGTATTTATCACAGAAATTGTGTCGCTATTTGGAGTCAATTGGTTACTAAGTCTTCCCCCTGATGCATTCACTGGTTGAGGACTTGTGTGAGGAATTTCTACACTGATCAAGTGATTGCCAGTCTTTAATTGCAAGGTCCTTGTAGGAACGTTACCGACAGATTCCGTCGTTTCCCTGGTTTCCTGTGAAGTGTTTTCTGATTGTTGTTGTTTTGTTTTTTGTTGTTTAGGCTTGGGTTTTTGTTGTTTCATTGTCGGTTTTTGTTGCTTTTTGAGCGATTCGTAAATTGTTTCCATATCAATGTTTTTCTCAGACTTATGAATGACAGTTTTTTTAACTAAGTTGGTGATCCTCTCCTTTTTATTATCACAATGAGACATGAATTTCCCAGTTTGTGTAGCTGTTGCTTCATCAGGACTGTCAATTTTGTCCAAACTTCTTTCCGCCATTAGGGTTTGTGATTTTCGTACTGGCCACTGTATGTTGGATTTGCCGGTTTTCCCAGAATCTACTGAAACCATTGCCATACTTGGTGCTGTTTTCTGTTGATATCCTGCTGTTGTTGCAGTTTTGGTTAGTTTATTAGACCCATAACTTGTGTTAGCATTTTGCTCTTTTTTCACTTCTTCAGAAGAAATGGTTGTCTCCCTTGACTCTATATTTCCGTCAGATTGGGCTCCAGTCCTGTTTACAGTTTTTTGTGTTGTTTTAGATGCGTTATTTAAAACTGAAGATATCGCTGGGTCAGGTAGAGTCACACAGAATTTTTCTGAGCCTAAGTGAACGATGAGTTTTTGAGGTTTTGAATTAATGCTGTTCATATCCTTATTGTTTTCAATGGTTTGAGGTTCAAATCCATTGTTCAACTTTGCCGACTTCTGCAACAAATCCCGACTAACTTCTGATGGAGGTTTTGGTTGAGTAGAAATAATTGCTGAATTCCTCTTTTTTGATTCGCTTGTCGATTCTGTTTTGCTAGATATTTTTACAGGATCAATGCTAACTTTTTCCATGATTTCATCCTTGCATGACTTCAGTTTCCTCTGAGCTACAGAATCCCTCGGTGCCTTTGTTTTACTGAGCACTGTTGCAGAACCGTATTCCCTTTGTAATTCTGGTCCAACCAATACTGCTGAAGAACCAGATTCCTTCGACACCTCTGGACTGACTGAGACTGTTGAAGAAGCAGGACTGTGGTTTTGATGTGAGGTAGTTCCCTTTATCGCCATTGAAGATTCAGCCTTTTTTGATTTTCGAGACCTTTTTGGCGAATCTCCCTTCCTTACCACCCTTGATATAACTGGACAATTCAGAACAACTGGGGCACGTTTTTCAGCGTTTGTTGGCAGCATTTTAGCAGGATATGTGATCCCTTTGGTCTTGTTGGGACTATTTTTGCACTTTGCTTCGTTAAATGACAAGTCTGTTGTGTTTTTCTTTTTAGAAACATTAGAATCAAGTTTTGTAACCAACATTGTATCCACCGACTTCTTTCCTTGCTTTTTTGGAGATTTGGCCATGGCTGAATCACCCTGAACTTTTACATCGGTGGCAAGCAGACTGGTCTGCTGACTAGTGACTGTGTTGATTGAGGAAGATTTAAAGCCACTTTTCTGCGAGGAAACTGTTGGTAATGATGTTGTAAGACTAGATATACCTCGGTCAGTTTTCATCACACACATGGGCGGCGACACTTTTCCTTGTTCATTTTTTTTCTTTTTCACTTTCTTTGCAGGAGATGTGCAGAGTGACTTGTGTACGGTTGATCCTAAATCTGCACTTTGTGTGACTGCGGAAGGAGATCCGTTTTGATGTTTTTTAGGAGACAACGTCCCCTCTATCACCGGTTTTAGAGTCAGCATGGGACGATCCGATGCCGGAGACACTGTATCAACATTGTACTTGACTAGTTTACATTTAGAAATATCTTGTAAAACTTTATTTCCATCTACACGAGCCATAGCCCCTTGTGCGGAAGTGTCCTCCCCATTCTGCTTCTCAAGTTTCTCGACATTTCCGACATTCTGACTAACACTCGATCTATCATTCTGATTGTTTCCTTCTAGATTCTTCTCTTCCTCGCCACTTCCTGTCATCACAGCATTAAAATTTTCAAGGGGCTCTATTTTGATCATAACAGGATTTTTTGGTCTCTCCTCCTGGTCAGCTGAAGCACATGTATCCTCATATTCTTCATTTGGACCATTTGTCCGAAATGATTTGCTAGAATAATCATCCAACAGTTTCATGGGTTCCAGTGACTTTTGTGACGGAGAAGGTTCAGATTTTGGAGATAACGAATCTCCAGATTTTGACGGGGAGTCTGAAGACATTTGAGAAGCTGTTTCTGATACATCATCATCGTTGTCAAGTGCATCGTTCGATGACTTGCGTTTCTTTATGTATGTCCAGCAGTGGTTTTTGCGTCGTGATTTTCTCTTGAGACCCTTCGGCCATCCTTTCCTGTGACCTTCAACTTCCTCCATATGATGCACAGATACAGCCTCATTCCGATCCTCATCCTGTTGTTTGAGCCTCACTATCATCTCGGTTTCTTCGATGCGTTCAGCTTCAGTTAACGTACCCTTGATAAGTTTGTCCTTTTTCACGATACAGAAAGCCCGGTAGTGATTCATCAATGTTTTGGGGTACGCAAAGCCTCGCTGGCAGTAAAGGCAGGTCTGTTTGTGCTTCTTGTGAAAACTTTCATTCACAGTGGACTTCATGACCTTTAGGTCTTTGAACTTTTCTTTGCCATCACATTTACGTACATGTCGCTCTAAGAGGGAAATGGACTTGAACTTCACCCCACATCCTTTACATTGATGTGTATCAAGAAGCTCAGTCATTTCTCGCCTCCGTACATGGTTACCAGGGATGTATCCAATCTCGTAACTACGACGACGCCTCATCTTGGTATCGTTGGAAGTTTCACCTATTGGCACATCAATCAGCTTACGTTTCCTGCATCCCATGAATATTTTTTTCTGAGCTTTCAATTTTGCAATGTAGTTTCTGCTGAGTTGTTCAAGTTCATCACGCTCTTTCTGCTCTGCCTCATTTGACTCAAGATCCATTCCGATAAATTTCTTTGGAAATTTTCTCCTACGTTTTCCTGGCAACTTGTCTAGTGTCTCTGATGCCATGGCTGGTTTTGGGGCGCAGTTCATAATGTGAATATGCAGCCGATCAATGTTTTTGAAACTGCCGTTACACCTCGTACAGGTGTAAGAATTACGCTCACTGATCTTCTCCAGTGCCTTGCCACATGCACCCAGGATTCCAACATTGCTTGGCTGCGTGTAGTACAAATACTCAATATCATGACCATCTTCAATCTCTAGTGCATGGCAGGCCACGAGGGGGTGTTTCTTCCACTGGTGCCTCAACACAGCCTCGTTATCAGCAAAATGTCGCTTGCACACTGAACAAACGTGCGCTCGTTTCCCAAAATTTCCAAATGCTATGGAATCAAAATTGTGCAGTGGACTACGCTGTGGCGATTGGTCTGGTTCCTCTTTGAGTTTGAGAAGACTGCGGTAAATACGTTCTGCAGAAATCATTCTATCATCCTGCAAACCAATATTGTTGTTTTCCTGCCAATTCTGTTGTGCCTTGGCCAAGTTGAGACCTCGGATAAGTTGTGTTGCCGAAACAGCACCTCTGCAGTTACCAAGGTCAAGTTCAGACTCGGAATCGGATGAAAGCGGAGGATTATACACACCCGGACTGCTGTTCCCACTGTTGTCCCCGTTGTCGTCCTGCTGACACTTGTTCAAATCACTAGTGTTGTTGTTATTTCTGTTCAAGTCAACATTGTTATGATTGTCTGGACTACTGTTGCTGAGCGTCTCGTGACACCAAAGCTCGGCCACGTCCGCACCACTAACAACATTGGATATCAGTAAACTTGAGTTGGAATCCATGGCTTCGCCAATTTTGTCTTCAAGTGTCTCCTTATTTACTGATTCTGATTCATTCTTTTGCGTAGAATTTCCAATTTTCACATTTTCCGAGACAGTGTCCAATCCTTTGTTTCCATGGCAATCTCCGTCGTTTTGCAGAGGATGCCCACTATCTATTTTTAAACTGTCATTATCAGTGTTATCATCTTGCATTTGATCCTCTGTGTTAACTGTTACGAGAGTATCTTCCCTTCCATTGACGTTCTCTAATTTAACAGATGTGACTTCAAAATTCCCCAGTCGCTTCTCAGCTCCCGTTTTATTCTCAAATGAGTCTGTGTCATGTAGAATAACATTATCTCCTACTGGATTAATGTTCAAATTTCCATTATCTTCCTTTGACTGTGTTTGTTCTGCTGATGACAAGCTTCCTGATGACTCAGAATTTGATTCTGGCACTTCACTGTTTGCCTGTATAAGACATGATTGCTTAGAGTCTTTACCATCATCCCCGAGGTCACTTTGGTCATCACCATCCTTGATTTCGCTTTTATCACTTACATCCTTGTAATAGCTCTCTGAATCTTCATCACTTTTATCCACGGTCACCTTTGACCTCATCAACATCAGAGGTAGTTTTAACACTTGTTTAGACTCTACCACATTCTCATATGAACTTTCCTCTTTATCATGTGTATTGTTCTCTATTTTATCCTCCTTGTCATCCCCATTGTCATTAGTGTTATCCAATTTATATTCTTTTTCATCTGCTTTGTCACCAGTTTTGCCATCCGAGTTGTTCACTTTCTCATCCAATATATCATCCTTTTTGTCTGCTTTGTCACCAGGTTTGCCATCCAAGTTGTTCACTTTTTCATCCAATATATCATCCTTTTTGTCTGCTTTGTCACCAGGTTTGTCATCCGAGTTGTTCACTTTCTCATCCACTATATCATCCTTTTTGTCTGCTTTGTCACCAGGTTTGCCATCCAAGTTGTTCACTTTCTCATCCAATATATCATCCTTTTTGTCTGCTTTGTCACTAGGTTTGCCATCCAAGTTGTTCACTTTTTCATCCAACGTATCATTCTTTTTGTCTTCTTTGTCATTTTTTGGTTCTGTTTTGAATTCCTTTTTTGTTTCATTCTGAGGCTGATGTTCCTTTTGTCCGAAATGTCCACTTTCGAGTCCATCTCGTGAACTTTCTGCAGATGACAATCCTTCCCTTGACGTCCTGCGTCGTGTACAGAAAGCCGGCACTTTATTGCTGTATGAAATTTCATCTGTAACTTGATCAGACTTATCTCCCTTTTCTAAGGGAGCTAACTCTGTAAGGTCCACAAAATTATCTGATATCACTTTTGGGTCATAGTTTTTAGGAAAATTGAACTTTTCCCATTGAAATTCCTCCTTGTCATCAGACTTTTCTGTTTCCTCCAATACTTCCTCCTTTACCGTGGTAAAAACGGAATCATAATCCTTGATTCTGATGTGTTGTTTGAAATGGGCCATTGAGTCTACCCCACCATCAATGTAACTGGTGAGATTTTCGGCGACGTTTGCGGCAACATTTGCATAAAAACTCACATTCGCTTCAGGAGAGTTATCGATTGGATCATTGGCAGTCTCAAACATGATTGGTTCCTCATCTCTCTTGGGACTGCCCATAAGTATCCTCAATCTTGACGGTTGACGTTTTGGCTTCACTGGGCTCGTCGACACTGACCTTTCAGTAACGGTGCTTTCACTTTGAGTAAATCTTGGTATCTTACTGTTGTCCTTGTGAGCCAGTCGTCTGTGACGACACATATTAACGTAGGCTGAGAATCTCTTTTTGCAAATCAAACATTGGAATTTAAATTTTGAGTCGGATTCCTCTCTGACAGGCACTTTTCCTTCCTTCGTTATTTTCATACGTTGAACAACTTGTGAAGACCCAGGAAGCTTTTCCCGGAGATCCGATGAAGCCTCTTTGTTGTAGCTTTCCTGAAGGGTACGTGCAGCTTTTGCTCCAAGCTTTCCTCGTTTCTCTAACAATTTAAGGAGGCGCTGGCGATGAATATCTGGGTGTTCCAGGCGAATGTGTTTCCGAAGACTTCCGACATGGACAAAGACGGCTGTGCAGTATTTACACGGTACACGACTACCTAGATGTATATGTTCGTGTTTCTTCATGTTCGTGGCAGAAGGAAATCCTTTACCGCAGTAGGAACAAATGAACGAGCGGTCAGCTGTAAACCAAAGATAAAAATACTTTAAAACTGTGAAAATATATACTGTATGATACGTACAGAAACATGAAATTTATGTGAACATGTTCAAATAGACTTAGAGAGAGAACTGTTACAAACTGTTAGATACAGAAAATATAACATTTATGTAATCAAGTTCGAAAAGATGGCTAATTTAGAGAGAGAATTGTTATAAACTGTTAGATACAGAAAATATAAAATTTATGTAATCAAGTTCGAAAAGATGGCCAATTTAGAGAGAGAATTGTTATAAACTGTTAGATACAGAAAATAAAAATGTATGTACCGGTACGTGTAATCAAGCTCAAAATATTCTCTGACCTTTCACCGCTGTAGACCAGAATGGACTCATCCAGATAAATGTATGGTAGAGTCTACTAATTATAAAGTTACCTAGCTAGGGTTGAAAGGTGTAAATAGATGGCCAAGCTATTGAAAGAATTGTTTAGATTGATAGATCTACTAGATATTATATCTTATTTCTACCTCTACACATCCACTGAACCTTTCTGTCTTTGTTTTTGATCTCGTACAGGCAATATTATATATGTGACCAAAACAAAACCTGTTAGGTTGATCCTGTCTTTAATACTTCCCATAAACAAAATCCTTGCTCAATTTCACTACTTCTTAATATCAATCATTCAACTTAATTTTCATGGGAATACTGAGAAACTTTCGCTGTAGTTTATCTTTCGCCATTTTAGCCCTCAGCGATAAAGGGCAAAAGGACTCCGGTCTGGGCATTATGGGTAATTTTTGGCCTCAAAAAAAATAAGTTGCAGATTTTTTGCCCTACCATAGTGTTGATATGCAGAAATAGCCAAAGTAAGGTGTTTTTGGACAGTTAGCTTGCAGAAATGAAAGCCTCTGCATGTGACAAATGAACACTGGCTTGCATTGGTATGACAATGTTTAAGCATATCAAATATTTATTTGTTTGGTGTATGCAGAGGCTTTCAAACATTGAAGAGGATTAAGTTAATTTCCTTTAAAATGGCAAATTTTCAACCAAATAGCACACAACAGACGATATTCACAAATTTTACTATGAAAATGTGGGTTTGTATCTCTCTTTGTAATGCCATGCATATCTCCTTAACCAGTTTTTTAATGAATTTGAAATTTCATATTTGCGTACTTCATTTATTCCAGATTACGAATCGAACATAACAATTGATTCTAAATCCCTGATGTGGTCGGAAATGAAACTGAACACCCCTTGGCCTTTATCATGAAAACAAATATTTTTAAAAGCATACCCTTTTATCAAGACAGAATATACACTGAACGTATATGGATTTTACCGGTTAAGGGTGAATATTTGGCTAGGCAGAAGTTTATCCATGAAACAGTTTAATTATGCATAGTAATTTTGATTGGTATACAATATCTGAACTTCTTAGAATTGCACAGACTCTTTTAGACATGTATAAAAAAATACATGGATATATACAGGCTTTTTTATGGCCAAATAGTTCCCCTCTCCAATTTTGGCATTATTTCCCCCAATTTCAGTTTTATTTTCCCCTTTTTCAGTTAAAAGTTCACCCACTTGTAACTAAGATACTACCACATGAATATCTGTCTTGGCTCCATTTTCCCTTTAACTGAGAGATTTATTTCATTTTCCCTATGTTGATGTGAATTGTCACTGCTGATATTTTATAATCTATAACGAACAGCGAGAAACAGAATCAAAGATGTAATCCATGCCCCCACTCCGGTACTCTCCCCCTAGCTCCGGCCTGCAGCCCTCGCTGGACGGGTCATGCACCTATAGCTACAGCGCAGATTTTCCCCGATTTCAAAATGGGTACTAACTCTCTATTCCTGCATTAGTCCCCGATTTATAACAATTTAAACCCTTTCACTAGGCTTTGGTAATGTAACTTTGGCAATATTCCTCACATGCAACTGTACATTGATATCATAATGATCATGACCAATTATATTGTGATTTCTTTGATGTTCACACACTCATTTTCAAGTTTGCCACCTGATGCTTGGTAATTATAACAGTGAAAGCTGAAGTGAAAGAGATAACTGTATACTAGCTATAGGAATCTTTCGCCCTTCACCCATAAAATCAACTTTCACCCTGTGTTCATTTTGCCCCTCACATTAAATAACTATGTATATTATATGTTGCCCACTTATATTGGTTGTAATGATAAATTCTCCCTCATTATGATTGGTGGAAAAGGCGAAATTTGAACTGCAGCAAAATTTTCCCAGTATACCGTATTCAGAAAAATCAAGAATCTAGATTTAATCCAATAATATATTGTTATGAGTAATGCGCCACTACTAATCCCACTATATATATGGTATACCCAGTCAGTCATTCTGGGACTGTTGAAACATATTTGCGAGTTAGATGCGACATACGACTCACCAAAATGCAAGGCCTCGTGGCGTTCCAAGTTTGTAGTGTATTTGAACTTCATGGGACATCGAGGACACTTGAAAGGCTTCCCAACAACTGGCACTTTCTTCTCCACAAGTTTTGACTTTGTCTTAACTGGTGTTGTTGGCGAAGACTTGGCCAGCCGTTCGGTTTCGCCTTCGTGGACCATCTGGTGACGTACTAGGTTTTGTTTGTATGTGAATCGCATGTGACAGCGATCGCACGAAAAGCCTTTTACATCAAGAACCTTGGGATGGTCTTGTGTGTGCAATTTCAGGGCCTCAATTTCATCAAACAGTTTATAACATATGTTGCACTTGTAAAGTCCCGCCTTCGATGGTAATGGTTTATCGGAAGCTGATTGCATTTCATCGTCTGGTGATTCCTCCGTTAAATTTTCCTCTTTGATTTTGACTTCTGTGCTCGATTCTGATATCTGTTCCTTCTGAGAATCGTGTAAGTCCTTCTCTGTGGAATTTGTACTGGACTGAATCTTTGAAGCATCAGTTTTACTGCTGTCAATATCTACCTCCATTTCATTTTCCTTTGAGCCCGAATCGCTAACTTCCTCTTTTTTATCCAGTGACTCATTATCAGATCTTTGTGTATCATTTGATTCATCTTCGTTAGAAGTCTGGACCAATGTTTCGTCGATTTTCTGGAGTAGGTCTTTCTCATTTGATTTGAGAATCGCGAGCTGCTGTTGACCAATAAGAATCATGCAGTTTGTGATGTCAGCACGGCTGAGGTAGCGACAGTTGACGTGGTTACGGAGGTAGTGTCGCTTCAAACTGAACGTGTGTTTATACACACCTGAGCAGACGTCGCATCTATAGACACGTCGGCCATTTTGTGTGGTGCCAAAGTGCGGACGAAGTGAAAACAGGTATTCGTGATGTTTAGCAGGATAGGTCCACGACTTTTCCAAGCTGTCTACTGTGTTTCCTTCTACCTCCTCCAGATTTTCCAGAACAGGTGAGGCCTTCATTGGACTGCCTTCCCTGCCTCCATGTTCTTCATCATCCCCTCGGAGCTCTGGAGGAATTTCTTCCTTGACTATCATTTCTGATTTCTTTTTCCTTCCCCGTTTCCGTTTGCCTTTATTTTGGGCATTTAGGGCAGCCTCGATTGCGTCTCTTTCCATTTCTTCCTTGCTGCGCCGTCGTCTCTTCTTTTTGAAAACAAGGTCTGTCAGAAGTATCTCCTCATCAAATAATTTTTTCTTCTTTCGTTGTCTCTTCGTGTCCAGAATCTCTACCGGCGAATCTATGTAGTTCCCTGTGGACACAGTGGTTGTCACAGGTGCTGATCCTGTTGCCATGGTTACGGGTTTTGCTGCCATGGCAGATGATGCTGTGGCTGATTCTGCTGATGTTGCTTCCTTCGTGATTTTGGATGAGGATGATTTTGTGCTTGGTAATTCTGTTTCCAAAGCAACAGATTTGACCTTAGATGGAGTTTTGACCTTTGGTTGAGATTTTGTTTTGACTGGGACAGCAGCATCTTGAAAGATAGAATGAAAAACACTATAAATATGTGTATTTTATGATAATCACACAACAAAAATAATTATCCTGAATTTACATTTCAATCTTCATCTATACAAATTTAAGCTGACAAAAGCACACAGGCCAATTTCAAGAATTTTCTCAACAGTCTGTATCATGCCATAATACATATTATGCTTCATTCGAATTCTTGTGTCATTTCGAGGTGTTTCACTCATCGACCCCTGAAATTTCATAATGAACTATTCCAACCATTGAATTGGAAGAGTTCAAATGTGTCTTCAGGGATGAATGAATTAAACTAGAAAACATTTTGACTCGGTTAAGTAGTTCCTATTAAAATTCACATTTAACGTCAAACACAGCCTTGATATGAGTGATTTGGTGACGAGTCCAATGAACAAAACACTAACCATACTGACCATTTTTCAGACTGTTTGAACATCTAAACCAACATACATACCGTAACAGATCATTTTGGAATAAACTTTCCCAAGATGCTTTGGAATTTCTGAAAAAAACGAAGTGATTTACAGTTACCCAACTCAGTGAAGAACGAATTCTTACCTGGAGATTTATCGTCGACACTAGCATTCTTCCTGCGTCGTCGTCGCTTCTTGAACGGTTGAAACCAGGTGAGCAACTCCTCATATGTGTCTACATCCTGCAGTACAGCAAAATAAAAAAAGTTCAATCCAAAACTTTTTTCCAAGTCTACCTCGATGTATACATATATATACGTAAGCAAATTAAATAGAGCACATCTGATCCTGCTTACCAGACTAAAATATATTTCAGTCAATGCCGGAAAATTCTTCAAACCGTCAATTTGCAGTTTAAGTTTTAAAGTAGGATCATGATCACAACATCCTAAGTGTCAAGTATGTTGTGATGATAATCATACTTTAAATGTATATGTATTCACTTCTGTAATCGCCCTGCATACCTTTTTAAGTATCCCTACTTAAAGAGAGGTGCCCCACTGATCAACCCACAAACCTACATCCGACGTTGGCTCCATCACATTTAACCTTGTTAAAATTTGAAAAGCTAAAATTTCAGTGCACTAAAATAAGTATGTTAACTCATTCACCCCTGAAGACACATTTGAATTCTTCCAATTCAAAGGTTGGCATACTTCTTAATGAAATTTAAGGGCTGAATGAGTTAACAGTATGTAACAAAGAAAACCAGTTGGAGATCAACACCTACAAAAAGTCGCCACTTGTTTAACAAAAGAAAATAGGAGGCCAGCGAGGTCTACACTAAGGCTGTCGTTCCATGGACCACAGCCGCCGTGACAGCCTGCCTGCATCTGAAGAGATGTCCGACCTCAGAATTAGAACTGGATGGGCAGACTTTTGAATCTCCGAGGGCCTATTAAGCGGAAACTTACCCCCTCACGTCGACCAAACACCTACTTTGTCAATGATGGTAGACGGAAAACACCTAAACCAACCCAACCAACTTAACAAAAGAAATCCATATTTTGGGAAGGTAACTCATTTACCCCTGAAATTTCATAATGACCTATTCCAACCTTCGAATTGGAAGAGTTCAAATGTGTCTTCAGGGGCGAATGAGTTGATAAACGTACCTGGATTGCCTTGTAGAAGACTTGACCGTTATCCTGGACTGATACGATGTTCTGTTCCTCCAGGAAGCGGGCACAGTTGACATAACGCATCCAGTTTCCCTTCATAGGGTCTGTGGCATTGACTATGTGAGACAGTTCGTTCTTCTCAAGGTCAAACACCTGCAAAGGTCACAGACAGTGAATATAGTTAGTGTCCAAACAATCAAACTAAAGATTATGATAGGCATGTGTTGTCCAGACTTAAATAGCAACACTGTATCGTCTAGTATATGCGTCTTAAAGCTTGGGCAAGTTGAATATGCCCTTTTCCTTAAGTTTAAGTTACTCCATTTCAGATCAAAACACCATTCCAGCAAATTCATTGCCTCTGTCTCATAAGTGTATCCTCTTCATTTTTTAGTGCACAGGACTTTACCTAAACTTGCATGTGCAACAAAATTAGGAACTTCATCATTACAGTTCTGCCAAAAAATCATTTTTAAAAATCTGAATACCATTTAAAAGACCAGAGATTTTTTTAAATGTTTACTGAATCTTACTTACATTTAAACTGCATATTTTTCTCCCCATTTTTCTTCAAATTTGTAATCAACCATGGGTCTTTTGGACAAATTATGAGTAAAACACTTTGTCTGGTACAAAACTTTGACTTAAAATTGGGCAAAAATATTCCAGTGTCACATTAGAATTGGTTAAAATATATACACTGAGCTAAATGAATATGTATGTCTGGTAATCATAAGGCGACACTTGGCCACCTGATAGAAACAGGGTAAAATGTACCAGCTGTGTACACCTGCAATTAACCTCTTGGTTTCAGTGAACTATACATGAGAGTGAAAAATTTGCATTCAAATTCAGCATTAAATATTGACGTTATAACAACATAACAAATACTCTGCTTTAAAACAACTGGAATCCATTGACTGTGTCAGCCTGTACAAAAACCAAAATCATTAGAATGTTTGCCGTAATTCATTCTGAGAGCCATATGTTAAAAGCTTTTTCTGGAGCCAGATTGATTTCACCAAATTTGTTGCAGTTGAACTGCATTTTCACCTTAAAATCATCAATAACAGGTTCTACAATGGCCATAATCAATGACATTAAGTTGCGATTCCTAAATACAAACAAGAGGCCCAGATGTCCTGTACTGTTCACCTTGATATTTAACTCATTTACCCCTGTATACATTAATAAACTGGACTTCCCATTTTTTGATTTGGTAATATAAGGTTCAAACATGACTTTAGGGGTGAATGGGTTAAGCAATCATGACAAAAAAAAATCTCAATAAAACCAATACTGCAAACTCGCATATCATTAAACTAAGCCTCCTTGATATTGATTATTATGACCTTGAAAGTGGGTAAAGATCGTTAAGCGTGAGACACTCTAGCTTCACAGCACTAGTTCTCCATCCCAGGTACCTAAAGGTCAAATATCATGTCATCTTTGGGTGGTTGGAAGGTGCAGTGGATAACACTCGTCTTTCACCAAGGCGGCCAGGTTTGATTCCCTGATTGGATGTGAAAAGGTATGAGGTCATCTGCTCGACCACGTGAGGTTTTTTTCCGGGTTCTTCCCGCATTATAAAAGAGCCCCCACGCACTAACATCTCGGCTAACAAGAGTGATTAATATAAGTTGCAATTACTCGTTTCATAGTTGATGTAAAATAGATAAAGTTTATATTATATATATTCATCTTTTGCGTTATTTATCTATTGGACTGACAGTCATATCAACAGTAAATGCTACTTGATGGTGGAAAGAAAAGACCAATCAAGGATCAGAACAAAACCAAAGGTCAAGTGGTCATCCGGTAAATAAAGGGTATATTCGAAACCATCCAGAGGATATATCACGGTCATGGCATAGCAACAGTCATGAAGCCCCACAAGACGCTTCGCAATATATATCCTATTACACCCTAAGGATAAAACAACAAAAGAAAACGTCGCTGAATGCGTTTACAAAATCGAATGCAAATATTGTGACGCATCCTATATTTGAGAGACTGGAGGGCGATTTTGGGTCCGCCTTGGTGAACACCAGAAAGAAACAGAAACCCAAAAAGGTAGGAAATATTGTACATACGCTTTAATTACAGCATAGCCAAATTGACATCGCTTTTGTGGACAACTCTTACATATTTTAGACCTTTGTGTACATACACTTCACTGGTCATTTGTCTGATGAAGGTGACAGTGTACATATCGTACTAGTCATTAAAATATTACATAGAAACTCTCATTGGTTGTGCTACATGATCTTTTCATAATCCATACTTACCAACCTGAAGTAAATGTTTAGAAATAGAGGACAGACTTTCTATAGACAAAAGGTGATTTAACCCTTTCACCACTGTAGACCATAATGGACTCATCCATATCAATGCATGGTAGAGTCTACTCAAGTTACATAGGGGTGAAAGGGTTAAACAGCCCACCATATCATGACAGATAAGGAGCTGAAAACATAAAATTTCCACACACAATAATCATAATTACCTCCCAAGCGAATCTGTAATCAATCTTTTTGTCTTTGTGTTCATACACGATCTCCCCCACAAAGGGTCCGAAGATGGTTCCCTTGGGGATAGGTGCCACACACCATACTCCTGTACACAACAAAATAAGACAGCTAATGATAACATTACCTTGTGAAATATTTTAATTTTCTGTTCATTATTTCATAATTTTATCATATTTCTACAGAAGCGAGGTTATTTCTCATTGCAGTTTTCTTCTTTTCAAGAAGTTTTTAATGAAAAGGTGTTAGATAGCAGTAATAGGAATCTCATTTGACAAATCTGTAACTCATCTGTTTTCTATGAATTGTTTCCAAGATATCAAAATATTTGTTTATGATTTGTTTAGTTCTTTATCTGATGAGATTCTTTTATTTTCTATTTTTTTGTTTGCATGATTTTTTCCATATTTTGAAACTATGTTGGCAATTAAGCTCGATGGGTCGCTCTAGGAATTAACCAGAAGCTAGCTGATGTTATCTTTATCGAATAACAAAAACATTGATAATAATAATATACAGCATTTGATATAGCGCCCTATCTAGCTAACATAAGCCACTCTAAAGCGCTTTGCAGTACATATATATACAATTAGCATATATACATTTATCAATACACTTTTGAGGAAATTCGCAGGAGGTGCCTCATCAGGCGCTAACTACTAGTCCTATGCCACCTGGCTAATATCTCCCTATGTGTGTATGCCTGCGTGTGGGCTGGTGATATAATGTGTGTAATTCACACTTTTTCTTTTTCATTTTTTACCCCAGAAATAATTTTAGCGTCTGGGCCATTTTCCAGGACCATTTGAAGATGGATCATACATACAAATTACATTGTCATACATTAAATATTTATGAGAACTGTGGTTTATTTACCTATCTGAGAAGTATCAACCTCAGACTGCTTCAACTCTATCCCTTCTGGAGCAACAATGTGACTTGGAATCTCCATGGTGACAAGTTACCCTGGTAACAATAATTTGGTTGCCACTGGTAACATGTGTCCCTAGCAACACCTTGTGGACAGGAACGTAGCCGACAGCTATGTCATCATGACCTAGAAAAGAAGAAAAACATTGTAAGATTGATAGCCATCTGTACGATCATTGACCTGTTAGGTGATTTCTCACTTGGATGGTTTAAAGGTGGCAGGGAAGGCCTTAAGGATACAAGCTATCTTAAGCTGTGTTATATACCTCCCTTTCTAAAGAGTTACACAATAAGAAAATTGTCAAAGAGAAACTTTTACTAAATTAAACTTAATAATACTTTTGATTAGTTACTGATAAGTTACAGTACTGCGAGAACACAAGATACAAACGCAGGATCAGAAAACTCAATACCATGTTTTTGAATTAAGATTCAGTGAGTTTCAGACATCATATATGCATGCATATGGTGACTTATTTTGTAAAACAGCATTCGTTGTCATATAATTAAGCAGAAAAAAAATCAAAGAAATGCACATTTTGTGGTCTTTAAAATTCACAATGAATTTCTATTATTCTTATTTATGTCACTCAAGGCAGTTCTGTTTGGTAACTCTCAAGATATTGTTTTAAGTTCGAGTTCTCTGGAAAAGTTCTGTTCACAATTGCTAAGACATGATTACAGGTTCTGTTTTGGTGCTACTTCCATTTGGGACTTTCCAGACATGTTTTGTTTTTGGGTTCTCCAGAATTTGACTTGTTCCTCTTAAGACAAGTTTTGATTTTGATCTCTTGTTCTATTTCGAGCCAATTCATGGGTCAACAGTTACATGTGTGACCTCACGGGTGTCCATGGATACATGTGTGACAAGTGTGTCCAATGGATATACATGTGTTTGCAAAGATACATATGTGACAGATGCGTGTCCATGGATATGTGTACGACATATGTCTCCTTGGATATGTGTGTGACATGTGTGTCCATAGATATGTGTACGACATATGTCTCCTTGGATATGTGTGTGACATGTGTGTCCATGGATACGTGCATGACATGTGTCTCCTTGGATATGTGTGTGACATGTGTGTCCATAGATATGTGTACGACATATGTCTCCTTGGATATGTGTGTGACATGTGTGTCCATGAATGTGTGTGACATGTGTGTCCATGGATACGTGCATGACATGTGTGTCCATGAATTTGTGTACGACATGTCTCTTTGGATATGTGTGTGACATGCGTGTCCATGGATACGTGTGTGACATGTGTGTCCATGGATATGTGTGTGACATGTGTGTCCTTGGATACGTGTGTGACATAGACACACATGTTGCATGTATACACATATCCTACTTTGAATGTTAACATACATAAGCCTGGTCATGATCAGGTGTAGCGGTGTACTCGGTGACATCCACTGCCTGAAGGTTATGATTTCCTTTACTTCCCAGGCTGACATCACACTTTCAACAGGTAGCTCACACATGATAAATTAAACTGGTCAGTTCACCATCTGTCCCTCGGGCCTTATATCACAATATATATATAGATATGAACCTATAATTATATAGCTACATCAGGGAGAACACAGACCCTTTCCCGCAGATGGCCAGAATAGAATCCACGAGAAACATTTTCTTCACAATTCATTATTTATTCTTTTCATATTTATTCTTAATCTGATGAAAAGCAATTTACAGTTCTACTCCTGCCTGAAATTCACTGTTACATGTTACAACTTGTTCAGTAATGTGGTATGCTTATTTAATGTTGTAGTGAAACTGGATTGGGCCGATCACTGGTGACCAAGTAGCTCAATGGGTTATAATTAGATCAGTGAGTAGCACCTGTCTAGAGTTTGAAGGTCCTAAGTTGGAATACCAGTCTAGCCATGCATGTTTTCAATCTTGTTACACATATAGCTAACAATTTTTAAACCTTACTCCTTAAGAAATTCAACAGTGAATGTCCTGAAACATTGGCTAGTTTATAAAAGGTAATTCTACGTTACAAACTGATCATTAGGATTGAAATGTTAAGTCATATGACACTATTTTGCCAGTTAGCCCTATTGTTGTCAACAGATCTGCTACCACATGCTCAGTGTGTCGCCCTTCACTGCTGGGCGGTGGGTTTGAGACCCACGCGGGGCATGCAGCCGTCAGGTACTGACTGTAGGTCGGTGTTTTTTCTCTGGGAACTCTGGTTTTCTTTCACCTCAAAAAACCTGGCACAACCATAACCCTTTCACAACTGTAGACCATAATGGACTCATCCAAATCAATGCATGGAAGAGTTTACTGAAGTTACATAGGGGTGAAAGGGTTAAATGACCATGGCTGCTAAAAGGACGAAAAACACAAACGAACCAAACAAGAGTAACAAAACAGCAGTGATGGTCATCAGTCATGTAAGAATGTTGTTTTAACCATCAGTAGTATATACTGGAGTTTGGTTTGTGTGTGGTTTATGTGCTATTAACAGCTAAGGTCATTTAAGGACTTGTCAGGTTTTGGTGGTGGAGGAAAACCAGAGTACTCGGGGGGGGGGGGGGGGGGGGGAAATCAGGGACCTTCAGCTACAGTAGTACCTGTCGATGACCCCACGTAGGCCTTGAACCTGCGACTCAGTGGTCTACGATCTTTACCTAAATATGTCTGTTAGCATGCAAACTGTTTCCTCTATCTGAGTAGTACTATACTCTTGAGCTTCAAATTCTTTAAAGATGAAAATTAAGTACTAATACTGTACATGTATGTAACCGTCTTGTCTATAAGTATTGTCTTGTGCGGACAAGCAATTTAAAACAGCAGTCGGAGTGGTATATTGGGAAGTCAAACTAATTTTAGTGTGGAGTGTGTATGTTAGTGTGTATATATATATTCTGTGTTCAGTACCAGCCTGTATACAACCATATGTTACAGACACTGCCTGCCGACACTGCTCGGAATTGTTCATTGTGTATCTTACATAAGAAGGCCATACAATGTTTATATTGCTTCTGGATTTGCTTTAGGTGTGAAATGCATATAGAATGAGCTAAAACGCTAATCATTGACTGTGGTCTGACTAATATATATGTTACATACAGCATGATGATAAAAACCAACTAATCGCTGATTTGCTTTCAAATGACAACATTATCAGCAAATGAAAGCTAATTTATCTGGTAGATTGACAGAAAACTATCATTGTTGTCTAGACCTGGGACCTGAGAATTTGCCACAGCTAACTATATTTGGATCTAAAACTAAGGTGTGCAGAGTAATTTTACATGTTTTAGGGTTTAGATCAACTTTTGGTAAAAATGTCATTCCCGATGACGATATAAACGTGGAACCAAATATAACTAACAAATTCTCAGGTCCCTGTGGTCCAGCCATACACACCGTCACTAAGCTTTTCGCTTCTCTCCCTCACATTTATATTACATACTTTGAATTATCAAAGCGAGTTTGATCATTCCTTTATTCCGTCTTTGCGTATTGCAGAGTTATCTTCTCTTGGGAGTAGGTATTGATTGTTACGTCATTGATCTGTGTGAGAAAATTACTTCGTTTTCTCAACAATTGATGACGTTACTCTCACAAACAAGTGACGTAACAATCAGTACCTGCTCCCAAGAGAAGATAACTCTGCAATACGCAAAGACGGAATATAGCTAGACCAGGGGTCCAGTTGAGCTATTAACACACAATTTCAAAATATAAGTTTAAATAATTTTTTGGCATGTATGATTAAATAATTATCCTAGATCCCCATATGTACGTTTAGTTTTGAATTTCATTACTTTTGAACAAATACTAAATGAAACATTTCCATCCAAATTGGAATAGCTGGGCCCTCCCTGGGTCAACTAAGTCCTGGTCAGTTGATAACTGAACTCTCCCTTGCTGAAGCTTTTATTAGACGGATGCTAAAATAAATCACTGCAAATCTCACTTCAGCGGTGGAAAAGAAAGAACTTCAAATCCTCATTTTACACAAAATATCTAAACAAATGCACAGATGCTAGACACACTGATATGATGTGTATATATATATATACACTATACTATTATATTGTATATACACATGATCCTATATATATATGATGCATTATTGCATATATATATGCATATAAGGACCCAGAATAATACTTACACATATTCAACACTAATTATAAACAAGCAATACACAGAAATGTAAAACACAATGACCTCGGCATATATAGACAAATATGACCTCAGCCAATACATTAGATCAATGGGACAGCCTTTAATGTTATTTTATAACCCACAGCCTGAGTGGGTATGGCCGGATCCACCTAACCTGTAATGTAATAACACAGGCTATTTTCAGGTTTCATATAAGCTTAAGGGGATGATATATTCTACATAATAACTTTTGTGTTTTAATGATGTTTTTTATTTTCAGGTTTCATACAAGTTTAAGGGGATGATATATTCTACATAATAACTTTTGTGTTTAACTGATGATTTAAGTTATACCTAGTGTGCTGACAGACAGACAACATAAACATGTACAATTCATACACACAAAGAACTTCTCAAGACTATTTACAGTACTGTACCAGTGTGTTTATATATATGTACAAGAGCGTTACAACCACCTATGTATAAACAGAGCTTTAAGTTCTCTTCATAGAACATGGTGACCCATGTGGGCGTAGGTTGTTATCTAAAGGTCCTCTCACCCCTATGTAACTTTAGTAGACTATACCATGTGTTGATATGAATGAGTTCATTATGGTCTATAGTGGTCAAAGGGTTAAGGAGAATTTTTTCGACCTCATATAATTAAGCATCTATTACAACAGACATATACATCAATATTCAATTGACTTTCTGATTATGTAATAGCTGTCTACTTACATCTGTTCAAAACATTCTGCCTGCAACATTTTTTTCGATGATATATTGAAAAATAATTTCTTTAAAGATAAAAGACTACTCAACTTTGAGGAGGCTTTCAGGAAATGGGGCCCGTTAACAAGTTAAGGTTATATGCTATCTTACACATTAATTATACATGTGATTTATGTTGGAGTTATCTCCCTTAAAACGTTTTCAGCATCGGTTATAACTCAAATTTACCAGAACTAATCAACGCAATATGATCCTTA